AGTGTTGCTCAGCAGTGTCAATCAGAAGTGTGGTTCAGCAGTCTTGCCCAAACTGTCGATCAGAAGTATCAATCAGAAGTGCGGATCAAAAGTGCTGCTCAGAAGCGTCGACCAGAAGTGTTGCTCAGAAAAGTCGATCAGAACCAGTGTCGTTCAGAAGTGTTGCTCAGGAGTGTCGATCAGAAAAAGTGTGCTTCAGAAGTGTTGATCAGGTGTCGCTCAAAAGTGTCGCTCAGAAGTGTCAATCAGAAGTGTTGCTCAGACAAGTCGATCAGAAAAAGTATCGTTCAGAAGTGTTGCTCAGAAGTGCCGGTCAAAAAGAGTGTGGTTCAGAAGTGTTGGTCAGGTGTCGCTCAAAAGTGTCGCTCAGAAGTGTCAATGAGACGTGTGGGTCGGAAGTGTTGCTCAGAAGTGTTGATGAGAAGGGTCCTCAAAAGTGTCGGTCAGAGTGTCGATCAGAAGTGTTGCTCAGAAGTGTCGCTCAGAAGTGTCAATTCAGCAGTGTTGCTGAGAAGTGTCGTTCAGAAGTGTTGATGAGCAGTGTGGATCAGAAGTTTTGAGCAGAAGTGTTGCTCAGAACTGTCGATGAGAAATTTGGTTCAGAATTGTTGCTCACCAGTGTCAATCAGAAGTGTGGTTCAGCAGTGTTGCTCAAACTGTCGGTCAGATGTGTCAATCAGAAGTGCGGATCAAAAGTGTTGCTCAGAAGTGTCGATCAGAAGTGTTACACAGAAAAGTCGATCACAAAAAGTGTCGTTCAGAAGTGTTGCTCAGAAGTGTCGATCAGCAAAAGTGTGGTTCAGAAGTGTTGATCAGGTGTCGCTCAAAAGTGTCGCTCAGAAGTGTCGATCAGAAAAAGTGTGGTTCAGAAGTGTTGATCAGGTGTCGCTCAAAAGTGTCGCTCAGAAGTGTCAATCAGAAGTGTTGCTCAGAAGTGTCGCTCAGAAGTGTCGCTCAGAAGTGTTGCTCAGAAGTGTGATTCAGAAGTGTTGATCAGGTGTCGCTCAAAAGTGGCGCTCAGAAGTGTCAATGAGAAGTGTAGGTCGGAAGTGTTGCTCAGAAATGTTGACGAGAAGGGTTCCTCAAAAGTGTCGGTCAGAAGTGTTGATCAGCTCTAGCTGGACAGTCGCAGCTGTGTAGCGCTAGTCTAGTGCACGAAGTACCAGCTCCGAGCTCCGGCTGGAAAATCTGTAGCAACAAGTGGAGCACGCAAAGTACAGTTTTACAAGCTGAAAAACATAGTTTGCGCAGTAGGCTTGATTGCGAGCCCCGTTGGCTGAAACCGAAAAATGTTCTCTCTAATTATTTTCTTGGGTTTGCGCAAAGTGATGTGCATTCGGGTTCGTGGGCTCTGTCTTGTTTTTTTTGGCGGGGGTGGCAAGACTATGAGCTGAGAAGGATGACAAGGTGAGGTGCGACACGGCTGGAGTTCCTAATTGGCTGACTGATTCTGGATTGCATGATGGCTCCGCATTAGTCAGATGCGGGGGCCAGCGCGTCACATTAACTTTTAGCCGTCCTCTACAACTGGTTTACCTGAAGTCAAGGCTGGCGATAATTAAAGGACGGGATGACCCCACATGCCTAGCGTGTTGTAAAGCGGGGCCTGTACTTGATGTGTCTCATAGTGAATGTTTCATGTGAGTAGAAATGAGTGTTAGACATGTGTGTCAACTTATGAGTGGCTGGCGCGCTGTTTCTTTTCATCGCGCACTGTCAAGCGATTGGCCGGTGGCAGTCGTGCCCGTCCCACTGGGAGTCGTGCAGTCGCAGGTCTCCGTTGTTCGAGGTGCGAAAAGCGTTTTTTCCAAGGGCCGCAAGGTGCATTTCAGTGTCTGCCAAAGCCATTCTGCACAACGAATTTTTGTGAGGACATTGTCGGGTATGGGCGCTTTTCTGCTTCAGCTAAGTGGCAGGACAGATGAAGTTTCAAACGGCTTTCAACTAGATTCATCCAGATAAGGTGCGGTGCTTGCCAGGCACGAAGGTCATCAAATCGGGAAGTATGTAAATCCACTGGGTATCTGTTTTATTTCGCACGCTGCGCTAGTTTATAGCAAGGGTACGTGTCAGGAGAACCACTTTAGTTTGATGCGACAGGTTGGAATCAACCCGGCATTGACTGCTGGAAGGGCTTAGTTTGAGGACATCAGGAAAACATAAAGTGTTAATTGGCATCAATTGAAGTACAATTGCGTTTTGTTGAGGCAACGTGAGAGCAGGCTGGGCCTGCCCCACTAATCTGACGTGCTGAGATGTTTTGAGGATGCATCCGGGCTGGAATTGAAATCAATGGACTTTCGTGCGGAACCATGGTTCTGCCGAACTCGCTCGAGGCTTGCAGCAGAGCTTAGAATAGGTATTGCGTTCCGAGAACGCCCCTTAGTAGTCGGTCACACTATTTACAGTGCATGGTTCTAACCAGGAAGGTTACCACAATCTTCGAATTCACGTCCCTTCTCCGGATCTCCTATTTGGTAGCCTTCCATTTTGCTAAAGAATATTTATTTTATTTCCCTTGTTGGTTTTAAAAGGAATTTAGCACTACTGGATATTTTTTTCGCAGGGGACTCAACCAAATGGAAGTAGCTGGTTCAAGCCCCTATTTCCCTGGAAGGTGCCATCAAAGTTGGGGGATGCACTGCCAGCAGGCCGGAGGGCTTGCAGTGGGGTTGAGGGTAGAGGGTTTTGGTCCGGGGTTTGCTTTCCGGTATTGCTTGGCGTTGCTTGGTGGTTAGTCCGGCTTGCGTTTTTGTTTGGCTTGATTTTGGCCATTTTGTTTTGTTTCCGTGGTGGTTGTGTTTTGACTTGTTTGGTGTTTGGTGTTGCTTGGTCTTGTTTCGAAGTATGTGGAAGAGTATCATGAATATTTTTTGTTGCTTTGGATTTAGTTTGGTTTGGTTGCGTATCGTCTTTTGTTCTGTGTTCGGTTCTGCTTTGCGTTGCTGTGGTATTTTTGTAGTTATCGCCTTTCTGCTTTTTGTTGTTTGCCTTTGCGTTGGCGTTTGTCCGGGTTTCTTGGATTCGATGGTGGTTGTTTTCGTCACGGTTCGATTGATTCTGCCGATGTCTCGGTTTTTCGGCTCCGGGCTACGGTTCCGGAAGGGTTTCGGGGTTGCTGTTGGGATACCTGGACTTATTCTTAAGTTGGTTTGGCATGTTTTGATGGGTTTTAGTGGTGACCAGAAGAAGGAAACCCAATTTGGGTCCCCGCGCTTGTACGGGTGTTTCTCAAAACGGAGGTCCCCAAAATGGTTGTCTTCCCTTTAACATCGAAGCAAAAGGCGGTCCATCATGTTCAGAAACATCTAAAAATCCAGATACTGGAGATTCCGCAGGACATCATTGCTGGCAGGGATGTATGCGGCCATGTCTTCAATTATTTTAGCACCCATATGAGTGACAGTCTCAAAATCGGAAATTCCTGTGGCTTCCTCTTAAACCTCGAAAAGGAACCCGAGCCTCAAACGAGACTCACCCTATCTCGCGCCTTTTTGCGAGGCTCGATACCCCCATGTTTTATGAAGGAAATCCAGAAGGTAACCCAAGCAAAAAAGGCGAGACTCCCCTCAGGGCCTCCCTCGCGGGCGCCCTCTTTGGTGCGGCGGCCGGCTCGGATGGTGCGGTGCCGCCGGAGTGGCTGGCGTTGTGCAAGGAGCCGGGAGAAAAAACAGAACGGCGGGCATGTGGCTACCCGTTTTTGGGGTAGATTGGCCGTTTTTGCGGGTTTAATCACTTTTTATATGGTTATATGGCTGGTAAGTTGGCTGTTTGTTTAATACAAAAGACGGTTTGAGTTCCTGGACTTTGTAGTTGTTAAAAGGACACCCTTGCCATTTTAGGTGACTCTATTCGGAGAAACACTTATATGGGCTGTTTGTTGTTTTAACGAACCATGGGTTAAACGAGATTGTTTGGGAGAGTTTGACACTAGCAGTCATTACAGGGAAACCAAGAGCAAGTGCCAGTCTGTTTGGCATGGGGGTGAAGTTTTAATATGGGGCCCGGTTTTACGGAGAGCTTAAGGTTGTGCCCCCATGTCCCCCCCCCCCACACCAAGAGTAGACTACCAATATTGTTAGATACTAACATGAGGGATCTTTGGTGGACATTACCAGCCACTTTGGAGATTGTTGCCTATGAATTTAAATTGATACATTCCTTTAAAGGGAAGCCACAAGGGTTACAAGACCCCTTAAACAAACCAAATCTTGGTCCCCTTTGAAGGGAAACCTAAAGGATGTTGTTAAAACCATAGTTTCACCGTGTTTGCAAAAACACGCATTCCCAACAGCCCCAAAGAACCGCCTTGGATCCACAAAACTCCCCCAACCACCCCAGACCATCTAGTGGCTGGGTGGTTCCTTTTTTGGAGGCTCGGTACCCTTTGTGGGGTTGGGGCACTGTGTGATGGGTTTCCAACTAAACAAACAAGCCCAGGTGGTACTCCCAACAGCAACCCCCCCCCCAAACCCGAGCCGCTCCCTTCATCACTGCTTGCCGCCCATCTGGCCCGAAACCGATAAGCTTTCAGCCGGGGAAAACGAAAAGGAACCTCCACGTGGTGATGGTCAACCTTACGGTTCTCCTTTAGCTCTTGGGGAGAATGCACCAAGACCCCGAAGCTCCAGCAGTTGTTTGAACAGTTTGGTATATTGCCAAAGCTCGGCGTCGTATCGCCTGGCCTCTTGCAAAGGAGGGCGAGCGCGTCAAAGGCCTTGCCGAGAAGCTTGCGGCGCTGCGCGACTAATGTCGACGGGATGGTGAAATCCCCACTCCAAATGCCCAGCCTTTTTTGGGGGGGAAGATAAACAGCTGAATAGATAGAATAGGGTTGCGGGAAGCTTGAAAGCCAAACTTAGTCGGAATCATGCGAATATATATATATATATATATATGCTACCCCCCCCCCCCCAACCCCCCCCCCCCCCCCAGGGACCTACCGTTTTGCTCTGTGCTTCAGATGGTTAGATGTTGCCCTTCAGACATGGCAGAGGGGATTAATGGGACTTGCACACTACAGGCCGCATGTAGTCATGCAAGACTTGTCCTGTACAACGCCACAGATCTTCATTGCGGTGCCAGTATTCGTACTGAGCACTCCTGATCTGCGAGACTAGCGCATTGGAGGAAGCAGCGACAGACTGGTTGCGACGCAAACGTTCCTTGATGAAACGCCAAACTCGATCTATGATCTGAGTACCGGACTTAGTCTTCAGAAGGCGGCCGTCTGGGAGTTTGTGCTTGGAGATCTTGACGTAGGATGGCTTCACCCAGACATGCGTGTTGCCTTTCTTGACTCGCTTCTTCTTGTGCACGACGGCGTCGTGAAGCACGCCAGGCACTTTGAGGCGGTATGACCGGGCCGAGTCGGAATGCAGGACCACCCGTCTGTTCTGCAGCCACTTGAGAGCGATGGGCTTCCAGTCCACCTTGCGCATCGCCCCAGGACCAGGAGCTCGACTGACAATGTTGGGAGGCTTGAGGTTGAACAGCACGAGCGTCCTTGGACATCCGCGTTGTATCAGGCCTGCCCATTGTTCCCAGCGGACATTCTTGTTGGTCTTGGCATCTGCGTCAGACAACTCAAAGGGCTGAAGAGTCTTCTTATCAAAGGTGGCCTCGTCGACCTCGACATCCCGCCATGCTCGCGCAGCTCCACCGAACACAATTTTCTTCTCCTCTCGCTGGACGTGCCACTTGCGGACCAAGTCAAGGTTGCGGCTCATCTTCTCGATCGCTTTGTGGTTGATCTGGGTCAGGATATGAATGGTGCTCAAGGACACATTCCCCAGTCGCAAGAGGAGGGCTGCGGCCTGAAGTTGGAGAGGGTGGCCTTCGGAACGATTCTTCGGCGTGAAGATCGGGTGGAGGTGAAGTATTGTTGGCATTTCTTCTTGCTGCAGCGATGCGCGTGGGCAGCTCGGGAGGGGCGTGCCACGAGAGGACCGAGGACGCCTTCTTCACATCGCGGACAGGTTGCGCCAGTCCAATCGGGGATGAACTTGTCCTTGCGGAGCACAGACAGAATCTGCTTGTCGCTTGCCTGTAGAAGCTCCTGCAGGGTACGACACCACCTCATCTGATCACGCCGAAGAAAGCCTCCACCGTCTGAGTGGCGCTGGTACTTCACCTTCGACCAGGACGGCGTCTTGCGTCTTCATGGCGGCAGGCTTCTTGAGGCCCATGCGAGCCCGACCCTTCTTCGGATTAGGAAAGGCATTGTAGTGCTTCCCCATGGCGACAAGACCACATGCGCTACAGCTGAGGAGCCCTTGGCAAAACTCAAGCGCAAACAGCGGGGATGAATGCGTTTGTGGGGGCACGTGACTGCATGACACTTCATTGCTACGCAATCAGACTGACAACATTGTGACATGTGCGCACATTTTGCGTAACCGCGGTTGCCTGTGCATGTGCAGGGCGGCATCCTCATCAGCTTCGAAGTCCGCTAGCACGTTGTCAGCTGGCTCCAGGCTCGTAGGCGCGGCTGCATCAGCGTCGATGTCTGGTAGCAAGGTGTCGGCTTGATCAGGATGGTCAGGTGCTTCTGACATAGCAGGGGAGACAGTTGACCGGATTGCTGCAATCTCAGGGGCAGGCGACTTTCTGCGGATGCGACGGAACTTTGAGCCGGCTGGGTTTGGCCAAGTAAAGGCGGCTCGGCTCACGCGATTGGCTTTCGGCCCTGCGCCAATGAAATGAGGTAGGCAAAGGTCTACAGCTTGCACAGCTTGTTCAGGGGAATCTGGAGAGGACGGAAGAACACGAACAGGGCGAAGCCATGTCTGCAGCTTCTTATCGCAATCCTCCACGTACTTCTTGACAGTAGGGAACTGAGCCATGCACTCCACGCCATGACCTATCATAGATTGCTCCCGTTCCACCTCGGCTGCATGGTTGGGACCGTACAGCGTAACACCTTTCTTGTAGCTGCCATAGAGATGCTTGTCCTTGAGTGCCAACAAGTCCAAGTGCATGTTGTCCTTGGTAATGCGGTGGACTATGGCATCGTGGCACTCGGATGGCAGGCGGACATACAAAGCGGATTCCGTGAACACAAAGGTGACGCATCTCTTCATGACCGCAAGGATGTCCTTCATGTGCGCGAACTCGAAAAGAGGGCCCACCAGCTTGAAGAAAGCTGCGGGGTCGAGTGTTGTATCTGAAGGCAAGAGTCCCGGGAGCTCTTCGCCAGTGTCATTGGAGGCCAGGGCCCGGAATTGATTGCGCGTCATGCGGGCATCGCAGCACCGACCGCTGACAGTGCCATCCTCATCGGTGGTGACAAAGGACTTGACATCAGCGATGTCTAGACGCCGAGACGAGGGGTCATCAAGGAAAAGCGCCTCCTGGATTTGTGGCGCTCTCTGCCGCAAGTTGTCAAGCGGTTTTCCACGTCGCCATCCCGGTTTGACACTCTGTAGCCCTAGTCGCCGGATGTGGTAGCGCCCCATAGCCATGGCCATAGCAAGGATGACAGGCGTCTTGCCGACGCCTGGGCAGCCGAGCATGAGCACTGCTGTGCTCATGAGAAGCGGGTAGATGAGCGGTAGACTGTATGTGTTGAGCGGGAACTCGTTGTGCGGAACGGCTCCAGACACACCTGTATTCTGACACATGAGTCTGACTTTCATTTCTGGCCAGCCAGCCACTGGGGAGCCGCTGTCGGGCTTGATGTTCGTGAGGATCCAGAACGTTTGCTCGTTGAGCGCGTCGCACTCCGGGGCGAAGGAGTTGATGTAGCGGATGCCCTCTGCAAGATCATCATGTTCAGGCGACCACTGGCTTGAGTTTGCCTTCTGTAAGCTGCGCTGCGACTTGTCTGGCGACTTCTCGTCTAGCTCATGCCAATGAACATGACGACCACATATCCTCGCTAACGCCCACTGCGTGGCCTTCTTGACAGCATGCGGGCCTGAGCGAAATACTGGCACAAAAGCCGTGCCGCTACACATAGCCACAGCTACATTGGAGGAAATGGTCTTCTCCAAGTAGATGACTTTGACCACGTCCATGCAGCCGTCGCCCGTGTTGTGGATGATGATGTCGACCTTGCTCGTTTCAGGTGGAATGGTAGCAAAGCGAAGTGGCGGAGGAAGTTCTGCAAGTTTTCCTTCTGCGACATACTGGGTGATTACGCTTGCGCTGCCACACTCTGACATGCCAACATGTGTGTCGAAGATGACAGAGGCAGACTTGACGTCTTTGGTGCACAATGGGCGGCATACCCCACTCAAGAAGGCCGGGATGGTGATATGCTCCCCCGACTCGTTGGTGTAGATGGCAGGTTCCGGCAAGACCCTCAATTTGTAGTTGACACCGGCAACCTCGGCAATGCCCTCATCCAACAGTCGTCCCGACATGATGACACCTCAGAATCTCAACGAGAAAGGATAGGAGCACGAGAAGTAGACAAAATGAAGGCTGCGGCGGCGGCAAGCAAAAACCAGCATGCGACTGTTTTTGATGGCTCACTACAATTTAGAAGAATGTTCTAGATGACTCAATACAGTTTATGCAAATGCAGATGACCACAAGATCACAGATGACACCAACCCCAGATTAAGACACCTTGCGTTTGTTATATACTCTCCTGTCAGTTCCCTTGCAGGAAAGAATCTCTATGCAAGCTGAGGGCGCCAGGGGGGGTGCACACGTGTCGCCAGTCAAGCACACTGTTTTTCATATCACAATGCAGTAGCCTATCCACATGTTTCCTAGGCATGGTCGAAAATGGCCTTGGCCGCGGCAACCGCGCGCAGGACTTGGATGCTTGCGCGACGCTCAGCGTCGTTTCCAGAAGACTCAAGCATCATCACACCACATGCGTAGGCATCGTGGAACTCAGCTGGCCACGTCAGAGTATTGGTAGCCTGGGGAGCGGTCAGGGACGATGCCGTAGACGACTTGCTCGACGATGAGTAGGAGCTCTCGACCTCTGCTTCCTCATTGTCCTCATGCGCAGTGTCCTTGGCATCCATTGGAACAGGCGCATCTGCTATGGCTAGCTGTGGCGCCTGCTCCATGTCCGTGTCCTCGATGGCAAGTGCCTTGCCGCCCCTCTTCTTCTTAGGCTTCTCCAGCAACTCCAAGAGGCGCGCATCAGCGAGGGAGTTCCAGGCCCCAGCCATCCCAACTTGCAAGTTGAACTGACCTTGGATGTTGTTGAGCATCAGCCGTAGAACATCTGGCGTCATGGGAAGGCGAGACGGATGTGCTTTGGCAGCACCATTGTTGATGCACTTCAGGATTTCCTGGCCTGACCTGGTTGCTGAGGCAGGCCAGGGGGTATTGGTAACAGTCGAAGGAGATACGTCCTGGGCATTGGTTGAGGATGCATTGGCCTCGGCAGGGGCTTGGGTAGTCGGGGAGATCTTGAGGTACGCGGAGCCGTCCTTGAAGAGGACGGAGCCCTTCACTGAGAAGCACGACATGGCCTTTGAATGATCAGAGCTTGGATGCTTGCACAACGCTCAGCCAAAGCACGGCCGCGCAAGGTGCAATATTGATTTCGGGCATCGATTTAAACCGATTTAAACCAATTTAAGTTAAATCGGGCTTGGATTCAAGATTCAAGAATCCAGGCCAAACCTTTCCAGGGAATCTTGAATCCAGGCCTCGATTTAAAACGATTAAACCGATTTAAGCTCAAATCGGGCCTGGATTCAAGATTCAAGATTCAAGAATCCAGGCCAAACTTTTCCAGGGAATCTTGAATCCAGGGTCCGGTTTAAACCGATTTAAACCGATTTAAACTTAAATCGGGCCTGGATTCAAGATTCAAGATTCAAGAATCCAGGCCAAACTTTTCCAGGGAATCTTGAATCTTGAATCTTGAATCCAGGCCCGATTTAAGTTTAAATCGGTTTAAATCGGTTTAAACCGGACCCTGGATTCAAGATTCCCTGGAAAAGTTTGGCTTGGATTCTTGAATCTTGAATCCATGCCCGATTTAACTTAAATCGGTTTCAATCGGTTTACATCGAGCCTGAAGCTTCCAGAATGTCCTTGGAAATGCTTCTTTTTCATTGCTTTCCCCAAAGCCAAAAAAATGGTAGAAAACACTACAAATACCAGTGAATTCTTCAAAAAGGTAGGTCCCTGGGGGGGGGGGTACCATATATATATATAGATATATACACATATATATTCTGTGATTATTTAGCTGGAAACGAGGGGAACGTCTAAAGCTGTCAATTCAGACCGGCGATTCTTCTCTCATGGCGAGTTGCGCCACTAGGCAGCTGACTCAAGAGGATTTGGAAGATATGGGTGGCTCATCTGTTTGAGGGGACGGTTTCCTCTTGGTTTCTTTTTAAGCCGAGAAAAACGGGTACCCCCAAAAATGACAGACACGTATGAGGGTGTTTGGAGTGGGGAGTGGCAACTTCGGATTCGATGAGGACTCTGGGCTTCCCTTCAAACTCGAAGCAAGCTAGGCAAGATATCAAGTCTGTTTCCCGTGATTCAATTTCTCTGCAGGCAACCAATGAACCCACCCTTTAAAACATTTAGGAGGTTCATGACCAGGGGTTATCATCTAGTAGGGAACTGGGATCGGGACTTGGGGCAATTTGATGGCCGTGATCCCAGGTAACAAGGCGGCTTTCAGACCTTCTTGGATGAAAGCCAGGTGTGAAGATGTTTCAGCTTGGATGTTGTTCTTTCCCAAACCATGTGGCCACAGGACCGGATCGGTTTGGTGTTCTTCTGGTTGTCGAGTTAAACATGGGCTTCTGGTTTCAGTTTGGTAGGTTCATGTCCCAGTCCAAAGACACACCTTCTGGAGGGCCATACGAAGCAAATCAAGAGGGAACCACAACCTCAGTTGTCCAAAACCGACCTTTTTGACCCATTGTTTTTGCCATGTTGGTCTATCAATGTCCAATAGGTCAACTTAGGTCCTTTGGGCTGGCGCGTAGCTGATTCATGGCGTCTCTCGGAATCCGAAGTTGACGACTTGCCGACTTGCCGGTGGCTCCCTGGAAAATTCGAACCACCCGAACCTCTTGGTGTTTCCACCCGAAAATGGGGGGAACACCGATCCGGGTTCAACCCCCATCAACATAAAGGCAAGGACCCAGAGCAGATGACAATTCCTTAGGTGAACATGGTGGTTTCCTATCAACCCCACTGTCTTCATGGCTGGAACCGCACGGGGTATTTTCATTGGGAGTCACTCACGGTGGTGCTAACTCACAGCGCGGGTGACAGTGCCACCCCACCGCGCAGTGGAGCCCACTGCATCCTGGATTCTGATTTGAAGCGGCCCTTGAGCGTTTTGCTCAAGTGCTTGCGCCATTTCGCTGCCCGGATGTGCGAAATCTAGTGAAAAGATGGTGGCGGTCTCTGTTTTGAAAGACGCCGCCCCATCTTGGATGCTTCGTGCTTCGGGTGTCGTTTGAGCAGCAAAGCTCTTGTGCGCGCCAGGATCGTTCTGCGAAGAACAAACAAGCCTCGCAATGCTCGGCGTGTGGGGAAAATTTTTGAATGCTCGCCTTTTTGGTCCAAATTGAGGGAACATACGGTGTCTCCCCCCTCTATTCAGGGCCTTGCGGAGAGAACTACTGGAGTGTATGCCGGGGGGTTGCCGTCCCCCTTCAGCTGCGAACCGAGGATTACGCAGACCCCTGTTTGAGACTGATCATTCATAGGGGAAGGTGTGTGGACACTTGGGTCCATTTTGCAATCACCTTCTTTTAGAGTGTTGAGGCATGTCTCGTTTTATGCCTCCAAAGTTGTGGTTTCTTTTTGGATTCCCTTTGCAGCCACAACAAGGGCTACCCTCGAGAAAAAAAAACACGCCCGCTGTGCAATCACTTTTTTTAGGGTGTTGGTTCTTAGGGTTCTGGTCTGCAAAAACCAAGTGTCCATGAGGAACTCCTGAATGGTGGGCTCCGGGGCCGGGGAAACCGGGGTGTTTTGGTCGGTGTCCTCTACCAAAAAAGTGGGGGGTTTTTGGGTTGCAGGTGGGAGAGGAGGAAGAGGAGGAGCCTCCAGACGACGACCCAGAGGAAGCGGAGGCGCAAAGAATCACATGTCCACCTGCCGTGGGGTTGGAGCTAGCAACAAACGAGGGGGGGGTTCAGCTTCCACACAAGGGTGCCCTTGTTTCCCATGTATGTGGAGGTAGATATCTGGGACACCTCTGCTTGCACTGATCCAATTTGAATCCAATGCCGTTTTCTGAGATTTGGTGTTGGGGGGGGGGGGGCGGGCGGGGGTGTCGCTTCCAAATGCAACACTTTTGGATTCTTGAGCTTGTTTTGGTGGCGATGCCAGTGATGCTGGCGATGCCAGTGATGCTGGCGATGTCAGTGATGCTGGCGATGCCAGTGATTCTGGCGATGCGTAGTGATGCTGGTGATGTTGGCCCTCTTCTGCCAGATGCATCCTTGGGCTCGCACAAGGATCGGGAAAGCGGATAGGTTTTGCTACCTTGTTTATGGCCCTGCCCCAACAACAGGGGTAAGATATGAAAATTCCGACCCTGCTTCGGCAGGATTCTCCTTTTGACTCTTGTTGAGAATTTGGAAAGAGAGGACATGGCCGTCGCTGGCCTACGCCCGGGTGCTAAAGGACCCCCCCGCCCCCAATTTTCCTGTGAAAAGGCATATGAATGCGCATTGCTATGAGTAGGGGTGCCACGCAAACCAATGAACACCTGTCAACGTTGGCCCCATCTGGACAGGCCAACCATTTGGCCTTTTCTTTTGGACGGAACGGGCTGTCTCCTTTGAATTAAATCATTGTTCTTTTCAAAAACCAGCTGTTTCCCTGGGTTTTTGATTGGACTTCCAAAAAACGGGTCATTTTCGGATGGCCCACGAACTCAAGGCCCCCCCATCTCCTCTGACCAACAGCGACCCCGTCAGAACCGAACCGAACTGCAGCACCGGAGGCCTTGGCGCAGATGGCCAAGGCCATGGCAGCGCACCCCGGGGCTGTGCTGGGCCCGGAGGACGAGGACGGGGCCGTTTGGTCGAAAAGGCTCGGCTCGGTGAGTCCAGTTGGCGGGTCCAAAACCGTTTTGGGATCCCATTGTGGGGATTGGTGAATTCACCACCCATTTTAGAACCCATTTTAGAACCTATTGGGATGTTTACTGGGGGTACGATTTGGATTTTGACCCATGGCCATTTGGCGGTGGGTCAAAAGCATCGGGTGGTTACCTAAAATGGCTTGCTTGATTCTTGACCCAGACCCATTTGGGTGTGGGTCAAAACCAATGGGATATTATTTTGGGGATTGGTGAATTCACCACCCATTTTAGAACCTATTTTAGTGGTTGGATTGGGATGTTCACTATGGGTATGATTTGGATTTTGACACATGACCATTTGGCTGTGGGTCAAAAACATCGGGTGGTTGCCCAAAATGGCTTGCCCTGGTAAATGGAAACATAGACAAACATCTGCGGTTCCTGGTGGTTTATTTTGGACCCAGACCCGGTTGTTTGCGGATTTTTTGGCAAGATCAGGGGTATCACGAGCGAAAGCCATGAGAAAGGTTCTTTGTTTGGGGATCCGATTTGGGTCCAGGGTTCCACTTTTTGACCACCCCGAGATAGACTCACACCCAGGCATTCTCCTTTTGGGGAGAATGAACAACCCCCTGGGTTTACTTTTTTTCGGGGTACCTTGTTGGTCTCCTTTGAAGGGACACCAAAAGGACACTTCAATTTGTTGGCCTTGCCCAGGCACTTTAGAGACTCAAGACTCCGGATGTCGGTTGCGACCATGTTTTCTGTTTTGCTGCAAGAAGTCCTCATTGGTTCTCGAACCAGATTCCCAGCACGAAGGGCGAGGACCACGCAGTGCGCCAGTTGACAGAAAAGGAGTTCCTTGGTCACCTGCCAATCGGCCGGGTTCTACCGGGCTAGTGCCACAAAGCGTGGAATCCGAGGAATTCCATGGGAGGTAAGCAAAGGGGTTCCCAAAAAAATCCCCTTAAAGGGTGGTTTACACGTCACCTTTTGGTCCTTTTGGTTGCCATGTTGCTTCCCCAAGGGCACTGGGACCCCGAGTTGGGGACGAGGGTCTGTTTGAGCCATCTGACTGGCCCACCATCATGTTTGCTTTTGAACAGTCATCTTTTCTTGTGGGCTTTGATCATCAGCAGGAGCGCTCCAAACTACCTCACACCTAGAGAAAGTTGCGTGAGCCATTTGTGTAGACCCTTGGTTTTTTGTGGACGTGAACAACCCATGGGCCTGTAAAGGGTATGAAATCATTGGGGCCCACACCAATGGCCCATGAAGTTTCTCTTTCTATTTAAGACACCAGTTGCAGAACATGCTGCGGGACATCCCAAGTTTTCTGGGTACTTGGAACTCCCATTTCCTGTAGAAATTCCTGGCTATGAGAACAGCGACCGATGTTTGTGGTTTGCTGCAGGAAGGACCCCCCGCCTCCAGTGCCATGGACAAAAACGCCGCGAGCTCCAAGCCGGCGCCGGCCCCGGCGGAAAACAAGTGGCGGAAGGGACTTCTGTCACATGGCCAGACGTACTCCCCAGATGAACATGGAACTGGTTTGGGGTTCCAGATTAACTCAAGAACTTCTGCATTGGGCCTCCGGTAACATTGGATTTTGGGGTTTCAGTTGAACCGTTCCCCGACGTTTGGGTTTGCCTGAGCCAACTCCGGAGATATGAATTGAAATTGGTGTATCTCGAAGCACTTGGTTTGTGATTCGCAGCAAGGTCGCGAACCAAAAATGGTCCCCCCAGCAACCAACACAGTAGCGGGACACCGGTGGTTGCCTTTTTATTTTGCCTCTATGGCTTTTGTGTATACCAAAACTCACTTACGTGAAGGAACCTAAGCAACTCCACACATCGCCTGATTTAGCTTGCCTTTTGAAGGTTCATCTTGGTTGTCCGTCATTTTCCCATCCAAGCATCAACAAGTCCCCACTTTCCGGGATATGTCGAGCCAAGCGCACGACCTCGTTGCCCTCCGCACCCCTAAAATTGGAGCATGCGTGTCGTCTTTCTAGGGGTGGACTCCAAGCATTCTTTTCAGCCATCGTTCTTTTCACAAACCGATTGCCATGTCCCCCGGGCTTTTGGTGGTTTTCTAGAAAGATTCGGATCCCTGAAACTACCCTTAGAGCCTTAGAGCCATTCTTTACCGCTCAGGACTTTCAATGGGGGTTGAACCCCGGTCTTTTGAATCTACCAGGAGGGTTACAACTAAAGGATGGGGTGAGGAAGTTACCTATAAGAGGGGGAAGTTACCCCGAGAAAGAATGGGGATCCTTTGCTAGAAAGAATGAAATTGGAAGTTACCCCTAGAATCTCGAGCCCCTTTCTCGAGCCCCTTCCTCGTCGAGGCGGAGGGGGACATCTTCGCCGACGGCGCCACCGAGGAGCCAGACGAGGAGCGAATTGTTTTGTCGTCGAAAAAAAGAGACCCCATGGGTTTGCCTCACTTTGGTGTTTTCGCGAGGGTTTTCTGCTTTTCTTTGGTCCAGAAAGAAGTTGCTGGTCAAGATTTCAGTAGCCCAGACCTCTTGTCCGGCATCTCCGTTCTCGGAGGGGTGTCCCTTCAAAAAACACAGAAAGAGGGCGCCCCGTTCTTCCCGCTTAAAAGCAAGCAACAATCAAAAACAAACACAGAAAAGGGCGCCCCGTTCTTCCCATTTAAAACAAGCAGGAAACAATGAAAAGCAAAAACGAAGGACACCCCGTTCTTCCCATTTAAAACAATCAAGAAACAATGAACAGCAAAAACGACGGGCACCCCGTTCTTCCAATTTGGTACAATCAAGAAACAACGAACAGCAAGAACGAAGGGCACCCCGTTCTTCCCATTTAAAACACAGAAGAAACAATGAAAAGCAAAAACGAAGGGCACCCCGTTCTTCCCATTTAAAACAATCAAGAAACAATGAGATGCAAAAACGACGGGCACCCCGTTCTTCCCATTTAAAACAAACAAGAAAGAATGAGCAGCAAGAACGAAGGGTACCCCGTTCTTCCCATTTAAAACACACAAGAAACAATGAAAAGCAAAAACGAAGGGCACCCCGTTCTTCCCATTTAAAACAAACAAGAAACAATGAGAAGCAAAAACGACGGGCACCCCGTTCTTCCCATTTAAAACAAACAAGAAAGAATGAGCAGCAAGAACGAAGGGTACCCCGTTCTTCCCATTTAAAACAATCAAGAAACAATGAACAGCAAGAACGAAGGGTACCCCGTTCTTCCCATTTAAAACACACAAGAAACAATGAAAAGCAAAAACGAAGGGCACCCCGTTCTTCCCATTTAAAACAAACAAGAAACAATGAGAAGCAAAAACGACGGGCACCCCGTTCTTCCCATTTAAAACAAACAAGAAAGAATGAGCAGCAAGAACGAAGGGTACCCCGTTCTTCCCATTTAAAACAATCAAGAAACAATGAACAGCAAGAACGAAGGGTACCCCGTTCTTCCCATTTAAAACACACAAGAAACAATGAAAAGCAAAAACGAAGGGCACCCCGTTCTTCCCATTTAAAACAAACAAGAAACAATGAAAAGCAAAAACGACGGGCACCCGGTTCTTCCCATTTAAAACACACAAGAAACAATGAAAAGCAAAAACGACGGGCACCCCGTTCTTCCCATGTAAAACATACAAGAAACAGTGAAAAGCAAAAACGACGGGCACCCCGTTCTTCCCATCTAAAACAATCAAGAAACAATGAAAAGCAAAAACGACGGGCACCCCGTTCTTCCCATTTAAAACAATCAAGAAACAATGAAAAGCAAAAACAACGGGCACCCCGTTCTTCCCATTTAAAACAATCAAGAAACAATGAACAGCAAGAACGAAGCGTACCCCGTTCTTCCCGTTTAAAACACACAAGAAACAGTGAAAAGCAAAAGCGGCGGGCACCCCGTTCTTCCCATTTAAAACAATCAAGAAACAATGAACAGCAAGAACGAAGGGTACCCCGTTCTTCCCGTTTAAAACACACAAGAAACAGTGAAAAGCAAAAACGACGGGCACTCCGTTCTTCCCATTAAAGCAATCAAGAAACAATGAAAAGCAAAAACGACGGGTACCCCGTTCTTCCCGTTTAAAACACACAAGAAACAGTGAAAAGCAAAAACGACGGGCACCCCGTTCTTCCCATTTAAATCAATCAAGAAGCAATGAACAGCAAGAACGACGGACACCCCGTTCTTCCCATTTAAAACACACAAGAAACAACGAAAAGCAAAAACGAAGGGCACCCCGTTCTTCCCATTTAAAACAAACAAGAAACAATGAAAATCAAAAACGACGGGCACCCCGTTCTTCCCATTTAAAACAAACAAGAAACAATGAAAAGCAAAAAACGACGGGCACCCCGTTCTTCCCATTTAAAACAATCAAGAAACTATGAACAGCAAGAACGAAGCGTACCCCGTTCTTCCCGTTTAAAACACACAAGAAACAGTGAAAAGCCAAAGCGACGGGCACCCCGTTCTTCCCATTTAAAACAATCAAGAAACAATGAACAGCAAGAACGAAGGCTACCCCGTTCTTCCCATTTAAAACACACAAGAAACAATGAAAAGCAAAAACGAAGGGCACCCCGTTCTTCCCATTTAAAACAAACAAGAAACAATGAAAAGCAAAAACGACGGGCACCCCGTTCTTCCCATTTAAAACAATCAAGAAACAATGGAAAGCAAAAACGAAGGGCACCCCGTTCTTCCCATTTAAAACACACAAGAAACAGTGAAAAGCAAAAACGACGGGCACCCCCTTCTTCCCATTTAAAACAATCAAGAAACAGTGAACAGCAAAAACGACGGGCACCCCGTTCTTCCCATTTCAAACAATCCAGAAACAATGAAAAGCAAAAACGACGGGCACCCCGTTCTTCCCATTTAAAACAATCCAGAAACAATGAAAAGCAAAAACGACGGGTACCCCGTTCTTCCCGTTTAAAACACAAGAAACAGTGAACAGCAAAAACAACGGGTACCCCGTTCTTCCCATTTCAAACAAACAAGAACAACAACGAAGAACCATTGGATGTCTGGGTTTTCGGTTTGTGCCACACCCCGCCATCCACGTCCCGCAGGAGGCGGCCGGCCTGAAGCGATGGGACGCCACCCATGCGGCAGGCGGATGGTGCGAGGGCGCGAGGGGGGCGAGCTGGTTGGCTAGTCGGAATATGGGTGTGGGTGATAACCAATGGGATCCCATTTTGGGGGTTTTTGGTGAACCACCTGAATTAGTCTATTCTAGTGGGGATTGGGACGTTCACTGGTATTACAGGGTTTTGACCCATGGCCATGTGTGTTTTCTTGCCTTCTGGCGTTCTTTCAGGAAACAACAAAAAGGCAGAAGTGGTTGAAACCAGAAAGAAGTGGCTTGCCCTTTGGCCTGCCTCAAAAGCAAACCCGAAAAGGGTACCCTCAAAAAGGAATGGGTCCGTGGAGGTTTGGGCAACATTTGCCTACTTCGTCTATTGTTTGTTTGGGTGGGGCACGGGGCGATAACGAAATCTGCCCACAAACCGCACATGTTTTGGTGTTGGTTGGTTCAAAGGGAAACCAATAGGATATGCACCATTCTGGGGGTACCCTACTGAAACATGTAAACATTCGCCTTTCCGGCCAACATGAGTTCAAATTCCCAGTGCGGTGATGCTTATAGAAGGCATATATGGAGCTCTCCTCGGTCCAACTTATCTCACTGTCAGTTCCTGCAGATTGTTCGACTGCTGTTATTCTGTTTCACAACCATGGACAGCTCTCTCTCTCTCTCTCTCTCTCTCTCTCTCTCTCTCTCTCCGTTTCTCTCTCTGTGTCTCTGTCTCTCTGTCTCTCTGTCTCTCCGTGCCTTTGTCTCTGCGTCTCTCTGTGCCTGTGTGTCTCCGTCTCTCTGTGTCTCTGTCTCTCTGTCTCTCTGTCTCTCTGTCTCTCCGTCTCTCCGTCTCTCCGTCTCTCCGTCTCTCCCTCTCTCTCTCTCTCTGCATATATACATATGTAGACAGGTTAGACTAAGAACAGAGGTCAAATTCCCGGCCCCGTTTTGGGAAGAGCATGACATCTCTCTCTCTCTCTCTCTGTCTCTTTCTCTCTCTCTCCGTTTCTCTCTCTGTGTCTCTGTCTCTCTGTCTCTCTGTCTCTCCGTGCCTGTCTCTGCGTCTCTCTGTGCCTGTGTGTCTCCGTCTCTCTGTCTCTCTGTCTCTCTGTCTCTCTGTCTCTCTGTCTCTCTGTCTCTCTGTCTCTCCGTCTCTCCGTCTCTCCGTCTCTCCGTCTCTCCCTCTCTCTCTCTCTCTGCATATATACATATGTAGACAGGTTAGACTAAGAAGAGAGGTCCAATTCCCGGCCCCGTTTGGGAAGAGCATGACATCTCTCTCTCTTTCTCTTTCTCTTTCTCTCTCTCTCTCTCTCTCTCTCTCTCTCTCTCTCTCTCTCTCTCTCTCTCTCTCTCTCTCTCTTCCCTCCCTCTCCGTGAAGCTGCAAACCCCTTGGCACCGCTTGCAACAAATTGACCACCCGCCCTTGTGTGTCTGAGATATACCACCTAATCGTTTTTGTTTCTTCTTTCTTTGCATATCTGAGAAAACCAGCTGTTTCATTGTAAATACCTCTTTTGTAGTCAGGGCTTGACATCATACTCTTCAAGAACCGGACATGTCGGAGTAGGGAGCAGGTATGACAAGGGATTTTTTGGCCCCTGTTGGCCCCCCAAAACCTCAGCCTGACGGACCCCACCCCACCCCGACCCCAACCCCCAACCACCCCCTTCTCCCCCCACCCCCCCTTTCTCCCCGCGCCCCCTCCGCTCGCTTGCGGAGGGGCCTTGGCCTCGGAGCTCTTCGAGGGGCTGGGGCCCACCAAGGAGGAGCTGGGCCAAGGCGCCCTCGATCGATTCGATCGACGCGGATTTCGATCGACGCGATCGACGCGATCGACGTTGTTGTCAGCTAATCAATGCCCTCATGGTGGGTCAACAAACGCGCCTTTTGTCGGTGGGAGCACAGGAGTTCATGGATTTTTGGGGATTGATTAAAACATGAGAACTTCGTAAAGTAAGGTGAAGCAGGTTTCATGATTCATCATCAGTACACTTAAGATCAACTGGGGTGTCACTCACCAACATTTTGGCTGAGCTGGCGACATTACTGGGTCATGGGGTGTGAAGTCTCCCGGGGTACTTTGCTTTGGGGACATGATTGCGCTCCAGACAAAAACTGGGCCCCTTCAAGTGAACAAAATCAAAGGTTGACGAACTAAACCCCCATCTGATCATACTGTTTCTGGCGTTCCCTGGGGGTGAAGGTGGGATCTCCCTAAGTGGGCAGGATGGGCTCGGGTGTCGGGCTCCCTGTGTCTCGTTTTAGGTGGTTTGAGCATGAACCGTCCCAAAATATTCAAAAAGCAAGGGTAGAAAGTCGGTGGATGGTTTCCTTTGGTTCCCCTCTACAAGGATTCTAATTTTCACTCTTGTCCCGTCTTGAAAACCCTGATGGAGGTGTGGCAGGGGTCCTGATGGAAGTAACTGAGTCGCTGCTCGTCGACTTTCGATCAAAACTCGTGGGCTATGGTGAATTTGAGGACAGTTAACTCACTGGCTTTCCCAGAGGGTGGCTCTCTAATTGTCCATTGATTACAACAACATATTCTGATGGCGGCTTAGGAGCGATTGGCTGACTGGTAGTCTTCTGGCTTGGCAAAACAAGCGCCCAAAGTACCCAGAAGGCCCAGTTGGACCACCCAATTTCCTACTTTTGGGGAATGGCAGGGTCCCATTGGTTTGTCTCAAAGGCATTGACCCCCCACCAAAAAAAAACAAAAGAAGAAGAAGAAGAGTTGGGCATGGGTTTTCTTGGTTCTTTTCTCATATGGGTGGGTCTTTGAGTGTCAAGGGCTACTTTCCTATAGCCGTTTGACTGGTATTGTTTGAAGCACTTGTCACCATTATTTGCATGATTATTGGATTCTTTGCGTTATTTTGCTTTGTACGCAGAATTGGGCCTTTCACTTTACGGCGGTGCTCGACCTCTGATGGGGCCAGACCTTTGTTGGCCACATACCAACTATATATGGCTGTATATTAAAAACAACAACAACATGTATAATATATGTGACATTCGTTATAAAGTTATGGGCGCCCCTAAACACGGCGGTTTCGTTTTGGCATCCCTTCAACACGCCCGTGGTTTCGCATCAAGCAATGTTCCTGTTATGCCCGTGCATTGAATAGTTTTGTTTGGGGGTTCTCGTCAAATAAGGTTTCTCATGTGCCCGCGTCTTTATCATTTTTGGTCAGGACAAGCCAATAAATCCGGCACGAAGATGACAAGGTCAAACGATGCCAACAGATGCGGGGCCGCTACGAGCTACTAGCAAAAACAGAGGCAAAACGGACACCGTCACAGGGAACAGACAAAGATAGTGTTCCTAAAAGGACACAGAACCAACACCACTTGATTTGGAAGGATTTGGATCCGTTCCTAAATCAGATCTTGGTTTTTGGCCCCGATCGAGACTCAGGCCCTAGCCTACTTGGCGGCCTGATGAAAGATGTGGGCGGCCCGGTGCCCCGGGTTTGGGGTGCTAATCGACGTGCAAATCGATGGGCCTGGAGTTTGGTAGGGCCTCTAGCCCTCGAGTCTCCGGGGCTTCTCTTTTGCTTGCATGTATGTTTTCATTTTGTGTTAATTGTGGGGGGGGGGGTCCGCAAAAAGCAGTCCGTTTTTGGCCAATCCACGCCAAGGGTTGGAGAGTGAGGTACGCGTTGCGTTCCCTGCAGCTTTCTTCTGGCAAGGTGTGCTGTGCTGAGACAGCAGGTTGCCGTCCTCGTCATGCGACTCGAGAAACTTATCGATGCGGTTTTTCCGGGCATAGCGCTGAGGTTAACGGCCTCTCTCCATTCTCGAAAAAAAAACATGGGCCTCATATTGACTGCAACAAACGCGATGCGGGTGCTTTCAGAATGCAGCCCAAATCATCCGCAGGCATCCAAACGGAGTGCCCTGGTCGGAACGGAGGTCCTGTCCATCAACGCAGACGTCAATTTTTGGAAACCCCTATGTGGCTACGAAGCTTGAGGGTTGGAACCAGCTCAAAAGTTGCTGGACATGAATCTCCACCACACCCAAATGGTATCCACCAGAGGGTCCCTAATGAAAAAAACAACTGCCCATGTGTTGCAAGGAGAAAAGGAGAAGGCCGAGGAGAGTGAGCAGCCTGCCAAAGAAGCGGTCGATGGGGACATGGACATGTTCGGCTGAGCTCAGCGACTCCCCAGCACTTGCCACCTTCTCAGAACCTATAAATAGGAAAAAACCTTCCGCCAACTCAACATGTCATGCTGCAAAGGTCTTTATGTGTCCCTTGAAGGATCAAGCCCAATTGCATCCGGGGTGCTCCAAACAGGATTCAAATTCAGGACTCCTGGTGGCGGGCGTAGATGTTGCAGCTGGGTTGCGCCCTGAGGGGCATTCAAGACACCGCCTGGTGTTGAAAAAACAGCGGCCGCGGATGGACATGAAGCTCCGCGCGAAATGGGGGATCAAGCACCAATCCCATCCTGGTGTCCTTGCATGGTGCTTACAACCTTGACTGCTATTGGGTTGGATCTGTAGACTTTCACATTTTGGGAAATCAAGGCGTTTTCCACTAAACCACCAAAAAGTTAAACTTTGTGCAGGGGGGTCAACAGCAACGAAGCAACGCCCGCAACCATGAAGGAGCCTGGTCGCGGAACTCAGCGAACGTCCAGCCTGCGCAACAGCCCCGCGAAGCGACCCGAGCGAAGCCAAAGCGCACGGGTGCGATGGCCGGGAAAAGCGGGGGGCGGCGCTTTGGGCATTGAAGCCCTTGACTGATGCTGGCTGCACTTAGCTTGAGGAACATGTTGGAAACGGGGGTCTATGTAACAAAAGAGCTGCTTTGGGCGGCCCCCATTCGTGCATCGTGTTGGAAAGGCAAACCAAAGCTTCATGCAAGCCCAAGCAACATCAACGTGCAGAAGAGGTACCTTCATTTCCACCGGAAGCTCTTGCTTGGGTTTCCCTTTGAAGTCCCTCTAAAACCCCACAAAAAGGATCCCCTCAACCCACTTGCGGGGCAAACCCCATTTTCCATTTTGGTTGAGGCTACTCTGCCCCCTGAGCTTTTCCGGCGCCGGGAGGTCTTGGACATTGTGGATGCGCTTCTGCCACTTGGCAGCTAAAGTGGTAACCCGGTGCTTCCATTTTCCTGGTAGCTTCACCGTTCTTTGCGTGTTTGTCAGCTTTTTGTTCTCTGGGTCTGTTCATTTTTACTGGGTGGCTGCAATGAAAACTCTAGGGGCACCTTCCCCATTCTTTCTCGGGATCCTTCTTTCTAGAAACCACGAAAAACGAAAAGAAGAAAAAACACATGGGGAAACAGCTGGTTGTCGAAAAGAACGATGGTTGAAAAGAATGGTTGGAATCACCCCCTAGAAAAACACATTCCTTTTTTTTTTGCTACCCCACCAAGGTGCGGGAAGGTGACGATTCAGCGATTCGGATTCCCTTCTGGCAGGCGAGCAATGGGGAACTCCACTTTACCTAAGAGGGAAGCTGGCGAACCGGCGAGCCGCGAAGGTGACGGGGATCTGAGATTCTCCCGGGCTAGTGGACTTGAAGTTGGTGGTAAGTTGAAAGTCTCATGGTTGTTGGGTTTTGCATTTTATATGGTTGCTTTTTGTGGTTTTGGGGGTTGAAATCCAACCACTGAACTGCTAAAGTTGAAATGTTTGCTCCCCTCTAACGTCAACCAAGGTCTGGGCTTGTTCCGACCAATTCGAAGCAGGAAAGTTGCCCTTGGATGAATCAACCTGGATCCGGGGTCCCGCCTCTTTGGGGAAACCACCTTGTGTCCGGGGCCCCCTATAGTTTGACACCTACTCTTCTGGGCCCGCCGGATTTTTTGAAATCCCACTCAATTTTTTTGGAGGGTCCCCCCTATTTTGACATCTACCATGTCTACCACAGTGGAGCCACTGACAAATTCGCTGGTTGATCGCATTAGTTGAGGACCAGAGGCCCACCTCCCACAAAAACCGAGGGCACAGAATGGTTTGAATTGCGGTTCCCGGGCTTTGGGCCACCACCCAAACAATGCGGTTGACAAAACTTGGTGGCAAGCCCACAGCCATGCGGTTCCTTAGCTTTTTAGCCTAGTGTTTAGTGGTAGGATCCGTATTTAACCCACTCAAAGTTAGCCACTGTTAGCGGGGGATCTGAGGGCAGCCCAGAAAACCATTGATCTTTTTCAGGAGTCGTCTGAATTGATTGAAGGGCTAAGCCACTGAAGCCCGGTTTGAGGCTGACTTTGGAGCCGGTGCCGGGGCAGGCTGGCTCGACCCGGGGGCCTCCCCCATGTGTGAAAAAAGACGCACAGATTTGAGCTGGTTCACGGACCCCATAAGGATCATCAATTCACGAGAAGGATTTTAATGATTCTTCTATTAAAGGGAGGTCGGATGGATCATGGACCCCTCCAAGCAATTTGAGAGACCTGCCCTGAGTGGGCGTAAATTACGCGTAAAAACTAGCTTTTTCCATGATGGGAAATAGCAAATGTCAGGTCTGTTTGAAACCGCACGCTTTCTAGCGCATTTAACCTACATCATGAACATGTTTAGCTTGTTCTGGTTCACACTTGTATTATATAGTGTATTACTGTGTGGCTAGCTGGTTGAAGCTTGGTTTTAGAATCCTTGCAATTGATTTTGCTTGTCAAACTACAAGCATCCAACATCCTGGCAAATGTGTTGGCCATTATTTGGGAAAAACACATGCGCAACACTACTTGAACAATGAACATCACCTGCTCGGGGCAATGCCCTTCCTAGGAAACGATTACAGAGACATACCACTGCCGGGAAAAAACAAACAAACAAACAATCCACAACAATCTACTTTGGCATCTGCCATGTAGTTGATTTTGTTGCACTGACTTTTCGCATTTTCTGCCAAGCGCCTTGCCTCTGTGCAAGTGAAGGCACAGGGTCTCTATGAATTCATCACACCTGGGAAACCGCGCACTAGAAACAGCGCAAATACAAGGAACGCAGCGGGAGATTCTTATAATCCGATGCCGTGAGAAAACCAATTGCACGGGAGACTAGCAGAATGGCCAAATCTGAAAAGTACCAAGAAACGCGAGGAGAACCAAACACAAACAAGCGAACCAATCCCCCAGACAAAAGGGATTGGGCATGACAAATCATTTCCCGCAGGACGTTCTATTTATTCATATTGTTGACTGGTGTCATTTTTTGTTGCAACTGGGAGGCCTTTCAGGCATTTTTCTTGGCTTTGCGAATGAGATGCTCTTCAAGATTGCTCAACCACATGCACATGAGGAATACGTGGTCTTCACGTTTATCAAGTACCACTTGTGGGAAACCTTCAAACAAACAACTCAGAGCATGGGTTTCTGACGAAGTTTTTCCGAACTGGGGGTTCTGGGGATGAACGAAGAGGAACACCCATTAATTCTTGGGGTCCCCTATCTTGACACACCCATTTGTGCCATGATCAAACCATCCCTGCACTTGGCGGGTAGGGATGGTCATCAACCCCCTTGTAGGGACTTTGGTCGCAACAATTCTCACTTGCCCAAAATCGACCTTTTTGACCACTGGTTTCCCGTTTTTGCTCCAATTTTAGTGATGGCCCCTTTGTTCGTGCGTCCCTTTGGCAACTGGCCACATGAAGAGCTTGACGACAGAACTGGCAATCCACTGTCGGCTTGGGGAAGACCTGGGGGTGGCACCTTCTGGATTCTGGACCAAAGGCTTACCTCCTTAGCTTTATCCCTGTTGGCAAACAACATGCACGCGCCTTTTTTCCGGTGGTCGGATCAGTCTCGCGCAGAGTCCCTGTGAGGAGCCTGCGCCGCGGCCGAAGGCTGCTCCAGAGGATGATGGGAAAGCAGACGGGATCGTCGCAAAGTACCGTGGACAAAGTCCTGCACCAGTTGGGATGGATGATCTAGTACCACTTTCCGCAAAAAGCGGCCTTTGGGGAATTTAAGGGAAACCGAATGGAACCACATGGGCCTCTTTTTGAGAGACGCATTCAAATGGTGTCTCTTGGAGGGGGAAACCACATTCTGGAGCCCCGGAGTTCTTAGACATTGGGATGGGAATCGCACCATGGGAACCCACTGTTGGATTCAGCGGAAAACCAGCGGGAAACGAACCATTTTGTGGGGTCTCAGATGGGAACGAGGTGGTTATTTTCCTTGTTGGTTTTGGTTGCCTCGCAAACCATCTCAAAAGGGGACTTGTATTTTGAGAGACATTTGAGCTTGGCATCCCACTTTATCCCACTTTGGAGTCGCAGAAAGGGTCAATCGGAACCCGGGATTGACAACCCGGTTGATGAAAATACGAAGCGTCGAATTCAAGAGGGAACCTTCACTGCTTCGGCAAACGCACCCTCATCCACAACGTTGATTAATCCGGGAAACTCCCTGCTTGAAGCTCCTTCCTCTCCTTCAATCGGGGGTCCCCATAGTACCATATCTTGCAAAGTTAATGTTCTTTTGATATAGGGACCCCTGTAAATTGCTCTCCACTGAGTGAATGAAGAGTTGTTGCAAGAACCCGACCCTAAGGCATGATCCCAAGGTGTCGGTTTCCGGGATACTCAAACCCAACGTGAGTTCAATAAGTTGCGGGATCCCATTAAAATCCGTGAGGTCTTACAGAATCATTGTGCTAACTACAAAGAGTTTTATTTAAATGGGGTCGCACAGCCGGCCCATGTTTCACAGGTTTTTTTGAGAGTGATCTCTCCCAAAATGGTTCTGCATTAATTCCCGTGTGAATGATTTCTAGCAAAGAGCCCCCTCAAAATCATGCCTGGTGCCATTTGCGTTTCTCCTTGGCATTTTTTGGGACCTTCGTGGGAGCCATCTATCAATCTGACTTGGATGGCTTCTAGTTGACCTTAGGTGTGTCTATTGCTAGTGTAATTCTATTGGGAAAGGCCAAGCCAAAAGGAAACAGCACTCAACCGGGTTGATTCATCTGGGGTCGACATGAGTCGCCCCATTTGGGGTCGACATGAGTCGCCCCGTTTGGGGTCGACATGAGTCGCCCCGTTTGGGTTCGACATGAGTCGCCCCGTTTGGCCGATCCACCGAGCCATCGCCATCCCTGTGTCACCTACGCAGCTGCAGGACCCCCAGCGGCGCAAGGAGCAGCGCCAGACGCAGGCGCTCCAGGCGCAGGCCAAGGCGCAGGCCGGCGTTCGGCGTCCGGCGGTCGCTTCGGTTCCGATTTCGGCCGGGGGGCGGGGTGGGTGGGGCACTTGTTACCAGGTCCCCAAGTAAGTAGTGCCTTTCTACCATTTTTTGGGGAGGGTTCCCCTACTAAAATAGACTACGGAAAGAAGGGTGCCCTTATTCTAACCTCTCTACTGGAGGACCTAGTGTTGATTGGGGGGGGGGGTTGGGATAAGTGGGTGGGCGGGTGGCTGGGGGCTGCTGGGGCGAAGGGGGCCATGGACACTTCTAGCCAGGGTTTTTCAGGGTGGTTTTTGGGTTGGCTGCCAACCCTAAACAACAACAAAACCCAAATAGCAGGTGGTGGCGAAATAGACCCGAAGTATCCACCATTACGGGCCGCTGTGTGTGTGTGTGTGTGTGTGTGTGTGTGTGTGTGTGTGTGTGTGGGTGTGGGTGTGGGTGTGGGTGTGGGTGTGTGTGTGTGTGGCCCCCCTGTTTCTAAGGGGTTTCCGCTGTCCTGTTGTGCTTGGAGTCGAGCGCCACCTTGCTGGATGTCTCAACATGAAGTAGTGTCACCTACCGATGGCGTTCCTGAAGAGGATGGTCGGTGGCACGAAAGATGTTTGAGCATGCAGTAAGCCGAAACTCCATTGCCCTCGCGGAGACCTTCAAACAGCCTGTGCCTGCTTGGGGGTGCACCTTGGCAGTTTCGCCGTCTCATATCAAGTGTGTTTAGGCACTGCGTCCGGGCTTCGGTCAGTGTCTTGATCCCTGTTGTGGGCATCTGTTCCGACTCATGCAATGACATTTTCTACAGACAGTTACCGGACCTTGTCGCTCGTGACGCTTGACTGTTCCAGCTGACCTTCTCAATACAGGCTTGGACTTCTCCCAGACATTCCGGCACCCCAGACTGTTTCCGTGGACCTTTTTTCAGTCAGACAAACTGGTTGACTACCCACCAGACCACCCGACACATCAGGCAAGAACTCATGACGCCGTCAGCTTGCTCTTGGCTCGCAATTGTCGGCAACAGATGCCACGCCCCAACGCAGGTCCGATGTCGAACTCAGCAGGCCCTATGTCGAAGGCCACCAATCACACAGCGGGTCCTACGCCACCCAGGTCACCAGTGAGCCAGACAGCATCACCGAGCAGGAGTACACTTGTGGCACCGACACGTCGTCCGGCATCCCGATGGCCACAGGCCCTTCGGCTCCATCGCAACGGTGCCCATTGCCGCTTCTCCCACCCGGCCTGGATCGGCTGCTGGCCCACTACCACAAATCCTGGTGAAGGCGCGCCCAGCAACCCCAACTACCCCAACGGCTCCAGCTACAGCATGTCCGACTCCGGCTACCGCACCGACCTCTACGGCAATCCTGCAGACTCCCACGGTCTCTCAGCAAGCGGCGGTGTCAGGTCCTACACCTCCGCAGCCAGTTACAACGCCCTCGCTCGGCTCCCAACCAGGCCACCCCAGTGCCAAAGCCAGTGACCACCACGGCTACAGCACCGACTCCGACACCTACGTCGTCGGCATCTCATCCATCCAGTCAGATGCTGCCACCGGCCAACCCACCGGCAAGACCACGCCGCACAACGGATGGCAAGCGATCACATTCCCACAAAGCTCCCCCCTACTCCAAGTCAGTGCCCCCACAACGCCGAAGTCGAGCTCGCTCCAGGACGCCACCACCGATCTCCCGAAGGGACGCACGGTCGGATCGCTCATCCAAGGCAGCAGCAGCTCTCGCCACTTCCGCGACTTCAGCGACTACAGCTTCATCCCGGCGATCGCGAAGCAACAGGTCCCCACTTCCGCGCAGCAGAAGCAGTGCTCCATCGGCTCCAGCTCCTAAGACCAGTGCTGATCCAGTTACAGAGTCGTCCTCGAGAAACACTCAGCCACGTCCGAATCCACAGGCATACCCACCGCTGATCCTGCTCCCCAACCCACAGTCAGACCCGTGGAGGAGAGAACTTCAGGCGCTTGCCTCGCAGCACGTCCGCGACGATCAGGCGCTGCTGGACTATGTGGCCGCTACCCTAAATGCAGCAGGAGTACCGTCTCAGCACTCCACTTTGGCCTATGCGAAGGTCAATTCGGACCATCACTACTCCAAGATCACTCCACACTGGTTCATGCTGACCGTTCCCTACCTCGGCGCCACAGTTAGGCTCAAAGAGCCAACGAAGACGCGACCCATGCTGCTCTGGACTCACGCTTCCAGTATTGGTGGTACTCGCGGCATCCTGCGGACCCGACAGATCCATCCTTCCCGGCAACACAGTTCGGACTGCCCAGCCTTCTATGCCCAGGGATGGAAGATCACAGGACACCCCGACTATGATGCTGAAGAAACAGCCCGGATGATGTCTCAGAACTGGAGTATGAGCTTCAACATGGCCCAACTGCTACTGTTCGGGCGCGCTGTCGGTACCTGTCAGCCGATTCGTGGAGGGGGAGAACGTGCTTGCATCGAGGCATTGGATTCCAGTGAACGTCCTGACGTCATACACTATGTTGCAGGCAAGTGTTGGCTGGTGATTCCAGAGGCCAGTCAGATCGTTGGACTCGCATGGCCCACCGACGCGCAACCACCCACGAATATTCTCCGCTCATGACCCTGCATCCGGCAATGATCCAGATGACCAATCTACCGCTTCGGCAGTCATTCTTTCTCTGAGCTTTATCGATGCGCTGGTCTTATTACACCCGCAACCCGATCAGACGAACTGCTGCACCTGATGACATTTAATGATGTTTAATTGCAATACTACATTGCCGTCTTCGCCCGCCGACAGCATTTTGCGACAAAAAGTGCACGCCGGGGCCTTCTGAAGCAAGCATGACTTTCTTTTGCCTGGCCTTCTTGACGTGTTTTCCCTGGTCTTGTGTTGATCCGCGTGTGTTGATCGCTTTCTTCTTAATCGGGGAAGTTTCCGGCTCCTGTTTGAAAACCTTTTGTCAACTTGTCAACCAGTGCCGCATGCCCAGCGTTTGGTCAATCAATCAGCCAGTGCCTGAGATAAGCAACCATCCCTTGATGGCTTCTCAGTGGCCCTACTCATGGCCGGCGACTTCGGCAACCCCTTCCTCGCAACCGATGTCTCCGCATCCTCCATCATGGTCGGTCCCGCAGCCCCAGACAGCAGCCCACTCAAGCTCCAACCGGATGGAACCCATGCAGCACCAACCTCGAGAGGAAGCAGTACCCCGGGTCAATCCTCCTCGGCCTCCACATATGGCCTACCAGTTCCCACCGCAGCCCCCCAGCCAGTTCTACAACCATCATGGCGGTGGCACGACCGGCCCCCACCACCAGCACCACCAGTTCAACTTCAACCTCGTGCACCCCTAGGCCAAGGCGATACAACGCAGTACACTCAGCCTCGCTATGCGCAACTTCTTCCCAGCACCTTTCGATCTGATGACACCTTTCTCGACAAAACGGAAGTCCGTGGCCTGCAGCTATACCGTTACATTCAACCCACTCAGTGGTCTCGCAGGGTCGGCCTCGCTGGAACAGCAATTCTAGACCTTCCGTTGACGCGTCTTCTTCGTGGAGGAGCAGAAGATCACGCGCTCCGAGCGCAGGGCAATCCCAAGGGCCAGCAGGTCCCACTTCCCACCAGTCTCACGGACAAGGTCTTCAAAGCGTGGTTGCAGGAACGCACGCTGTCCAACCAAGCGGCTTATCTCGACCTCCAGGAGCTGGCATCGGACACGGTGGAACAGTTGAAAACCATTGCAGTCAAGTGGGGGGCGGCTATTTCGCTGGTGAGTAAGGGATCGAAACGAGCGCTCCTGCAGTTCATCACGGTACTGCACATGTACGGCAAGTGAGAGAAGCGATGCTCACGCTCACGCTGGAGGGCATTAGCAAACTATGAACCGGCTGGCACAAAAGGCGCGGTCCAAATCAAACTGCTCCCCTGTGGGTTGATGGCCTTTTTAGCTAGGACGGTGTGGTTCCCTCTGGTCTGACTTTTCAGGTGTGCCCGGAACCTGCCCTTTTTTTTCTCCTTTTTTCTCGGTTCTCGGGGTTTGCAAACCTGTGTAGTTCTAAGTTGACCCCAGCTAACCAGTCTCCGGAAACGGAGTTTCTCCTGCAGCTCTTCGGCAAGTATGAAAGTTCAGAACTATGCGGTGCTGCCAAACACTATGGCATCCCTGAACCCACGTGGCCAGTTAGCTTGCAACACGGCACCGACCACTTCCTTCCCTACCTCACTGCGCTCATTGCACTAAGACTCGGTGCTCCACTCGATGTCAAAGCATCCTACCAATATTATCAGGTTCTCTACCTGATCATCAGCACGTGTCGCAGAGTTCTCAACATGCCGATGGTCAACAAGCAACTGTCCATGTGGGCCGAGTCCCTAGCCACACTGCTCATGGTTCATCACTACGGCCATCCCACACATGCACTTACAGAACTCAGACGCCGACTACGACGCTTGCACATCCACCCAAACATGTACACCTTCACCCACTTCTCGCAGACCAACGCGGTATACTGGAAGCAGAGAGTAGAACTTCGCCCTGACCTTCCGCACTCAGTCAACCCGCAGTCCGATGTATACATTGGCAGTACTAGCATCACTTATTCCAGCCGAGAGCACAATCGTCGAGAAGCTGCTGGGCACTCAACATGGGCAATTCATTAATGCTGAACCAGCACTCAGATGGTGGCATCACTTCGGCAACTATGATGAGTTTGCCACCTGGGTCATCCTGACCGACCCCGACCACACAGTCACCTGGACTCAAGAGCATGCCCTGATCAGCATTTATCAGCCGTCCCTCAATTGGCCCTACATTCATCGGCGATACAAGCGTATCTCCACCGGATACACAGCTACCAGGTTTCTTGCTGAACAACCCTGGTCCAGATTCGGCAAACGCCTCTTCCTTCGGCTCCGAAGAAGGAGCTGCACAGTCTATGGCCGAAATTTTCATCGAGTGGCACTAAAACACAATCATGCGTGGTCCATCATTGCCCGCCTCACCTCGGAGCACATTGAATCCTGGGAAGAAGAAAAACGACTTCGCAGCGGACAACACTCGGACCTGGACATCTACGCCATCTACAGATTGTCCGGCAATGTGGAACAGCCTCATCGACATCGAGTTCGCAACATTCTTCGTCGAGTTCTTGATTTTCGACAACTACAGCAACCCAAGCTCAACATGCTCTTACGATTACCGTGGCTGTCTCATCCAGATTATCAACGGACCACCAGAGAAGTCCTTCGTCGTCTCGTCATCGACCACCGCAACTGGGCCCTTCCCTTCCACTTGCCGAGCACGAAGCTCGCTGAGACTCCTCATCCCCGAGTCCACACAGTCATGTGGAACTACTCGCCATTTCAAGACTGCTATCCCTTGACGTCTTCCGGGCCATCATCGTGCCAATGCGACACCTGGCTCAAAAGTCAGCCCTGGCTATCCCATGTTCAAGGTCATGTGGCAGCAGGATTAGATGAGTTCCGGTTTCCTGGTACGCCCCATCACGTTCACTACACCTCAGCGCTGGCGTCGTACTATGTGGACTTCGCGGTCTACGAAGTGCAAGTTCACAAACGCCTACGGAAATGGTGCTTGCATCACGGACTCCCGCTGGACCAGTTCCACGCCCCTCTCATGGAGCACCTTCGCAGCCAATTCCAGCAGCATCGGAAACATGCACGCACTCACCAGCTCCTTACCAAGCATCAGCTCAACATCCTTCATCGACACCTTGGTCAAGACTTTGTATGCCACAACGAAGATCATGACAACCACCACCTCATGTTCGTCTGTCCTCAACTCTACTTCAAGGGCCTCCACAATACCTGGCTTCAGTCCAGCACCTTCGAAGCCACTACACTGAGGCCCGATCAAGCAGAGGCCATCATTCTTGAGGCAATTCCGAAGCACCTGCGGCAGAGGTACAAATGGGCATACCGGAAGAAGACCACCTCCATCCCGGTTGGAAAAGTCTTTCTCAAACGGAAAAAGCAGTGGAAGTCGGGTCGCACCATTATAGCATACCACAAGGTGGTGCACCGGCTACTTTTCAAAGCAGTCGCCATCCTTCTCGGCGAGCTTGCCGCTGACACATGGAAACGCTCATGGGGTATACACCCCACTCCACGCATATGGCAGAACATCAAGCAATACTTTGACAACACAGACGACACAGTCATCCTGGCCTTCCACAATGACGACTTAGTAGGCTTCTTCAACAGTGTTCCTCAAGACCAGGTTTGTGCAGCGGTTGCGCAACTACTCGCCGAGCACCAACGAGACCGGCCCAGTTCCATGTACTCAGTGGAAACGCATGCAACTGCCCACCACAATCGGGTGTTTGCGGGCAAGCAATCCTACGGACGCACACCGACCACGCGCATCATCCACATGGAGGACATCATGACCATCGTCAAGTCCAGCTTCCAAGGCATGCATGTTCAAGTGGGGACCCTCATCATGCGCCAAGTCCATGGTACAGCAATTGGCTCCCAGCTCAGCCCGGTACTCAGCCACATATGCGTAGCAAGGCACGAAGTCATCAGGTCACCTGGCGCCCCCACTGGAGGCACTGCTCCAGGCTGACTTCTACGGTGCCCCCATCGTGCTGGAACAAGTGGGGTCTTCAGAGTTCCTCGGCTTCGTCATCGATGTTGGCGACAGGTCCATTTACTACAAAACCCCTACAAAAATCTGGCAGATAAGAGGACCACGCACTGCTGGAAGCCTCTCCATCCTCCTATCAGGAGCTCGGTCACGGTCAGCCCTTGCCACCAAGTACGCGTATCCGGCCAGGGCAGTACAGATGGCACTGGATCAACTTCGCAGCATCTATTTGTCCGCAGGCTACAAGTCAGCTGACCTGCAACATCTGTTTCACCTACCGGCGACTCCAATACGAAAGAATCCTCAAGCGCCTGCCTTTTTGGTTCTTTACTCTCATGTGTCCGCGTTTGTTTTTTCTTGTTTCTTGATGTCCGTGTTGACCCTTGTGCTCAAACACTGGTTCAAGCAGTGCTGCACTTCCTGCGGACCTCCGCGAGCTGTCGCCATGCTCGGCCGCATGATAGCGCTTCATCACCGCATGTCTCAGAACGCTGGTGACATGATGCAGCTCATTCAGGAGACCTTGAACCAAGCTGACGAGGCACACAGTCGCAGGCACCGCGACGGGCAAGGTCGCTGGCCGCAATATGTCCACGGCCGATCGCTGCCCGAGCCATCACGGCTACACGCACCTGCTCCTGTTGGAACCGATGAGGTAACCCGACCTGGCCCGCCGATGTCGACTCGAGTCAACCCAGCATCTCCGACCGACCACCTGCCGGATTCCAATCAGCTCAGTCACACGCAGACCACAGGAGGAATGTGGCGGTCAACCCCAAGTCGCAGTCCTATTGCATCATCACGGCGGACACCAACGACCCTACAGATCTGCGTTCGAAGAGCTCCATGGTGCACGATTACGTTGGTCAGCCGGGCTTCAAGAAGGCCAATGTTCCTCGCTCTATCATGGACAAGGGTGAGGCCGATCGACGCAGAACCAAGCGAAAGCGAGGCCGCACTACATCCTCCGAGAAGACGGACTCGCCGGAGCCTCCAGCACGTCCAGCACCTCGTACTCCAGCTCCAGCTCCGGTCTCTCCCTGTCCTGGCCTGGTATCCTCTCCTGAATCTGTTCCTGAACCTCCGGCTCGCTCATCCCGATGCCGGCAACCCTGGAACTCCCCCGGAAGCACCTCGTGCCTGGACAGAGGAAGATGACCAGCAGCTTTGCAGCCTGAAAGCGGACAACCGGTCCAAGTACTTGTACAAATCGCTGGCCAAGAAGCTCAACAGGTCCATCGCGGATGTCACGCAGCGCTGGAAGAGCTTGGAACGCCTCAGGAAAGCTCGGGAACAGCATCAGAAGACTACCTGAACGTGTCCAACACAATTTGTCCTGTCGTCTCCGGTGATACAGTTGCAGCTCTACCACGGACTCGGGGCATCGACTTTTTGAACTCCAGATGAAGCAATGCGTCCCCTCGGCCACAACCAAAAAGTCCGCAAACAGTCGCCGCCGGTGTATGTCTTGGCATGGTTTTGGTTTTCTGATTTGCTTCTGTCTGTGGGGGCCCCTGGAGTCTGGGTTCCTGTTTGGCCCTTGTTTAAGAAACTCGGCTTATTAATACTGTGGGATACATGCGCGTCCCTGTGCCTCCACCAACGACCAGCAGCCATTTCAATTGCACAGCTCGCATCCAGTCATCACCTCCGTGATGTTCGGTTTCGTCCGTCACGCACAAACGTGGGTGGAGTACAGGCCTTCTCACTCCCCCAGGATCTGCAGCAGCAGCTACTGCGACCCACCCATCTTCGGCACCAGCACCTTCGGCCCCGGCACCCTGGAGACTCGGACGTCACGATCATCATTCAAGGCCGTATGGACCTCCCTCCAGTGATTCTAACTGAGTCCAATTGATTAAGCAATGGACGAATCCCCGCACCTCAGGGCAAGCAGTCTTCCAGACGCACAGGCAGGAATTAAAAAAGTGACCAAATCTCCCATCGAGCATCATGATGGCGGCCTTTCGGTTTCCTGTGTTTTCCCCCTGCGGGGTGTGTGTGTGGCCCCCCTGTTTCTAAGGGGGTTCCGCTGTCCTGTTGTGCTTGGAGTCGAGCGCCACCTTGCTGGATGTCTCAACATGAAGTAGTGTCACCTACCGATGGCGTTCCTGAAGAGGATGGTCGGTGGCACGAAAGATGTTTGAGCATGCAGTAAGCCGAAACTCCATTGCCTTCGCGGAGACCTTCAAACAGCCTGTGCCTGCTTGAAAATGCACCTTGGCAGTTTCGCCGTCTCATATCAAGTGTGTGTGTGTGTGTGTGTGTGTGTGTGTGTGTGTGTGTGTGTGTGTGTGTGCGTGCGTGCGTGCGTGCGTGCGCCTGACTGTGTGTGTGGGGCTTAGTTGGGGTAAAAGGACCCAATCCTAGGGCCTCCAAAGTTATGACATATATTTGTGGCGACAATACATGTGGTCCGTGAGGTTCCGTTGAAAAGACCCCTTGTGACATGCCCTCCCAACCAGTGACATGGGGCTGGAAGGGCTCAAGACCCTGTCAGGGACTGTCAATTGATGCGTGGGGGACCCCTTGATAGGGTAATTGTACCACCATTGTGAGGGTTTGAGGGAATCGTGACCACCCACAGATTTGGCGAAACTCGCCACAGCCCAAGTGAGGTTTGTAGGAACAACCGTTTTACCATAATACACTCTCGTTCAGGACGGTCCCAACCTCAACCTTTTGCGGGATGGCTGATCGTGGTTTTGTTTTTGGAATGGCGCTTGAACATATTGGCGTTTTGTGTTTGATGAAAAAAGACCACATGTGTGTGTGTGTGTGTGTGTGTGTGTGTGTGTGTGTGTGTGTGTGTGTGTGTGCGTGCCATGGTTCGACCACGGCTAGGGTCTCCTAGGAATGGTCCTCAGCACTTTAGGCTTTAGGTTTCCAGAAAACCACTAGAATCGCCAAGAGCCCAACACACCTTTCCAGAAGATTACCCTCCCACCAGCTAACATGGGTTTGTGCACAGACCCCTCTAGAAGAGGCTACTTTCCTCTTGTTTACATGGCCTTTTTGCACAAACCCACGTTAGTTGGTTGGAGGGTAGCCCTTTGATTTCCAGCTCCGAGCGCAGTACAGTCTGCGCCCGTGGTGCAGGGACCCTGAAGGGACTTTGAAGGGACACGGGGATTTGAACAGGGCCATTTTGCAACCAACTGAAACATGTGGCTTTCTCAACACCAACCTAAAGTTGGAAACCGCCATTTACAAGTTGCAATGTTCAGTATGCATCCGGATCCCTGTTGACTCGAGGCGAGCGCCCAGCAGCAGCTGGCGGCGTTGAGGCAGCAGCGGGCCACCAGGTACCAGGAGCAGCAGGCGCGCTGCAGGGGGCTCTCCCGGCCAAAAGGGAGGGAACGAAGGGCTGCACTCTTGCCTTGTTTTTTTTTTTTTTTCAAAGTCCAAACCCGAAATCGTTTTGAGAGAACCACTCAGTGAGAGTGTTGTTTTTTGTGTTTTGTGAACTATTGTGAAATAAGCACCCGCAAGCCGCAAACTTTGGGCTTCCGACTTTGTTTTTGCAATGCGCAAGCCTTTTATTGCTGGCTTGCGGATTACTTGGTTTGACGTGGTGAGTTGAGATGACCCCCAAAAAATGCAAGTAGGGAAGAAGGGAAAAACAACTGCAAATTCCCCGTGGTTTGCTGGTCCACGTGCCATATTTTTTTCGGGCCTACCCCGTAACTCTTATCGGTTCGGTAGGGCTGAGCTGGATGGATTCCCAGAGAGAAATCGGTCTGGCCCAGACGCACTACACGTTCATGCCCCCAAAACCCCTCAATTGATTCCCTGCCTATCGAACCAGCTGGAAAGTTTATTGAGTTCCGATTCCTATTCAGAAACGACTTTGGACGCTTCAGTTTGGCTCCATGAGCGCAGCTATCTTGGCGCTCCAATCCTGTTGTTTTTCTCATACCAACTTCGATGTGGCAATCCAAACTTGGGAACGTTACTAGTGACTAGTGGTTCCATACCAAAGGCTCTGGGAAGGGTCCATAGGCATTGGGATAGCTTAGGGTTGGCCGGTTGGACCCCTTTAAATTAGCCCAATCACTAAAGATTTGCCCGAGAAACATGGCCTCAATGATTAGGTTTCCGAGCAATTCAAGCCTGTTTCGTGGTGGGGTCACCTGGAATTGGTCGTTTGGGTTGGTGGTTTGGGGAGTTGAACTTGCACTAGTCAAGCTCACCATCCTCAATTTTCCTTGAGACCCCTCTTGTTTAAGGCAATGGTGTAAAACATGTAGAACACTCCAAACCACCAGCCGAATCTGTGTAGATCTTTGACTAGTTTGGTGAATCGCAGAGATTTGCCCGAGTGAAGTTGAAGCAGCACCTCATAAACACCGTTTCGGTTGGTCTTTGGTGGTTGCTTGCGGTTGCTTTTGCTTGCCTTTTTCCCCGGTTGGTTTTTTCCCGTTTTAAAGGGATCCCGCTGTCTTTTTAGGCAGAGTTTTAGAGCAGTTTGCTTTTGGCGCGGTGATGTTTACAGAGGACATGGGAGGTTTGGTCAACATTTCCAATAATTAGTCCATGGTTCATTTGAGAGAGACATGTGGTACTCAATATCATTGCCACCCACAACGGTCAGGTGACGCACGAATTGTTCCATGCCGTTGAGGGGAAACAATCAATTCTGACCATAGCAAAGGAACTCTGTACTCCTTGGCACGATTCCGGCCCCATTCTGCTTTAGTCACTTTCAATCACCGTGAAGGGAACTGTGCCGTCCACTGTCAGGTCATTGCCGGTGGAACATGTGTGCACCACCCCTCCTCCCCGTTCTGGGGCATGTCTTTCGGAGTTTCGGTTGGATGGAGTTCGGGGTTTTCGGCACACGATCACCCCGCAACCGCCATTCCAAAGAACCGTCCCCCCTTCTTGACTTAGTTGTGGCAAACAGGGTTTAAGGCCACTTTCTGTGATACCATGGGCGTACTAAAGTAGCCATAAGGGTGGTGCCCATACCACAGAAAGGGTAAGGTTCCACAACTCATGCTTCTTTAGGTTCTTCTCTTGGCGCATTTTGCTCCGGTGTGTGTAAAGGGCACAGTGCCATCTACTTTCGACCCGCAGACCCCCAGCTCCAAACCAAGGGACCATTCTCCATTGCCTCACCCTTCGCATATTTGCACGGCTCTTTGGTTTCGGTTCATTTGTGGTGCGCTGCACCAACCACCGTTTCGTTTTTGCTCTCATACCATCGGTGGAGCGAGCGACTTCCGGTTTTCGGTTCGTCAGGACCAGGGCTGTGGGGAATGACCACATCTGTGATACGACAGAAAGGGCTGCCCAAAGACTTTGTTGATATAACGGGGGATTCCCCTGGTGTCACAGAAGTGGGGAGAAACCCCTTGATCCCACTGCTCAGGACACGGCGCTGGCGCATCACCTCAGCAGCTCCCACGCTGAGCAGCCCTTCGATGCCATCGCCGCGGCTCGGAGCAGCGAAGTTCGAGACGGCCAAAAGTGGGGGGGGGTGGGGGGTGGGGTGGGGGCGCTGGGGTTTTAGGGGGCTGGGGGGTGGGGGTGGTGTCAGTTTGGTGTAGACCACCAACCCGTGTTGCAGAGGGCAGCCAAGCAATTTGGGGGTTGTTCCATTTGGCTTTGTCCTTTTGTTGGCTTCAAGCATCACTTTGTTTGGCTACCGACTTTGATTTAGTTTCGTTTTGCATTCGGTCCCCTTTAGTGTACCCTTGAGTTGCTGCAAGCTAAAAGGGAACCCATCATGAGGTTGTTCAAGCATATTACAAGCGGAGGTGAACCAAACCTGAATTGGTTGGTTGGTTGGGTTGGTTGGGTTGGTTGGTTGGTTGGTTCGTTCGGTCGGTCGGTCGGTCGGTGAGAGTTGCTTGTGCGCTCAGACTCGGTCATGGCGCAATAGCGCAACAGCGAGAGGGACTTTTCTTTGCGGGCATGGATGTAAATGGGAGCGCTTTGGAAGACATATTTCGGTTCGCTGCCCATTTTTCAGCAGCCATTTCGTGCAATGCAAGGTGTGCTGTTTGAAGAGTTAGAATGGGTTCCCGAGGGACTTTCAAACCAAATGAGCCGTGACCACAATTTTTAGCCCTTCGTAGCAGCTTTTGGTCACGCATTAAAATGTTTGCGGCTATGACCGCGCCAGCGTTGGCCTATTTTCCGACAGGGCTGTGTTTCGATTGAGGGTAACCCTGTTTGGTGTTGTTTCAATGGGGACACCACCTGGAAGCCGACCATCTTCAAAAGTTCAGGAGAACCGGCATACCTCCCTCAATGGCTGGGTGGGCTTGCCGAGGCTTTGAATGAGAGCCGCGGGGCGGTGTACTCCTTTGTCACCTGCACCAGGCTTGGCCTTGCCTTTGCGGATTGGTACCTTCATGTCGCCTGTACATCCCTAGGTACCTTGCATCACAACCAAATCCTAAGAATCTGTTCTAAGGATCGGCCCCGTTTCAAGAGGGTCTAGCCCAAGTCCCAAGTCGCCCCTGTTCTGGCTGTGTCAATGGACTTTGACACTTCACACCATTCCTCGCGACTCCTTGAAAAGGCCTGAGAAAAGATGGCCAATGTCCAACACATACTTCCTCGGGTCTTTGGTTTTCTTTTGGTGGAAACTTGGACAAGTTTCCTGTGTTGTTCCTTGTTTGGGGGAGTTCTACTCAAAAGTTTCAGCGTCGAGCGGGAACCTGCGGAAGGTGGCCCTGAAAACTCCAAGAGCTGGCGGCAGAGCCAAGCAGCACATACTCCACGCGGAGTCACATGGAACTCAAGAAAAGGATTCCGCCAAAGAAAAGATGCCTCCAAAGAGGGTGTTTGCTTTCCATGTTACTCTGCAGGGTACTGCTTCCTGTCCGCTTCTCTTGCTCGGCCAGTTCTGGGTCCGTCAGCTTCCTGTGTCATTTCGCCGCTCCAGTTGGGATTTCCCGGCCCCGGACCCTTGGCTCAGTTGCGGCACCTCCTTGCGCTACAACTCGGCCACCCACGCGCAGGCGCCGAAAAAAAAAGTGGGATGCGAAGACGCGAGCGGAGCCTGTGGATCAGGGTGGCCCAAAATCACCCAGAGCCCAGTTACCCCTGTAGGTAGCCAGCCACTTTCCAGGGTCGAATGCAACATTAAATGTGTTTGGCCTTGTACTCGCCCACGAAAAAGGGGTAGATGGACATTGGGATCAACCACTAAAAATCGGGCCAAGCCAAATTGTGGTCACTGGCAACGTGTGTGGGAAGGGTCCGACACAGTTGGTGCTTCAAACATGTTCAATCAAGGGGCCAGGATACAGATAGGGAGGTTTGAACATGTGGTTTGTTCTTTGGACCATCTGACTCAAACTATGAGAACACTTAGCCAATGCTATCTTGGGTCGTTCAGTCGGTCTCAGGTGAGTCTCAACCTTTGACAGGAAGCTTTGACGCCGCGGAGACGGCGCAGTGGCTAACCTGCATGGCATGGAGGTCATGCGCGCGATTTGGACGACCAGGATGAGTGCCTGCGCCACATAGCCGTTGGCCCACCTGGAATACGACTGCCACACGCCACCTGCGCCAGCCTGCGCCAATGAGAGCACCGGGCAGTCTTTGGCTGGGGTCCAAGGGGTGCTCAAAATGGGGGGGCTGCCTTTCACCCAACCCACAAAAGGGTACAGCTTTGATCCGTTGATACCCGTCTGAGAGTGAAATTTGTTCCTGTAGGCATACCCTTCCTTCGCTGCCTTGGGACCCAATTTGGAAGATGAAACTCCGGAATGGTAAACAATGGTGGGTAACAATAGTGTAAACAATGATGGTTCTACTTAGCCCCATTGTTTTAATGGTGGGTGGGCAGCGTTCAATACCTTTCATCCTTTTTTGGGCCGATGGTTGTACCCCGCACGTTTTAGCAAATCGTTCTACTTTTTGCGGAGGGGCAGTCGGACCAAACCAGTCAGAAAGGAAAGGACGCGCATCGAGTTGGGTGCCCTTTTGGAGTATGGGACATGTTCATGGTTGCGGAAATGGGGGGATGGGGGGGGGGGTCAAATAGAATGAACCGAGCAACATTTTAACACATCCTTTTTCGAAATTCGAAGATGTAGGCAAACGAAGACTCAGGTCTCCCCAGTTGCACATGAAGCGTTGAGCGGACTCAACGTGTGTTCCGCCGATGTGCATCTTCAAACAGTGAGACCGCCAGCCGGATCACTCGGGCTTGGTTGTCGGCATGAGTTTGAGTCTTTGAGCTTCTTGGTGTTCTGTTCATTTCTTTTGCCGTCTTAAAATTGGCTGGTGGGTCATTGTGGGTGCTGAGCAACCCACTTCCCAGGACACCGAAAACAGCGATTCTTTCCAGGCCGCCTTTTTGTCAGGAGGGGTATTTTGTTTTAGGAATTCCCGAAATAAATCCGCACCCTTTTTGTCACACCCAGTTGAGTTTCAGGCGTTTTCATTTGATGTCTTAGGCCGGCCACTTCCGCGCCACCGAAGCACCTCGCGCCAGGCGGTGTTGTGCCCCTGCGGGAACTTGATCCAGCCCGAGCACCTCACGGGCCAGGCGCGGGAGACTTTTTTGGGGATTGGTCATTGAAGACCGTTCGCAGCTTGTTTCGTGGAACCCGTGTCGGGAATTCTTAGATGTCCAGTCGCAGCCGAAGATACGAATTCCGCAGACGATGTTGTTTAGTTTTGGGCTTTGTTCTTTTTTGGTGGCAAATAGAGGTCTTTTTTCAATTTCCAGCCGCAGCCGAAGATAGGATTCCAGAGATGTTGTTTAGTTTGTGGTTTTGCTCCTTTTTTTGGCGGGCGGCTGCGACAAAGAAAGGTCCTTTGCTTGCATGCCAAGGACTGCACAGTTTCGCAATTTCTTGGAACTGGCCTCTTGCACGTTTCGCAGGCCACATGCTAAAACACCCCGGACGCCTCTCAGCTGAGACGTCCATGGGAAGCATTCCGAAGTTTTCAGCCATGGAATGCAGACTTGTTCATGCTGGATGGAGTGTAGCCAAAGCCTCCCAGCCGGAGGAAGGCCGGAGTCGTGCCAATGTGTCCTGTCCCACTCTCAAGAGCCAGGGTTTTTTTTTGTTGCAAGGAAAAGCTTACGTACTGGGTACTCAGGCGACCCGTTTAACGGGCTCTAGTAAACTGGTTCCAGCTTGCACGAAAGGAGAATCATGTCTGTAGCATCCGAATCGAATCCATTGGTTCGAACGCATTTCGGGGCGCCCGAGGTACGCGACATATTTCAGTACCTTCGTTTCCCCTTTCCCATTTCGTTGTTGTTTGTCTGTGGTTTCCTTCTGGTTTCCTTTGCTCATTTCCTTTTAGTTTCCTTTTGATTGCCATTGATTTGTTTGTTTAGGCAAGCTGTTGCTTGCCCTTTGGGTTTTAACCAAAGTTCTTGGTTCCTCCTGGAAGATCCCTTGGTTACTCTAGCTTGGCTACTCTAATTTTCTGGGAGATTTCCGGGCTGTCTAGTTCGCACAGCGTCAGGCAAATGTCTTGACTCTTGGAAGATGAGGCAAGCCTTGGCGCTAGCAAGGCCTCGATCCTTATGCAGGGATGGAGTTTCGGGGGACTCAAGCAGCGAGGAACCCATTGCACTCATTGGGTTGCTTGTGCCTTCTTTTTAGGGTACCCTTTTCTAGACGAAAGTTAGCCATTTGGCACCCCCTAGGTTTCAACCCCCATAGTAGTTGTTGACGCAGTTTAGACGATGACAATTCATGGTGTGATGATATCAACCCAATGGTGGCTCTTTTCAGCCTGTCTCCCCAGTTCCGCGGCACCAACCCTTTTCCGCGTTGCAAAATCGGTTCAACCGTTTTCTGCCAGGGTCACTGATGCTTGCGGACGTGGGGGGAAGTCAAATATAGGGTTGTCTTCTTTGGGTACCTCTTTTGGGTGGTTTTACAGGAAATCCAACCGGGAAAACGCGGGTCCTCCCCCAAAAAAAGGACGCACACATATGACCCGAACCACAATTTGATAAATTGAATTGCTCAATGGCCAGGATTTGAGCCGAATGTGGTTGGCATAAGGGAAACAAACGGAACCCACCAATTTTGCGTGTGCGTGGGTTTAACCTTCAAATCCATTTGCTGGCGAATTTCCCCAGGTGAAGAAAGAGTGCCAACGATTCCCCAACACACTGTGGAGGGTCCCCATCGGACTGTCAAAACTTGACGTCAAAACCTGGCGCGAACAGGCTCCCTTTTTGGGGCTGGTTCCGCTTCTAGGTCCCCCAGCGGTGTCCTTTGACCGTTACTTTTTTGGGGGAGGCTTCCCCTACCAAAATCGACTACAGAAAAAAGTTGGTACCAACTTTTTCTAACCTCTCTACTGGAGGACCTAGGATTCCTAGACATTTTAATCCTCACTCGCAGGTCTTCCGGCGGCGCGCGCCCTCGGACCTGCCCCTGGAGCCCGGGGAGCCGGTGCTTTGGCCGCAACACCGCTGGGGTTTGGCTTGTCTTTCATATCTGTTTTTTTGTTTATGTGGTGTTTTTTTTGTTGGGGTTGTTTATTATTTGTTTGTGGGTTGTTTTGGTTTGTGGTGCTTTTTTTTTGGGGGGGGGGGGTTGTTTCTTATTTGTTTCTGTTTTTTTGGGTTTGTGGTTGTTTGGTTTTGGTTGGTCTTAGCTGGGTTTCCTTTTTTGGGGGGGTGGTTTGTTGGTTATTTTGGGGGTGTGTTGCTGGCGGTCCGGTTCTTGGATTGCATCAGTCTCCGAGTGATTCCATGTCCTCACTGTACAGTAGGCAACCAGGCAATGGCTTCCCCGGATCAGCACAGGGGCCCCCCCAAACCTGCCCTCCCCCACCTTTGGACAAGCCCACCAATCTGATATTTTGGGGAGGACCCGCCCGATTCATTTGGAACCCCCTCGTCCTGGGTGCTTCTGGCCCCTTCGCGGCCAATTGAACTGGACGCAGGGACCTGGAGAACCTTCTTCGGTCCTTGCCTTCCTGGCCCCCAGGCAGTAGGACCCTTCCATAGGTGTCCTTTTTGGTTGTTTTGTTAGAAAATAGATGGCGATTCCTAGTTTACCTGGTGGTTGCATCATCTACCAGGGCCATCTATTTCCCCTAAAAGGACACCTATGACCTTCAATGCCAACAGCATCTGTTCTTTTGGGCCCAACAGGGCCCTGATTCATCGCGGGGGTTTGCTGTAAATGAGGGGGGCTGAAATCCAAGCAGAGTCCCCTTTGTGAGCTTGAACACCTTGTCATTGGCTTTGGATGGAAAAATGCATCTTGGGGGAAGCACTTTTAGTTTGTTTGCGAAAGCTTGAGGGTTTAATAGTGGCTTACTATTGGTGGGTTTTGCGCGGACTGGGCGAATACTGGGACAAAAGAAGAGCCACTTTTTGGCAGTTGTTTTTTGCCTGGGGGCGGCAGGGTTGCATCTTTTACTCGGGCTGGTTTTGGGGAGGCCCAACAAATTGTTGGGTAGGTTTTTAGGCAAACCTTGTTTATCCTTTACTTTAGTATTGGCGGGAATCTGGGAAGCAAAAGGGGACACCTTTCACTGAATAGGGGGGGCTGTCACTATGTTTGCCTCAAGGTGTTACGTGATGGTTGCCCCTGGTTACCTACTATGGTGGGAACTGAGAGCATTGGGCTTGTTTTAAACCCAAGAACCGAGGGTTCAACTCCTCACTTCCCCAATCCAAACCACTAATGAAGGGTTACTTGATCTGGGTGTGTGTTTTTTTGGGACCCATCCCCTTCCCTGAAAATTGCGGGTTTCCTTTTGGTTTCATCCCTTTGAAATAAAGGGGTACCCCCCCAAAAAGGCACTGGGACGGTGGCTGGGAGCCCAGGTAGATCAACACAGCCGCCCTCGTGCAGTGGGCGGGTCCTGCTGGCGGAATTACCTCAGAAGCGAAAATCAATTACCCAGGGGGCCTGCTTCCCGTTTCTCGTTTTGTGGAGGGGGTTCCGTTTGAAATCAACCAGCAAAGCAACACGGGTGCCGCGGTCCGGGCTGAATTGGTGCTTCGGGAAATCGTAAACCCAGCTTGCCGATTCGAATCGGCGCAGACCGAGCTCAAGGTTCCGTACTTAGGGATTCCTTTTTCCAAGCTTGCGAGTGGCAAATTGCCGCCTAGTGGGCTCCGGACCTGGATAAGCCCAAAGCATCCTCCAACCTAATCGCGAATTCATGCCAGTGTCAACGTGTTTTTTTGCGGCTGTCGAGATCCATGTTTTCGGTGAGGTACGGACACATGACTTCTTTAGACCCTTTGGACATCTGTTTTTTTTTTTTTTTTTGGGGGGGGGGTATGACGGTTCATTAGAGGTTGGGTTTCTGATGTGTGCATGTGTGTGTGTATAAAAGAGTCAACAGACGTGTATTACATATATATATATATATACACACGTATATAATGGCATTCCTGTTCGCGCCATTGAACATTCACCACTGCCCAAAAGCTTTCGCCAGGCCCAACATCCAGGTCGCCGGCCCGGACGGGTCTCTGACGCAGATGCCGCTCTACTCCGCCCGGGCCCTGAAAAGGAAGCGAAAGCGGGAAGAGCGGGTGCTTGGAGGGAACCCCACCACTTTTTGTTGCCTTCACGCGCAAGTCTTCCAGCCTGGATCTGAACCTTAGTGGGGTTGATGCCTTTTTAAACAAAAGGAACCACGGCACCATGTAGGGAGGGTAACTTTGCCAGCCCAGTCCAGAGTTGGAGAAGGGAAGCCACAAGTACAGCCCTCCTCCCAACGGAGTCAGAAAGAATAGTGGGCCAAGTTTTGGGGGTCCAAGTCCGGTTTTTGGGAAACACCGCATGGGAAAATGGCAAAACACAAAGTATATCTTAGACAACACACGCTCGAAATAAAACAAGAAAGACACAAAAGCAGTCAGGTTTCTGGTTTCGGGCTTTCCGGCAAACTTGGCTTCTCCATGTGTTCCTGGGCTTCTCTGGTGTGGGTGGGCTGGGTAGATGCACTGGGGCACGTGACAACAGCTGAGACGGACAGGGGCATCCCTTCGATGGCTTTCCAAAAGAAAGAAGGCACTACGGCATGGCGGATTACCTGAATGTTGCAGGGAGACCGATCACGTGACAAAATGCGGCTAAGTTGCAGGGTTCCAGCTTGTCCCCTACTGTGCTTTATTTAGTTGGCATCCCGCTTAGGGAGGATTTGGACGGAAGAAAGCATTTATTTCCCCAAAAGCAAGCCGAAAGGCACACCTCTCCCCCTGATTTCAACAAGGGCGTGTCGCTTTTTTGAGGGACCCTTTTGTTTTCAAGCTGGTTTAAAAGGAAATCAAAGAAAAGCCACCATTTTTGGGTTCCTCTATTTTGATACGTTCTCCTGGTCCTGCTTACAACGTTTAGGCGCGCACGGTTGGACATGTTTGGATAACCCGGAAGATATGACTACAACTCTGAAGTCATTTGACATCGTTTGGTATTTTAGGGTTCACTGAGTGTGGACTTGGTCTGGACCAGCAGCAAGTATTTTTTGTTGCTCTTGGACGTCCAAGCAGAGGTAGATTCAGGGAATTGCCATGCAAGGTTCAATCGTGCAGTCATCCGAGAATCGAGTTAGCAGGACCGGGAAAGGGAGGTTTTGGGGAATCCACTTTAAACATTGCCAGACTTGGCTCTGGTGCTGAATTCTGAATCAAGCCATCCGTCTTCCTTGGCATTGATGTCACCTTGGACAGCCTGGACAGGGCTGAAGGACTTGTTGCCGGCCAGCTTGAGGCAAGCTTGAAATCTGCGCGAGATGAAGGGATGATGCTGTGACTTTTACCAAATATTGTCCATCCCCAGCGAATGGTTCGAAGCTGAGGAACCTGCAAGCGGCCTTGCCCACGTTTTGCAGTGGTTTTCCATCCTTTCACCCCAAGAACTGCCTTGCCACCCGTGGTTTTGGAGTGGTTTTCCCCCCCTTCACTTTGAGCCTCTTCAGCTTTTCCTCGCCTCAGGTGCTTCAGATGGTGCGGCAGCACGGGGAGCAGCAGCAGGTGGGCGCCGACGGCCAGACCATCCAGGCGCGCTGTAAGTTGTGGGCTCGGCCCGGGGCAGGGGTCCTCACTTTGTTTCTTCTTTTTTTTTTTTTCCGCAGGGATTTGCATTTAAACGTGGAGTGGTCTTCTTGTGGAGCGCGGTGGTTTCAAGGTCGCCAAGGGTAGGCGAGTTGTTTTTGGTGGTGATGTTTTAGGAAAGGGGAATATAGGGAACTCGGTTATTGGGCTTTTTTGGCGCCCTGGTCAAGTCCACAGGCACCACAACGCAGGTGTCTGAAACGGAGAATTGTCCAGTAGGGACCTGGGCGAAAAGGCCTCGCTTTCGGTGGTTTTGGGCTCCTGGGGATGGGCCGCGGATGCTTAAGTTTGTGCGGCTGGTGTCTTTCCCGCCTATTTCGCACATTGAGGGTTTGGTGTTACCACAGGTGACTGAGCAAGGCAGGCGAGGGAGCTTTTTGCAGTTTTAGTGTTTTCCTGGTTTGCGCTGCAGGGTTGCGAAGTGTTGTTTGCAGCATACCGCGAGTTGGGAGAAGATTAAGGGTGCGTTTCGGAATGTCGTAAAATGGGCAACTTGAGGTTCGGTCAACATATCCAGTGTTTGGATTCCGCATGTCTTGGACACCGTGTCTATCATTTGATTTCAGAGCCTACCTGTGTTTTTTCCCCAGATAAAAGCTATAGGGGTTCTAACTTCTAATAAAGAGGGGGAAGTGATTTGCGAGATTGATGGGCTGGTGCTAGGGGGCGTGCAGTTTGGGGTGCTTGTGTAGGTGCTGTTTGGGGTGCTGGGTGCTGTTTGGGGCGCTGTTGAGGTGCTGGTGAGATTGACGGCTGGGTGCTAGCGGGGATGCAGGGTGACGGTGCGGGCGCATTTTTGCAAGATTGACGGCAGGGTGCAAGGTGGTGGTGGTGGTGGTGGTGGTGGTAGTGGTGGTGGTAGTGGTGGTGGTAGTGGTGGTGGTGGTGGTGGGTGGTGGTGGTGGTGGTGGTGGTGGTGGTGGTGGTGGTGGTGGTGGTGGTGGTGGTGGTGGTGGTGGTGGTGGTGGTGGTGTTTTGGGATGCTGTTTGGGGTGCTGTTTAACGTGCTGGTGATGGCGCGGGTGCATTTTCACGAGATTTACGGCTGGGTGCTTTGGGGGTGCTGTTTGGGGGGACGGTGCGGGTGCATTTTTGCGAGATTGACGGCCGGGTACTGTTTGGGGCGCTCTTCGGGAGGTGCTGTTGGAGGTGCTGGTGTATAATCGTCGGCATGTTTTTTCGCGATCTTGGGGTCTATGCTGGTGTAACTTTGGGTTTCTTGGGTAGATTCAACGGGACACCAAGAGGAACACCACCATTTTGAAGCTTTTTTGACCCATACCCGTGGACACCAAACTTCAGGGCTGATAGCCGAGAGCCTTTCTTGGCCAAGCTTCCTCGGCAGGCGCTGCCAACACGCAAGTTCGACGGCAAAGGACGGCGCGGCGAGATGTTCCTGGGGTCTTGTCCCTTTTTGTTGGGGTTCCCTTCAAAATGAATCATGCAAACAAAGGGGGCTTCTTTTTCATCCCCTTCTCCACTGAAGGCCTTCTTTCTGATTTCGGTTTTTTGGTTGGGGTGAAATAGGTCTCTCTCACTGGCCCAGCGGTGTTCTTTGGGTTTCAGTTGGGGTGAACATTGGTTGCGCGCAACAGGTCTTTCAGTTTACTTTATTTTTGTAGTTGACGCCATCAATTTTGTGAAAGGACGGCTTCCCTGCAGAACCACTGGCCGAAAAGTGTTCTTTGGCCCTGGTTTCAATTGGGTTTCTTTCGGATGCGCAAAAACACATGATTGTCCTGCGTGGATTGGGCAACAAGTCGTTGCCCTCCTAACAACTCACACGGGCGTGTCATTTTTTAGAGTTGGCATCCCTTTTCGTGCCTTTAAAGGGAAGCCGCAAGAAAAATCGTTGCGCCATTTGGGGGGTCCGATTCCTAGACAAAACGGCTCACTCACATAGACATCTGTCTCACTTCAGAGGTCTCCTGGAGGTCAGAAAGGGGATGGTCATAGCCCAGAAAGGATTTGAGCGGGGTGGTGAACTCTGGCGGACGGCAAGGCTTTTCTATCTCCTCTCTTAAGAGAACGACTGTGGGCTCTAATTGTTTATTCTACTATTTCAGTAAAGAGAAAATGAGATTCGACAGACCGGTTGGAAACATGTTGGGCCCGGTGGGAAGTTGGTTGACATAGCTTTGGAGCGGCGCTTTCTGCGCTTGCCAGCGGTTGCCAGGCATGTTGCCGCGTTGAAACCCCTCACCAAAGAGAAGCTCAAGTTGGCTCAAAGGGGCATATATGTAGCAGTGACTCGGTGAGTAATATTTTCATCTAGGAGCACTTTCGCTACACTCAAACCTTCACCCCCGCAGGGGGGCAAAACAGAAAGGGCTTATATTTGCTGGGAGAACCCGTGACGTAAAAGGTTACATACCCCATTTACCGGCTTGGGGCCAGCGGTTTGGTAGTGGGCATCCTTTGGGAATGCAGGAGTTGCCGACAGCGAGCGCTGCGAGATTTGTCAAGAGGACCCGAGAGCAAGAATGGGCTCTGTGAACACATCCACTCGCTCCCTGAGTTCCTGGACTTCATACCTTGTTGAGACCCAAATCCTGAATTGTGGTCAAACAACCAATGAAGCGATGGAACATAAGACGTGGCTCGGACGAATTTTTCCTGTTCCCGAGTGGCCCGAGACAGGCTCGCAACATTCGTTGGTCCGTGGAGGCTTGGGATGCCCAGGGGACGACAAGTCCCCCGTGTGGAGTTGACCCAATGAGTGGTGGGGGATTCACCGCGGCAAATCACTGCATCACTTTTTGCGAATGATAAAGGTGCCCCTAATATTGAAACACATGTTTCCCCAAGTCCCAAAACATCCAGGTCTGGGAATGGAAGACTAAATTTAGACTAGCCAATGTGAGAAACTACTACAGTAATTTCCCCTACCGCCCCCAAGTCCAGTCGTATTAGGGCGCCTTCCAAAACCCAGCCACTCTCGCTCGGACATGGACCTTCCAGGACTCCCAGCAAAGAAGTTGGGAGGAACTGGTAGGATCCCCTGAGAAGTTTCCCTCATGTTTGGGATATCTGTTTCAGAAGGCTACGTCCTGGGCCGTTGTTGAGGTGCGGATTGGTGTTGAGTCAGTTGGTTTGCCTTGAAATAACGTGTTTGCAAGTCTGCAAAACAACCATTTCATGCCCACAGCGTCCCCCGCACATTTGTCTTTGATGGCACAAAGATTGGCCTTACGCACGGCCTTTTTTGCCCTTCCCTAACATTTCTTGCGAGAGGAGACAGCTCGTCTCGGCTTTGAGCCAAGCTTGGCTGAAACGAACCCATCTCGGGGGGTGTCATATTGCCTAATAGATGATAAACCAAGAGCACATAGGGCACCATTTCATTTGACAGCCCGGAGGTACTACCTTTAAAACTTGTTGGCCAGCAGCAAGTTGGCTGGTGGCAAGTCTGACACCGCTGTTGATGAGAGGGCAGAATCCTCAAGCCCGGTCCAATCAGAAACCGAACGAACCAAAAAGCCTGCGACTCAGCACCTCTGGGAGGGTTCACCGATTTGACCTCCCCTTCTTGGTTTTCCTCTCTTTTCCTTCCAGGCACTGCCGCATTCCTTGCCCCTCCCTTCCTCCTTTGGAGCATTTTGCTTGGATGTTAAGACTTTAACTTTTTGCCAACTAATGGGTTTTCCATTAAACCACTAAAAGTTAAACTTTTAGCAGGGGAGCGGAAAGCAACCGAGCCTCTGTAGCCACCCCGCCAAGTAAGAAACTATGTCGACTTTTCCAGGACTTTGAGGAGGGCGAGGAGCTGCGCACCCTGCCCTGCTTCCACCTCTTCCACTCCAAGTGCGTGGACCAGTGGCTGCAGGCAAGGCGCCTAAGAAAAGCTTCCGGGATAAATTGGTGAACCAGGCCTTCCCTTTGGTTCCTTTTGGCCCATCTTGGCCAAGGTGCCTGGACCCTCACAGTTCCCTGTCACTCAAAATTAGACGGTGGCACTTTCGGACTCACCCCCACAGCGCCCGTTTTGCAGTTGCGCGCAACCTGTCATTTCTATGAGGAGGAAAACACGTGAGGCTCGGTTCCCGGATGGAACCCTCAATTTTCGGTGTCCCAGTGCTGTGAACCAGGCGTGGTTGGGCATTGTTTTCCTTGGTCCCGGAGTTTCGACGGTATATGAGAAGACCAGTTGGGTATGTCGTTTTTAGACGGTACTACCCCGTTTGGTTTTGTGTGGGTTTGTTTGAAGGCAAACTAGCCTTTTTGGTTTTAAAGGGACACCAACATGAAAACCGTTGCGCCATCTTGGGGGTCTCCTTAAAAAAGGGACACCCATTGAGTGCAATCAAACTTTTTGGATTCGTTGGCCCATCTCAAGTGACTGCCAGAACCACCCAACTTGTTTTCCAAGTCAGAGACATCTTGGTGCCATAGTTTGGGGGTCCATTGTTCACGGGACCCTCAGTGGTTCATAAACGGTTCCACTGTGAACCGAAGGACACTCGTGTGTTTTTCGCCTCCGCTTTCGGAAGAAATTCAAGGGGTCACTCATTTTGGGCTCAGGTGAACAGCATTTGCCCTATCTGCCGCCACAAAGTCGGGAGCTGAGCCCCCGGCTGCGAAGAATTGGGGCATCCGGAGAGTGAGCAATTCAGAATTTTCCGGCGGGTCGGCGGCGGCCCGTGCGATTCGGCGCAGAAGACAGCACTTCGGGAAATGGTCTTTGGAGCAAACAGCTGGCGATTTGGAGGGCGGCAATTTGGGACAGAAGGGAGCGACTTAGGTGTGTGCTGACCTGTTTCCTGTGGTGCGTAGCAAGTCACCCAGACGTCATAGCCTTTAAGCGGACATGTCTGCCATTTGTGCGCGCGGCACGCGTTGGAACTACTAGCTTGCGCTTGCCAGGGATGGCCATGGGGTTTCGAGTAGGGAATGATAAGGTTCCTCCGATCGTCAATATACAAACGAGAAACCTTCTCACACATGCACATGAATCCTGATGCCAATTCCCGCCAAAGGGTCCCTTAAGATTCACTCCACAATGTAAGGGTTCCGATTCCCATGACGTGGTCCGCGGAGTTTCGGCCACGGCACCAAAAACACAAATTTGGCAGATCCGCGTTTCTGGGGGTGGCGTTCTGGTGACACATTGGACTCTGACGCTTCTGTTGTGTCCGCTTTCATTTGCGCGGTCAAAGAAGGGATTTGAACCCCATTCCCCAAGGGTCCAACGGTGCCTTAGGACTTTTGCAACTTTTGCTTCAGGGCGAAGATGCAGTGCGGTGCTTTTGCTTATGCCACAAGCAAGAATTGCGGCTAAATTGGAGAGTGCCCCGGTTCTTTTAGTTGAAACATAGGGCCATAGGGTTTAGCCCCGCTGTCCCTCTCAGAACTCTCAACTGGATTATAAACGACCGCATCTTTTGACCGAACCTCTCCGACTGAACCGCGCCACAGTGAAGAGGAGACAGTTTGCCGCTTTCTGGCTTCCGGATGGCTCCTGCATTTTCCCGAGCCGCTAGAAGGCAAAACGGTTTCACACGCAGACATGGATCTCCGATTTCTTGAAGCGAGAAAGAGCTTGCGATCCCCATAGGTGTGCCTTTAGGTCAATCTGGTTGAAAACGGAACCAGAACTGACCTAGTTTCAGAAACAAAAATCAGAGGCACTTGTCTATTTTCCCGCAAACCTGGTTTCAGCTTGGCTTTGATCGAGCCAGCGGCATTTATCTATGAAACAGACCTGGGTGCAGAGGCCCCCCCCCCAACCCCAAGGGAAGCCGCTTGTTGTTTTTGGGAGCCCGGTTTGCCAAGTCCTGAGTTGGAGAAGGGGATTTTTGCCCAGTATATACTCACTTGCCCAAAGCGAATCGACCTTTTGACCTTTTGGGTTTTCCAATTTTGGTCCAGTTTTAGTAAAGGTCCCAAAAGGTTAGTTAACCTTTTGTTTCCTGGTCTTTTGGGCAAGTGAGTATAGATGATCAGCCTGCCTATTTCAGGCTTGCCAGATCGTGCTTCATAGCTTTGGACACACAAATGATGCCGCAAATGTCACACAGCAAATGGCTTCTGAGCTGATTTTGTTCGCGGATGCAGGGGGTCTCCGATCTTTTGCGGGTCTGTTGGTCGGCAAGCCTGACAATGCGTCATACAGATTCCGCGCGATGCAAGTCGTGTGTTTCAACTTGAGGTTGCGGATGATCTGCATTGTGATGGTGGTGTCCCACCACGGATTGCGGATTGAGATTAGGGATGGGACCTAATATGATATTGTTCTTTGCCCAAAAACAACCCACACACACGCAAAGCAAGATCGTTTTCCCCTCTTGAACAACCCATGTCGCTGGTAGCAATGATACCGAAGAGTACAGTGTTCAGTGTTACCCCCTCCGGCTGCAGATGGTCATTCAAGGTGGCCCTTGCTTTTTGGCATTCGAGGCAACGATGTTTTTCGCCAGTTCCCCAGGTAAGTGTTGTTTGGGACAAGGAAGTGGCAGTGGAACACATCATGCAATATCTCGCCCTAGTTTTGCTTTGATAAACCTGGAGACTGTTCTCCGCTTCACTGCCGACTAGCACTGTGACTACTAAACAAACCATTCTTGGATCTTTTTCGTGTCGGCCCCAAAAGGAACTTGGGACACAAGTTGGCTTGTCCATGAAACCCGACGAAAGGCTTGACCTCTTGCTTGGGGAAGAGCAACCCAGCATGTCGTGTATAGCTTGCGGGCGAGGAGCAATAGTAGGCTGAGAAATACATGACAGCCTTTGAACTTCATTCGCTCCATGATGCGTTGGCGCTTTTCTTTTGGCTGGCTCGCAGCAGGCACTGTACAGCATGCATTGCTTTCAGGCTGCGCATGGCTGCGCATGCATTGCTTTCGGGCTGCGTCGTCAACACTGCCTATAAGCCATTTCACGTGTCTGGAATGCATAGAAATAGTCAAAGTAAGGATGCATCAAGCATCAAGGTCAACCCTTTTGAGACTTGCCCGACAGCAATAAATGAGAACCCATGGTTGATCAATCAGCCCCTGGCCATTTTTCTCTGCGGGGTGCTTTTTTTTGGGGAGGAGCCTTTGGACAATCCGGATCACTTTGTGGCTAACTCCCTACCGTTAGATCCGCGGACCTTCGCCGGCGAAACCATAGCTCCACCATGTGAGCCGAAAATTGTATCTTCTTCAAGCGCGGCATCCTCAGATAAGGCCTAAATAGCACCTGTACCCAGGTTGTTTGGATTCTAGCCAGTATTTCCCTTAAGGGGTGCGGTTTTGGTGTGTGATGTGTCCTTAGACCTTGATCCGAAAAAAGGAGAAGACCGACCTATGCCGGAACACACTACAGCTCTCAACGAACTCGCGCGTTTGCGCGCTTGCCTGCGCCTCTTTCGGCATGGAGCTGCATGCCAGAGGCGCGTGGGGAGTCCTTGTCAATTGATATGGTCACACATGGATAGATCTGCCGGAGTGAGAATTTCTGTGGGGACAATCGCCTTCAAAAGATGATCAATATATCAGCAGGATAAGAGTTTGCCCTCTTGAGTCGCCGCGGCAAATGTTCACCCCCTTTCCCCCTAGAATCCTGCAATATCACCATTTGGTTTGGACAATCCCGGTGAGTTTCCGTTTGCAGTGTCAGGGCGAAGTATTTCGGAATCCTGTTCAAAGCGATTCCGGTTTCCTTGGGGTAAGAAACCCAGCTATGAACCAATGGCTAACGTAGTTTCGCTTTTCTGTTGGACGGGGATGTGGCCCACACAAGGTAGTTGTCAAACATATGGCCCCTTGTTTTGTTTTTTTTAAACAAAGAATCTAAGAACCGTGGCGCCGCCGCGTCCCCTTCAGAGTGGGAGTACCACATCATTTGACACCCCCCCCTTGTCGTGGCTTGATCGAACCGCCCATTTTTTTTTGACCTTTTGGAAACAAGGATCCTGAAAACAGGCGGAACCGGAACCGGGGTCTCCACGGGCCCATTTGAAAGAGGGGAGGACGAGACGCCTTCGGAGCACCCGAGAGACCAGGCGCGTGATGGCCGCCTGGGGTGGGGGCGCCCAAAGGAACGCATCACTCGCCACGCGGCAACCTCGAGGAGGCGGTTTTTTTTCAGATCAACGCGGGACCCTGGTGTGATTTTTGTTGTTTATCTTGTTTCAGCATGTGTTGCAAACCAACAAGAAAGTCTATTTGTTAGAGGATTCCCATTTTTTCTGTGGGAAAAGGACCCCCCCAACAGGAGGCTGTGGCTTAAATTGGCAGGGGTGTATTCCTGAAATGGACCCAAGAAGCCAAAGGAAAGCTTGAGAGTCTTCAATCATTCAGCTCCCCTTCAAACACTTCAAACAGACTCTCGGGAGGTTCTACCCAGCTTGAGTTTGATTGTAAGGCCTTACCCGGTGCGTCCAGTCTTTTTGCCACGTAACCGTTCGGTATTTGCACCTTTAAGAGTTTGTGGGATGCTTTCCTCTAATTCTCATGGAGGCGAACCACCCACGAGCTCTGGGCCACATAAACCTTTGCACACCTTTACCACCATGTCCTAGCCGATGTAGAAGGTACTGTGGGGAGAACTACATGTTGGTAGACCCAAAAGTCAAGAGATCTTGTGCGATGCTTTGCATCCACGAGCCAGCTTTAAGCTTGGGCTGATATGAACATTCTACTCCTCGAGTTGATGGACTTTAAACTATTTGGGAAGACCATGTAGTGGCAAGCGAAGAGTTATGAACATTTGTTGCCAGTCCAGTCAGGAAGTGAAACATCCAAGTTCGAATGGGGTTCAAAGGACTTGGGGGGCTCTGACTCCCGAAATTCCAAACATGGTTCCAGCAGAGTCCTTTTTCCTTTGCTTGGTCAACCAGCAAAATGAGGGGCCAACCCAAAAAGAACCGTCAGAGGAAAACAACCTCATTCCTGGGGTCTCCTCCAGACCTAATTTGATTATTTATGTCTAGGGCAGACTCAATACAAAACAGAATCAGAAAATGTGATTTTCCAGGTATCTCAGATGTGGGCCAAGATTATGCCTGTCTATTTTTTTCCAAGCAGAGAAGTTTGCCATTGTGCGAATCCAAGGGAGCAGACCATGTCGCCCATGGGGAACTTCCATGTTTTTCGATAGGGGGCTGCCTATGATGGTCGCTATCAACCCTTGTACATGGCCAGCAAAGGGTCCATCCACAGTGTCAAATTCGGATTCATCTGGAGGGCCGTCTCTTTCAGCAAGGACATTGTCTAATTAAGGGCTCCTTGAATTTGTGAATTCCTCCGGATAAATCCGAGGTTGACATGACCCAAGCGGCAAAACCCGTGTCTTGCTTCCCGCCTGCCTCGCGCTGAGCTGTGAGCTTGGGACCGAGGCGCGCGCCCTTCGGATGATGGCCATGGTCCCAGGGGCGGGTCATGGAAAGACGTGGGGTGAACCTGGACCATGTGGGTATGGGTCAAAATTAAACCACCAGGGGACCACAGGTTTTGGTCCCTGTGTCCACTTGCCAGGGTTCCACTTGCGGTACCTATGTTTGATCCACAGTCATGTGGCTACGAATTTCAATAGGGAACCAGCTGAGAAGTGATTGGTGGACGTGAATCCCCACCTAAATGATGTCCACCAAAGGGCACCCAATCAAAAAATCATGCACATGTGAGTATCTCCCAATATTATGGGTATAGTTTACTCTTGGTTTGAGGAGGACATGGGGGGACACCCTCAAATGTCCCGCAAGACGTTTGTAATACTCCCTTTGGGGCCGGCAGTCGCTTGAAGCAATTTTACTTTGGCACTAAGGAACGAAGCCCGCTTTTCCTTTGCCGTGCAGGGCATCACTGAGCATCTTTGCGTCATTGCGTGGGATTTTCGCCCGTGTTGAAGGACGAGGAGTGTCCAAGAAACGGGCAGAAGGGCGAGAAGCCATGCTGAACATTTTGCGGAACATGCCGACGTCAAAACAGAAGCGAGGTCCCCTCACCATTCCACTTGGGACGGCCCTCAGGGTGGCCGAGGGGTGTGCTATCTATCGGCTCTTGGCGAGCACGATGCGCGCAAGTTCGCCATCTTCCCCGCTCCAGCTGCATGGGGGGAGAAGACTTCCCGCCTTTCAAGAACGGCTGGGGTCGGACACGGCCCAAGGAGCCCCAGACGCTGAGATTTGGAAGCTCTTTCTTCAGTCGTCGATGTCCAGCCATGTAAAAGGCAGCCTGCCAAGCGGCGTTGTCCACCGGATTTCCCGCAGCTTTTCGCCTTTTTCCCCAGATAGCTGAAAGCTATAGGGGTTCTAACTTCTAATGAAGAGTGGAAAGTGATTTGCGAGATTGAGGGCCGGGTGCTAGGGGGCATGCAGTTTGGGGTGCTGGTGGATGCTGCTTTCCAATCTTGACGGCCGGGTGTTAGGGGGCATGCAGTTTGGGGGTGCTGGTGGATGCTGCTTTGCGAGCTTGACGGCCGAGTGCTAAGGGGCATGCAGTTTGGGGTACTGGTGGATGCTGCTTTGCGAGCTTGACGGCCGGGTGCTAAGGGGCATGCAGTGTGGGGTGCTGGTGGATGCGGTTTGGGGTGCTGGTGGATGCTGCTTTGCGAGCTTGACGGCCGGGTGCTGGGGGGCATGCAGTTTGGGGTGCCGGTGGATGCTGTTTTGCGAGCTTGACGGCCGGGTGCTAGGGGGCATGCAGTTTGGGGTGCTGGTGGAGGGGCACGCAGTTTGGGTGCTGGTGGATGCTGTTCGCGCGTAACGGTTCGTGGCTGGTGTATCGTCATGATGTTCCCAACCACGTCATGATGCAACTGGGGTCACTGCGATGCTGCGTTATGGTTTGTGGTTGTAGTGGCGCCGTGATGCTGTCAACATCAGGATGATGCTGATACGCTGTCGCAAGATGGTTCGTGCTTGTATCATCATGACGCTGCCTTTACCATCAGCATGATGCTGTTTGCGTCACCATGATGCTGTCCGCATCATCATGACGCTGTCCGCATCATCATGATGCTGTCGAACTCATCAGAACTGTATCAGCATGATGCTCTCAACATCATCATTATGCTGCTGAACTCATTAGGACGTTGTATGCGCGTTTGTAGCGCACCATGCTCAGTGGCTGTGGTATCATCATGGTGCTGTCTTCATCATCATGATAATGCTGCGTCATGGTGCGTAGCCGTGGTGTGCTATCTGGGGTCTATGCTGGTGTATTTTTTTGTTTTGGTTTCGGCCCATTTTGGTTCCTTGATTTCCCCCTTTCAACCACCAAGACAGTTGCGTAACCTGTGGCCGAGGGAGGCTGAGGAAGATGTTTTTCGGGGGTTCAGGGGTTCGCGCAGCACAGGAATCGGGTGAAGTTTTGGCGTTGCCAGAATGGTTTTCCCAGGGTCCAGAATAAAGGGCTGGGCGACTTGTCGTTTTTGAGTATTTTTTAAATTTTGTTTAGGAGGAAGCCAAACAAGGAAGCTGCCCCAGTCCCCTATTTTGAGACATGCCCAGGAGTACTTCTTCTGGGTTTCAGTTTGGCAAATCCGTCCTCTGGACCCGCCACATCACAAGAGGAGCCTTTTGAAAAACATCCAGGCGCTTAAATCATTGAACACGCCACCCCAACCAGCATCACAAGGGCTTCCCCCTTTATCACCCAAACCAAGCACAAACCCATGTTGCCACCATCCTTTTCACAAGCCCATGGTTCACCCATTTTGCCACCCAGCCCTCGACACCACCCCCCGAGACCCCGCGCGCTGCTGTCAGCCGGGGGTTTCTTCAGGCGGATGCCGGGAGGCCGAGGGCATCTTCGCGCAGCTCCTGGAGCAGGCGGGTGGCGAGTGGCCCACCGCCCCGAGGAATTCGCGCGCCGAGCGCTTCCCCTTCGACGGGAGGTGTCGTCTTTTTAGGGGAACCGCCCGGTCCCCAAGACAAAAATCCCCTTGAAAAAGCACGCCAACAAGGGGAAGATGGAAACATGTATGGTGGTTTTTCCTTTTGGTACCCTTCAAAAGCACACCAACGATGGGAAGATGGTGGTTCTCCGTTTGGTGTCCCCCTTGAAAGCACACGAACAAAAATAGGGGTGCGAACTCCAAGAAAGGTACACCGGTTTAGTCTCAGTGGTCAAAAGCGAAGTCATGACCCCAAAAGGTGAACTTCTTGCGTTCAGGCCCTTTGGGTAAGTAGTTGCTTAAAAGAACCAGGCTGTTTGCTACCACACCGAGGTTTAGAGCACAAATATGACTCAATCACTCGTAGTCAAGAATTCGTGGGCAAGTTGATGACTGCGACGCAAAACGAGGAGGGGTTGCCGACATCACCCAAAGCTTCCTCTCTTGGGTGCCCCTTTTCGGTCAACTTACCGTGGGCTTGAAAGGGGGATCATACGCCGCCCGTTCAAAGTGGTTGATTTTTGCCGCACATCTCTGGGGCGACAGCTCAAGAAAATCCCGTGGCTGGCCTTTTTTGGGCTTTCGAGGTGGGGTTTTCCCTCTTGGCTTTCACCAAGAAACGGGGGCACCCTCGAAGAGACACACCCTGTTGGGGACAGGTGAAGTAATTTCGAGTTCGCCCTGACTTTTGTGGGTCGCAGAAGTGTATCGCGCTACGTGCTGGTGCACGATCAGCGTAACAGGGAGCCGAAGGCTCTCTCGAACGTACCGGTTTCCAACAATCATGGAAGGGCAGGAGCTCTTCCAAAACGGAAATCGTCTTCCAAAACCTTCTGGTCAGCTTCTTCCATGATGGCTGCAAATGATCCGGATTCCCTCCTAAATGGGTTGCTCCCCTGACAAAACTGACTAGGTTCTCAATTCACAACCCTTTTGGGATTTGGACCCGCCAAATGCCCAAATGGTTTCGGGTTAATTGTGGTTTACCTTTCAACCAACCTGAAAAGAGCCTCAAAGCCACACACACACACACACTCGCCTTTTTGAGCAGGGGCCAAATACTTCTCGGCTTATATGGATTATAACGTTATAACGGGTATCCAACTCCACAATGCATGCGGGAAGGCGAGCGACCTCAACGATGAGCTCTGCAGGGAGAACTGCGAGCTGCGCAGCGAGGCCAGCCTCCCCCCCCCCCAGCAAACGAGTTGGCCTCCTTTTGGTTTCCTACTAAAGCCAATCAAAAGTGGGAATCCTGAAAAAGTACAGCCACAAGGGAAACAAAGGGAAAACCACAGGAAACCATGCCATTTTAGGGACCACGATTTTGAAAAGCACCCATCCAATAGTCATTGGGAAAGTCAACAGTCTCTGAATTTAAGTAAGGCAGAGTTGGGAAGACATCATTTAGCAGGGGATTCATGTCCACCAACCACTTTGGAGGCTCCTTATTGACATGCATAGCCAAGTGCTCTGCCCAAACCGAACCCTCTTGTTTTCCTTTTCCCAGTTTCTGGAGCTGACTCACGCGATCAATCGAACTGACATCCTGAAATTACTTTCGAAGTGGATGGTTTAGAGGGGAAACCCACTGTGTCCCAACAGCAATTTTGAGACCCGCTCAACATGCCAGCCCCTTTTTCCGGGACCCTGACTAAGCACGAACTCCTGCTCTTTGTGTTCTTCTAATGTTGTTCCATATCCCCCCCTCAATTGTTTGCAAAATAATGGACAACGCCGCCAACACATTCTTTCGTGCCGTTATGATGGTTTCTTTTTCCCCCCGAACCGGTCCTCTTGAGACCGAGAGTGTCTCGAATCGAATCGAATCTTCAGGCCAGCGCACTGCGCCAACGGCAGCTGCAGAGGATGAAGCGAGGCGCCTGTCCGCCGGTCTAAGAAGGCGGTCGAACATGGGGGCGGTTTGGTTTCGAAGGGGGGTGAAAGCCATACATTTTTTGCACGAGGTCCTTGGGCTTAAAGTTTGTTCGAGGTTTGCTAAGGTAGGAGTTCCTTTGAGGTTTTGTATGTTTTCCCTTGCAGGAAGCATCACCATTTGGTTGAGTTTAGACGAGTTTCTTTTCGGCGTGATGCTCAAGGGGGAGTATAGAAGTACAGGGAGCCTTGTTGTTTCGAGTGTTTCTGGGGCAAAGTCGAAAACACTATGGTGAGTAATAGTCGCTTAGCACAAGGACCCTCCCCAATTGTGGCCTACCCATTTCCTGAGAGTGGGGGAGAGGGAATCTCCAAATGTGTGCCCCTGTACCTGTTAGTTGGGTGCGCAAACTGTACGCCAACTGCTCACTATACCACTTGAGTGACTTCAATCGTGAAGTAATGAGGCCAGAGATGGTCAGTTTCATGGGACTTTGCCCCTCCTCCCCTTGTTTCGGACCTCCGAACACCATGGCTTGGAGGCCCTCGTTTGCGCCGTTTTGGGTTTCACATGACTTGCAGCGCTCTTTTTGGGAAGAGCATTTCGGTGGTGAACAAATTGCTGGGCTTGGCGGGTGCCAGCGGATTTCTTGCCCCTAGGAATCAAAGGGATTTCACCTTGATAAAGGTCCCTTTACCTGATGGATTCCGGACACCCAGGTGGGTTATTTCTAAACAGAGGCCCCAGGACCCATGGCAAAAAGAAGGGTTGCCGCGCAAAACTCGAGGTGTTGCAGGGGACAGCGTCCCTTTTCCGTGTGTTTTGGGAGGTTGGAAGATTAGCACAGCTACATGTCCCCCGTTTCATGAGGGCCCCTCCGTGGAACTTGATGGAAGCTAAACTCGTTTGGGCCATCCGACCCTTTTTTGGAGCAGGTTTTGAAGGTCACCTGAAAAGGCCAAGTCATGCGCCCTGCTTTTGGCGTGTTGAAGGGGACGGTGGCCCAAGATTTGATTCTCCATCGCCGCGGCTTTTTTCTCGATTTTGGGATCCCCAAGTTTCAGAAGACAAGGATTCCACAGAATAAGACGCAGGGCAGCTAGTGGGTTGGGGTGCACCTACAGTAACCAGAAGCTGGTGTTTCCTGCAACGTCCTTTTGGGTGGCGAGTTCAGTCACACGCCTTCGAGTGTGTAACAGTCTGTATCAAGTGTGCCTTTGGATGGGTTTAGCAGGGACACCAACAGAATGTGGGGGGAAAATCTGGTGGGTTTACTCGGAAGTGTGGGTGTTTGCTTTCCACTTCAGAAAGCGAAAGCAGCGTCCGCCAGATGCGGAAGGGAGCCGTCGGTCCAAGGCTCGGAATGCCGATTCAGAGATGTGTGTGTGTGTGTGTGTGGGTTTGCCCGTGGGGGGAGTTGTGTCACCATGAAGGGGATGAAGGGGTTGGGGGAGAGGGGTTAGCATGAAGTCCCACACCATCATAGGTGTCCTTTTTAGGTTAGTTTGGTTGACAATAGATGGTTCAGATGGGTTCTATTCCATTAACCAGGGCCATCCATTTTTCTAAAAGGCCACCTAAGCACACCAGGTGCCCAATTCAGTCCCAGAAATTCCTTCCCACTTTCTACTTCAATCCATTTGGCTGGGTGGTTCCAAAACAATAGTCCTCGTGCCAGTGGCCCATGCAGGTGTCTCCTGGATTGCGGATAAGGTTTGTCTCCGTATATTTTTTGAACCACCCCGACCAAACGAACAGGTGTGAACAAGGGCATGGAGAAAGCCATGTAGAGGGAGCTGGAGTACAAATGAGTGTTGTCCCTTTTGGCCTTGGAAAAAAACAACGCAAACCGGCAGTCCGTTGAATAAAGACACCCACATGGGTTTGAGGGAAGCCCTAAAATGGTGCAGTTTCCCCTTGGCTTCCCTTTAGACGCAAAACAAGTGGACATCCTTTGAGAACAATACGACAAAAACAATAACCATAAGAGGGTACCCTCACAAATCACAATTCAACGGGGGGGAAAACAAAAAACACTTATCTCCCTTTGGGAGACAAAACCAAAGGACCCCGTAAGATTCAGTCGTGCCTGTCTGCCGCTGTTTTGCAGGTATGGAACACCCTCTTGTACATCATCGGGCTTTCGGCCTTACGCAGAAGAAAGCCAATCTATTGAGCCTATGTCACAGGTTTGTGGGTCGTGAGGTGAGCCACAATCAACACCTGAATAGAGGTCAGCAAGGGGCAGTCTTAAGGTTTTTGGGCAGGCTCCTCTCGATCCACATTTTTAACAAATGACTCAGGATATGTTTGAAGGCGCGAGTCTTTACCCTTTCCGCTTCGAAAGGGGCTCCCTTACTTTTGGCGTTCCTTTGAAAGCCGGCCAACGAGCCGGCGAACAAAGAGCCATAGAGAGCAAACTGGGTCAACCTTCACCCCTGATTTCGCGAAATTTGTTTCCTGGCACCCTGAATCAGGGAGATTTGAGCAGTCCCGATTGTTGTTTGTCAAAAACACCATCACAGTGGCACTCCCTTCGTTATTTAGATAGTTTGCTCACTGTTTCAGGACGCCAACGGAACAAGATTGGGGGGTCCCATATGGCCCTGACTGTTAATGGGGTACCTCCAAAATGGATCGTGCACATGAATGACCACCAACTTTGGATGTCCACCAAAAGGTCCCTCCATATGGGTGTTTCTCGAAATGTGGGATCCCTTCACGTGATTTCCTTTTGGTTTCCTCTTAAACCCATCCAAACATGGGCCCCTATCAGAACACTCCCGTATGGGCACCCCCACTTGGATGTTCAATAACTTACCCTCCCAACCTGCACAGGGGCCCCTTCAGGTTCTATTTGTTATTTAATTTTTGAGGTAATTTATAACCTTGAATACAATTGGGGTCACTTAAAGGCACCCCTTACTTGCATGTTCAACCAACTTAGCAGGTCGGTTATAACCTTAGATACAACTCCCCCCCCCCACTTGAATGTTCAACCAACTTAGTACTTAGTAGGTTTGAGTCAACCCCTGGGTTAGCACCTACTTGCACCCCGAAGTGTGCCAGGTGCGTAAGCTGATGCCCCGGGCAATGCCGGGGCGCCAGCGACGCTAAAGAAGGGGATGCTGCCCCAATTTTTGGTGGTTTGAGGGTCCAGGTATTCTAGGGGGTGATTCCCCATTTCTGCACCCATGGTTCTCCTCAGATCCCTGAAGAGAATGGGGAGGCTACGGCTAGAACTATAGCGAGCGATTCCATTCAGGAGTAAAACGAGCGATGACACCGTGCTGTAGACCTTGACTTGGGATCCAATTCTTATTCAGGTCTTGGACTCATTGTAGCGGCTGTCTCCACACCCGATTGGGCCATGGTAGTTGTTTTTTCCTTTTGTTTGGAGCATATCTATATGACCTGGCAAAGTACAACAACGTGCACTTCCTGCGGGCCATGGCCTTTGCACTCGCGGCCAGTTCGCGCAAACGGAGGGCATCTGGAATCTTCTCCGCAGCATGGGTGGGGCGCAGATGACGGCGCCCAACGCTTTGGCGTGTTACTAGCCGCCGCGGGCGTGGCCCATATGCAGCAACAGGGGTGGGAATACCACCCGGAAGATTTGATCTGCCGTTTGCCTGGCGCACTAGCTACCCCCGAACTGCCTCAAAGGTGGGATATTGTGCTAAGATGTTTGGGCGATGTCCAATGTTTAAGGGTAGTGCGAGGGTCCCAGGACGAGAATTATGGGTGGCGGAGGACTGGTTGCAGGATGACGAACAAACTGTTTCCAGCGTCCATGTGGCGGTGGTTGTCAAAACCGTTTGTTTTGGATCCCATTTCGGGGTAGATTGAATCGGATGTTCACTGGAGGTACGGAATTTTGGATTTTGACCCATGGCCATTTGTGTTTCCTAAAGGTTGCAATTGTCAGGTTGCCTCTAATCCGCGATCTGCACTTGTGCCTTGGGGATTCAACCCTTCGCTTTCCAAGCTACACACCATCCAGATCTCCCAGATAGGGCCCTGAGTTGCGTGGGCCTTCTGAGCCCAGTAAAGTTAGCTTCCCCCACATTTCAGCGATCGCTTTCTGAGCAGCTGAGCAAGGTTTGGCACTGTTTTGTCACAAGCCACCGAGCGAAGGATTGTCAGCTTGTGCAACACTGATTCAGAGGCATAGCCAGAGCCATGAGAGGGTTTGGCCCTCAATGGTCCTTAATAGCTCTGAAGAATGTTGATTATTCAGTTATTGTCACTAGTAGTCACTGGGCTGCAATGGCTCCCATTGCGAGTTGGCTCATCAGTACACGAGTTTGGTTGAGGTTTCCTTTGGCACGCTGGATCGAGATGACACCTTACCAAACCCCAGAGCTTCAGGGTGCCCTTCTTTTCTTGTTTGGAAAGGGCTTCCCTTTAGCATCAACTACTCTGGTAAAAAGCTCCATCTAGTGTATAGCTGTCGTTCTTTTCCGGGATGGGGGAACCACTTCTTTCTCCTGACGAGAGGTCCAAAAAGCAAACTCAGTCTATCCACACGTCGCCCTGAAACCCAAATTTGGGAGGAAACCAGGCAAGGGTGGGCTTGGATCTTTCCCACGCGCAATTATTGTCCATGGACACTCCACTGCAACAAATCAATTCATCGTTTGATATCATAGTTGCAGAGAGAGAGAGAGAGTTCCCCTCAACGGCCGAAAGCTTTGGGCTCTTTGCACAGATAGGCTCTGGAGTTGGAGCGGGCCCAGGCGTTGTCGGTGTCCAGAGGGGCGCAAAGGGGGTGCGTTTGCGGCTATCACCTGCGCTGTGTATGCTTATGTTGGCGGGGGGGCCGGCGTCAGGTAGCCCTCAGTCGGTGGTTAAGATTCGTGAACCCTGGTTCTTGTAGAGGGCTGATGGGAACCCACTCCTTGACCTCCAAACCACCAAATCGAACCACCACCCTTTTGAGGGAAGCTGAGAAAAGGGAACCGGGACCCAGGTCCAACATCAAAGCTCTGTTGCGGGACCTGGCCGAGCCAGAGGCGGGCTGTCTTGGAGCTTCGGGGGAGGGGTGGTGTGCAAATCTACGGGGTCCAAGCGTATCCAGTGCTTCCGCGAAAGCCGCTATTCATGGGAAGCTAGATGCAAGAGCTAGGTGTAAACATACCAAGTGGCAACTGAAAGCACTGGTTTGCTTTTCCGGTCAGCTTGGCTGAACATCGACGGTTTTCCTCTTAAAAACCAGTTTGCGTCTAGTTTTTTGTCAGTGCCGTCTATGTTTGCAAAAGGACGCCTAGGGGTTCAGCTTGTTCATTTGCAGACCAAATCGGTTGCCCCCCTTCCCCGCCAGGGTCAGTTTGAAAATCCGAACCCCGTAGGTTCCTTCGAAACTAGGAGCCACTAGTGGCTAGGGGCGGGGGGCTGGGTGGGTCCGGGGCTTTGCACATTCCGGAAGTGAGCGGCATCTGGACCCCAGCCCTTCCCTGGTTGGGGGTGGGTGTAGATTCGGGGGTTTCTAGGGAGGACCATGACCCTTGGAGGGGATCTAGAGATTCAGCCGAGAGGCCAGTTTTTGTTTTTTGCCGACCCTTCCAACCTGTTTCGCGGGGCTTTTAAAAAGCAAAAACACACGGGTTGGAGGTGGCGAAACGGGCTCCCCGTCGCGTTGCTCAGAATATTGACCATCTAGACCCTTGAACTGATGGATTTTCTTTGTTTCCCTTTAAAATGACTCAAATGGTACTCTCCAAAAGAAGGCACACTAATATGAGCAACGGACAAGACTTGCTGCAGTCTATTGCTCAAATGGGGGACAGGTTGGACCCCTCATGTCACAACATCCAGAGATACCCCCAATCTTCCCAAGTCTTTTGGTGAAAAAAGGATATTGTCAGGGGCTTACACGGGATTGTCTCAAACTCGACTATGGCTGGCTGTTGTTGGTTTCCTTGCAAGCCCAAAGGGGAACTCTCCAAAACGCGCAACACCCATACTAGGTCCCCCAGTAGTGCCCTTTTACCGTGTTTTCTTTCTTGGGGGAGGGTTCCCCTACTAAAATCGACCACGGAAAAGACAAAAACCGGGTACCCTCTTCTTCTAGCCTCTCAAATCTGATATAACCGCTGCGTTCCCGGGTCCGGGCCTCCTGAAACCGACCACACACCTCGTGCTGCCTAGGAGCTCGCGGGCGTCGAGGAGGCGGCGCACCGTGTGCGGCGCTTGGCATCTCTGGCTTGGGATTCCTGTCAAAGGTCAGTCAGAGAATCTGCACGGTTCTTGAGATGTTTTTCCCCAAACAGCGAAGCATTGGGGTTCTAACTTGAGGTATAGAGAATGGGAAAGTGTGACGCCGGTTCCGGGGTCCTGTTTTCCGCTTGTCTTCCTGTCTCCCAGTCTCTCCGGTCAGATGCCAGATGCTGTAACCCTGACTCCAGGGTGTCTCCCGCTTGTCTCCCTGTGTCTCTCGGGTTTCCTGCTTGTCTCCCTGTGTCTCCCAGTCTCTGCGGTCACAGGCCAGATGCTGTGACGCTGGCTCCGGGGTCGTGTCTCCCGCTCTCTTTTTTGTGTCGCTAACTCCGGGGTCGTGTCTCCCGCTTGTCTCCCCGTGTCTGGAGGCCAGATGCTGTGACGTCTCCCTGTGTCTCGCAATCTCTGCGATGCTGTGACGCTGGCTCTGCTGTGACGCCGGCTTCCGGGTCGTCTCCCGCTGTCCCCCTGTGTCTCCCAGTCTCTGAGGTCAGATGCCAGATGCTGTGACGCCGGCTCCGGGGTCGTGTCTTCTTTGTGTCTCCCAGTCTCGTCTCCCTGTGTCTCCCAGTCTTTGCGGTCGGATGGCTGTGACGCTGGCTCCGGGGTCGGGTCTCCTGCTTTGCTTGTCTCCCTGTGTCTGGATGCCAGATGCTGTCACGCTGGCTCCGGGGTCGTGTCTCCCGCTTGTCTCCCTGTGTCTCTGTTTCTGCGGTTGGATGCCAGATGCTGTGACGCCGGCTCCTGGTCGTGTCTCCCGCTTGTCCCTTTCTCTCGCAGTCTCGTCAGTCTCTGCGGTCAGATGCCAGATGCTGTGACGCTGGCTCCGGGGCTTGTCTCCCTGTGTCTCGCAATCTCTGCAACGCTGTGACGCTCCCAAGTTACCTTGGCTTTTTGAGCCAAGATGTCCTCGGCCACTTGCGCTCGTTGGCCCCCGTAAAGCCGTGAAAACTCGGCCGAACGGCCGTGATAACTCGCGCGGGAAACTGAAAGGCCGTTACTACTCCGTGAAAAAGCCGTGAAAACTCGTGAAATTTCACGCTCTGAGTTATCTTGTCCTCACGACACCAAAAACCTTCTTAGCCCATACGGCCTAAGTAACTCGCGAATCAGATGTCTCCCAGTTTCTGCGGTTCTCCTGTGTCTCCCAGTCTCTGTGGTCGGATGCCAGATGCTGTAACGCCGGCTCCGGGGTCTCCCAGTCTCGTCAGCCTTTGCGGTCGGATGCCAGCTGCTGTGACGCTGGATGCCAGATGCTTGTCGCTTGTCTCCCAGTCTCTGCGGTCGGATGCCATGCTGTGACGCTTTGCTCCGGGGTTGTGTTGCTGTGACGCCTCCGGGGTTGTGTCTCCCGCTTGTCTCCCTGTGACTTGCAGTCTCTGCAATGTCTCCCTGTGTCTCCAGTGACGCCAACTCCTCCTGTTCCCTGTGCCCCCCAGTCTCTGCAGTCAGATGCCAGATGCTGTCGGCTCCGGGGTCGTGTCTCCCGCTTGCCTCCCCCTGTGCTCCCAGTCTTGTCTCCCTGTGTCTCACGCTTGTCTCTCGGTGTCTGGATGCCAGATGCTTCCCGCTTCTCTCCCTGTGTCTCCCGAGGGTCCCGGGCAAAACCAACTGAAGCTGCTTCTTCTTTGCGAGTTTTGGGGCTGACCTGACCTTGCTTGCTGCCACCTGGGTGTAAAAAGCGGTTTCTTGACATGTTTTCTTGTTCGAGTGCAGGTGGACAAGTGGCAGACAATTGAGGTTTCGGGGCTAAACGCAAAGCATTTGGACTTTTGCCAGCGCTGTGATGATGAGGGTGGATGAGGAGGATTCTGTTGATTCTTTGGCTGATGAAGGTGTTGACGATGATGAGATGATGATGGTAATGAGGGTCAGGATGACGAGGATGAGGAGGATGATGATGAGAAGGAGGGCGATGATGAGTGTGATGGTGATGAGCCACAGAGAAGTCGACGGTTTCGTTGACAGTTTTGCTCCGAGTCAACAAACCCTTGGAATGGAGAAGGGGCGCGGCTCCACTAGGCATGTTACCAGCGAAGCAACTAGAGGGCTTGCGCGGGTCAGCCACCATCTTAATTAGCCAAAATCGTATGAAGCGGGGGGAGGGATGCAGGAGCGCTGCAGGAAAGACCTCCAGCGGATGACACCAGCAAGTTGCGCAAGCAAGTTGCGTTAGCAAGTAGCACTAGCGAGTTGCACTAGCAAAATGCCACTAGCAAAATGGCGCAAGCCAGTAGCACGAGCAAGATAGCGCTAGCGAGATGCACGAGCCAGTAGCGCTAGCCAGTGGCACTAGCAAGTAGCACCAGCAAGTGGCACTAGCAAGTGGCACTAGCAAGTTGCAGTAGTGAGTTGCACTAGGAAGTTGCAGTGTGTTGCGGCAAGCGCTGCGCGCAGAGAGCTTGCTCAGACAACTTGCTCATTGAAACTTAATCAGAGAAACTTGCTCTGAGAACCTGCTCCGATCGTTTGTGCCACAAACTTGCTTGGAGAACTTGCTCAAAGGAACTCGCGCCAACAACTTGCTCAGAGGAACTTGCTCAGAGAACTTGCTAGGATTACTTGGCGCCACGCACTGCTCACGCTTTCGGTCCACCCATCTTCTAGTTTCCTCTTGGTAGCATCACTGTAGTTCGAGCACCCTTTCTTGTTGGCAGTGCTGTTGTAAACCTCGCCTCCTATCCTGTTGCCAGTATTTAGCACCTTCTCCTGGATGGCAACCTATGTACATCCAGTCCCACTGACAAACGCATTTTGCTGAAGCATTTCACACCTTCGTGATGCCAAGGTCGCGGCTTATCTCGTTGCCTCCTGGTGGGACGTCGTAACGTGCCATTATCATTCTCTGAGGCGCTAGCTTCCCTCCAGTCTCTGGACCCATGAAACACCAAAGGGGTTCAACGTGAGCTGTGTTGCATGGCGCTTGTGCTAGCAATGAGTATTCTTGGAAATCCGAGCAATTCCACTTCATTCTCGCAATCAACGTTCGTATCCGAGATCTCGACTTGAATTTGGCAGCTCTGGGCGAGACTCGTCCAGCAGCACCGAAACCTTTTGCGAGAACGGGTCGGAATCGATGTTCAAGGCGTAGCTGTGTCGTCAAAGAAGAAATGGATGGGCCATGTCTTTAGCACGTGTTGCTTCGGTGAGTGATGGTCTTGATGCTATCAGCACATCCCTCCAGATTGTTTTCCCGACAAGCCACGTATGCTGCGAGCAAGTAAATCAGCACTCTGCGTGCGTGGCGAACTTCCCAGCAACATTACGGAATGGCGGCTCTGGTGCTCAATGTGGTTTTAATTGCAACACACGGTCATGGCCATGTTTCGACACATGTTCGGTGGCTGTATAATCTAAGAAGAGTTGCTAACGCCGCAGTCTGCAAGTTTATGCAAGTTCTCTCTTGCTTTGCTTGTGGCAAGACCTTTAAGCCTTTAGCTCGAGAAGAAGATATGTGCCCAGTCTCGGCCGCAAGCTGATGATACTGATGTGCAAGTTTCAGCAGAGTAGCGAGACGGCCACCAAATGCTGCGGTGATGGGAAAAGTGCATTGAGTGTCCGTACTACGGAAGTTCCTTCGAGACTTCCTTTGATTAATGCCAGGTGTTAGGTTGATTCACCACGAATCCCTGGGGCCTTCACTCTCGAACATGGCATTGAAATGGCATTTTCCTCCTCGAAGTCGATGAACAACATCGATGCTCTTACCCGGCGTCAGGGAGATGAATGGACCCGATGTCCTCTTCCCAAAAAAGGGGGCTTCCTACAGGGTCATACATAGACTCATTGTAACTATGTGTTGCTCACATAAGCTACTCAATTTCGCACCTTACATGAAGGAGACAAGCCTTTTTGGGGGTATACAGACCTGTCATGTTTTTTGCTGTTTGGGGTCGAGGCTGGTGTAATTTGTTTTTTGGTTGATCTGCATTGTGGTTTATACAGTTTCTGGGGTCCTTTAGTTGTTTGGTACCTTTCGGTTGTTTGGTCTTGTTCATTGTTAGTCGGGGGGGGCTGCAAAAGTCAACGCTGTTTGAACTTCTTGGCAGCATCTGGGAAGGAACAGTTTGGGTGTCTTTTGAGGGTGCACTTCTGGGCGTGGCTTTGGGAAACTGAAAGGACACCAACCGTTTGAGGATGCCCCGTTTGGAGCCGGGTTGGGCGAAATGTGTTTAAAAGTAGCTAACCCTGCTCCTTTCTTGAAAAGAGAAACACGTTACGTGCTTGAACAAGGGGTCGGGCCAAGACTGTGTTGCACACAAACCCATATTCATGGCTCACCGACCCCTATCCTAAGTCTCTGCATATTGAGTCTTGATCAAGGCTTACCCTTGTTTACATCAAGTTTACATCCTTTATCAGTCAAGGGACCCCTAAAACAAGTTGAAATGCCCCAAAACAAGGCTGAGCACACCCCAAAACGTCGGTTCCCTTTCCGGATCTCTAAGACAACCCAGAAAGACCCACCAAAACTAAAGTTCCCTTTGGTTGCTTTAAAGGGAAGCTTCAGAGCCCCCAACCAATCTTTCCCTTCAGGTTTCCCTTTGGTTCCCCTCACCCCAGGGCCATTAGCAACCCTTGGGATTTTTTTCATGTTTCCCCCCCAAAAGAAATGAACCACCCCCCGTGGAGCCAGTTTTCCCTCACAAAAAGAGTGGACCCCCCCCACCCCGGAAGCCAACCCACGCAGTGACTCGCGCTTAGGTCTTCGCCACCTGGGCGGAGCTGGATCAGAGCCAGGCCGTGGCCTCCGGCGAGGCCCGGGAATTCGGGAAGCCGCGAAGCCGCGGGCGGAATCGGGTTTCGGGGCGGCCCTGCGGCCCGGACTCGTTCCCCCCGGACTCGTTCCCCTGACTCACATATATGGCTGACTTATTTTGTTTTCTTCTGTTTTTCTTTTTTTCTGTGTGTGTGTGTGTTTTGTTTCAGGGTAGTTGCCCCCTTTTTGGAAGGAGTTTTAAGGGAAGCCAAAAGGAGCACCATTTGGGCGGGAGCCCACGCAAAAAGGGACAAAACTCCATATGGGGTTTTGCCCATGGCACAGATTCAGAACTGCCCATGTGGGTAAACCCTCACATGCAGGTGTTGATGAAAGGGGGACACCCCCAGAATTGGATTCCCTTTTGGCTTCCCTTACCAAAGGGCACCGAGCCTCGCGATATTTCTATAGCTCCCGGAAGTGTTTTTTCTTTTATTTTTTTTCTTTTCCGAGCTGATGAATTTAATTTAAGACCTGCTACTGCTACCCTTCTAGGCCGCTGCCTCGTTTTCCACCTGGCGAGCCTAATGGCAGACACATCATCCTCAGTCATGTACGCAAGCCACAGATTCATGAGAGGCCTAAAAGAGGATATCCCAAGTTGGCGGAACATCCAAGCACATCCGCTTTCCCAAGGAGACCGCCGCCCTGATCGCTGAAAAGGTGGCCCTCAAGGTCTGGGGCACGGGAGAGTGGAGTTGGTCATCGACGTCGCTGTGCGTGCCTTCTTTGAGGTTGGTTTAATGGGAATGCCAAAAGGAAGCCCTTGCCATTTTGGGAATGAATGAATGAATGAATGGGAGACCTTTTTTGAAACAGCCGTGTTTTGTGTTTGAGTTTGGGAATGCTCAGGTTTCCCTTTAATCCAGGTGCCAATCTTCTACCTTTGTGCCAGGTTTTGCACTGCCCCCCAAAACCTGGCCTACCCCTAAACGAAATGATGTCTTGGATTTGTCTTTGGCGCCCCTTGTTGAGAGTGAACCCCCTATTTCGAGACCAGCCCATGTGATTCACACTCAAAACCTGGGCAATTGGAGGCTCGCTGTCCAACCATAAATGGGTGCGGATCTCCGCCTTTTCAATTCTCGAAGCAGATTTCCTGGGCATCTACCACTTTCACACCCATGTCTACTTTGCGGGCCTCACATCTTGGACTCTTTCCCCACGGTTCCGGGGCTCGCCCCATTTTCACGGCGATCGGTTTTGGGAGGATGACTCCTGCGGGAGGACAGCATCCCCCCCCCCCCCCCCACCACCACCGGCCGGCCGCGTGCGACCGGCCGCGTGTGGATGGCTCCGGCGATCCCAGGAGTTCTGCATCCGGCAGCAGGAGCGGCTCTTGGAGCTGGAGGTGGCCAAGGAGCGCGCGCTGAGAGGCGTCAGATGTCGGGAGGCGTCGGGAGGCGTCGGGAGGCGTCGGGAGGCGTCGGAGGTTGGGGGTCGGAGGTTGGGGGTCGGAGGCGGAACGTAGACCCGTTTCTTGGGGTTGGAGGGCATTTCTTTCGGTGGTTTTAGACGGTTTTCGGAGTTGGAGTGCATGTTCGGTGGTGCTTTTTGCCCATTTGCAAGCGTACCTCGTGCCCTTCTGCTCCAGCCAAGCGAAATGGAGTTGCTCCGGGGGCTCGAGATCAATCGGTTCCACGTGGAAGAAGTTGGGTTTCCCTGTGCCAGATCTGGGCTCACTCCTCCGTGTTTTTGCACTTCTGTGCAGGTCCGTCTCGTCATGAGCAGCCAAATTTGTGTCCCAGAAGATGTCTTTTAGAGAAAGGCTAGGCAACTTCAATAGGGTCGGCTTTTTTGTTTAGGGGTTGAACTTTTAGTAACCTGTTGTTCTTTCAAACATAGCGCAGACCAGTGTTTTTTGATTTCTAGCTGTTTTGATTTGTGTCTTCTTCGCTTTGGACGCTCCATCAAGCAAGTGAGTGAGCAACTGGTGATTCCAGATTCAAAGCATCCCGGCTCTTTGTGGCGCCATTCGCGGCGTCCGAGTGTGTTTTTGTTTGGATTTACACCTGGGGCCGGAAACATGGCTTAACGCCGGTACCCTACGGCTGGAGGAGAGGTCGGTGGGATAATTCTCTGGTTGAGTATTGGTTTGCAATCTGCCTATTCTGATTTTGCATTGGGGACGTTGGGATTTTGAACAGATACGTTATTATTATCTATTGTAGTTTATTTTATTTTATTTTATTTGGGGGGGGCTCTTACTATTACGAAGGGGCTGAGGATTGTTGGAATCCGGGTGTTTTTTGGGTTCCATGCTAGTTTGCAGGGACGTTGGGCATCGTTTTAAGGGTTGATTCCCCATTCTCTTCACCCATCGTTCGCTTTGGACACCACCCACAATTTTCAGGGTTTCCTGAAGCGAATGGGGAAGGCACAACTGGATGTGTCTTCTTTTAGGGGGGCCTCCAAATCGAGGTTTTCCTTTTCGTTTCCCTCTAGCGCCCGAACTCTCATAGCATTTGTGGGAGGCTACCCGGAAGATCAGTTTCCTTTTTAAGGGACCCTCTATCAGGTGCCAGGCTTTGTCAGGTGCCATGGACACGCGGGAGGGATTGTAGTTTCAAAATTGCCACGCCCATTTTGCAATCACCTTCTATGGTGTTGGCTTAGGCTTCTTGTCGATCCTCTGTCCATTTTCCCGTTCGAACACCTTTTCCCCTCAAAGTCGCCACTCCCATTTTGCAACCACCTTTTCTGGTCTTAGTGCTGGCTTCTCGTCTGCCAAAACGAGCCATTTTATCCTCGAAGAGAAGTACACGCCCACCTGGGCTCTTGTTTTTTTTGCCCCCAGAAAGACAGCCTGGACTCGTTCGATCCGATCGAACGAGGAGAAGCTGGGCAGCTCCTTCAGCTGGGCGGAGCGGCTCACCTCGGCGCTGGCCGCGGTTTTTTTTCTTCTCCGTTTTTCGCTTTTGGATCCGCGGGTTTGGTGCGACACGCCGGTGGTTGTTGGGAGACATTTTGACATTTTTGCTAATTTTGTGGTTTAGTGGTTGAAATCCCCACTTAACTGCTAACATTTCAATTGTTGCTCCCCTTCCAACGTCAACCAAGGATAAGTAGACATGCTTTTTTCGCGCATCCGAAAGACTTCGACTCAGCAATCGGCTCCCCTTAAGAATGAGCTTGGATTGAAGTCTAGCTTGGTGTCGGGAAGGACCGGGATTGCAGTTGTCTTTTGGATGGTTGGATGGAGTTTGGATGGGGTTTGACAGAGTTTGATGGAGTCTTGATTTACATGTGATGGGGGTGTCACTGGATTTCGACGGCTTTCCTGAGTTTTGAGATAGCGTACTCTACAAGCGGACAAATAGTGGTAATGGACAGGTAACTTTGGGTGGTCAGGATTGATGTTGCCAGAAGATGGCTTGTGCAGCCTCGGGTTCTGACCCAGCTCAGATGAGAAGAAGATCTGAAGTTCGGATAGAGCACTTTTCTTGTTTCCAGCACAGTGGCCCCCTTTGTGCCTTTTTTTTTCTGGGGGGAACGGTATGGAAGGGTTTTCTTCTTTGGAACTTGCTTGGGCCTCCGAGTGCCAATCGACTGGCCTTTCAATGTGGACGAAAGAAGCACGCGGCACTCAGAGCAAGTCCGAGACCCGATTTCAGGACACTACCCACAAATTAACACATGGAACCCATCAGGCGGCAGCGAGGACATTCCTCTAGACATGTCTTTCTTTGAATTCCTGGTTGACCTGGCGAGCATTTTTCCACCACGGGCAGCACATGGGAACTGTTTGCCAGGGCACTCTATCTGAAGCCGCACCGCAGCCACGCGCCCAGAGGGAGATTCTCCGCGCGCACATCTGTGGGCGACCTTTGCACCTTCTTGACGGTTTTCTTCTTGACGGTTTTCTTTCTTGGAGGTTTTCTCGTTTCATGTTTGGCGGTCTTCTTTCTTGGCGGTTGCTCCCCATAGGGCCCTAGGATCCTTTGGGCGCTTTAGTTTTCCTTTACCAGGGCCAACTGTCTATCAGAGTCACAAATCATTGGAACTGACATGTCCTAAGGCCATCCGCCGTATTGGGGTGTGTCTTGCTTTGGAAGAGTCCCCTCCCCAAAGGGTACCAAAAAGGACAAATTCGCAGAGTCAACTTTCTCAAACATGACTACTGACTATTGCAGGATGTCCAAGAGAGACTGGAATGTGTCCTGAACCCAGAGACGCTGAGCATATTTCTGCTACAGGTGGCTACCCAGTAGGAAGCTTTGGGAGGATAAGATATAGCGGATTTCCATAGGTATGGCTACGTCGACCCAAATGATGGATTCAAACATCCTCAGAAGTGATAATGTTAAGTTGGAACGCGACTCGTGTTGCATTCCCCAATTTGAGACATCGATATCTCCAACAGCACAGCGACTTGCACCTTGCATCTTATTTGTTGGCTTTGTTTTTGAATATCACCTGGCTCGGGTTATCCTGTTGCACTTTCATGCACCCCAAAAAACATGCAAAGTTGATTCGTTATTGGCACCCAGCCCCGTTGTGACTCGATCAACTCCTCAACACCTCGGCCTCATGCTCACATCGCTGGCTCAAGGATCGATCTAACGAAACTGAAAGAGGGTCGTTAGAGGAACATGGTCTAGGTGCCTTTGAGGTCTATTTTTCTTTTTGGTTGGCCAGCTGGAGAATCCACCATGACCATAGAGGAGTTATGCTGATTTATCGAAAGATGATTTCCAGCTCCCAGAAATTGTTTGGACAAATAATTTTATTTGACGAGCTTTGTTTTCGGGATAAGAGGACACATGTTGAAACCACAGTTCATGCTGAAAGCACAGCAACAACCGTGTTCTCTTGTCGTGAATTTGCTTCAGATGCGCGTTGTTTATTTTCCTAGTGAACAATGAACGCATTTCTGCAGATTGTCATTCATGTTGTTGGTCATCCTTGAGCAAACCTCAGTCATGACAAAGGTGTCAAGGCCTTCGGTAGCAAGTTGCCCCGGAAAGTGTGGACGCAAGTCATGCGATGGTCATTGCAGCGACCTTTCGCATGTCACTTGCTGCTCCAATGCTTTTTTCTGGGATCTGCGAAACAGGTTTTGGCGATCGTCGCAGCGAACTCTGAGATTGATTGGAGGATGGTCGAATCTGCAAGCGTGAAAGATTGGTTGATTGACGAGCTTCCGCTTCCGGACTTCGGCCGGATCATGAAGGAGAGAAGCTTCCAAGATGCCCTGGACCATTCATTTGAGGCGATTCAAGGCGGTTTAAGGGGTAGTCCTGATGCGCTTTTACTGCAGTCCAAGGGGCTTGGCATCGCCACCTGGTTGGCCTCCAAAGGACTTTGGAGGGGTCCCTTGGTGCTCTTATCGCCCATCCCCAACAGCTGCGATCATATCTCTGGAGGATCTTGGGAGGCTGAGTGGAATGCCACCATGCAATTCCTGGACCCACTGCGGCCAGTGGTGATTGGGACCGGAACAAGCAGTGATGAAGAGGAGTTTATTGTCAAAAGCATTGAGGAGACAGGAGTTTGTGGACAGATTCGACGCATGGCAGCAGTTTTGAGACCGGAAGTGTTGCGCGTTGGTGGCGGGTGGAGGGTGGAGGAGAGACTGTGTTGCTGGACAATCCATTTCCACCTGAAGAGTAGATGGCACAGAAGGCTCCTAGGGAAAGAATCCATTTACGTTGGCCTCTCTTCTATTTTCAGTTGGTGGACTGGAACTGTTGATCTTAATGTATATATATATATATGTTAACTACATCGAGTTCCCAGCAATCTATCGAGGGTCTTTGGCACTGCTCAAGTGCGGTTTGATGACAACACGGCACGCTTGGTTTTTCGCCCGCTGTTAAAACTCTCAAGAAGCATTGCGAAGCGGACCTTCTCGGGGGGAATCTGTGCGGAACGTCCTTGACAATTCTTGACGCAAAGTACTACAGTGGATTCCCTAAGGATTGCAAGGGAAAAACAACGCTCAGACGTCCTGTAAACGCGCGTTTTTTTTCGTTCTTTCCCCCCTGTAATGGCCGCAAAAAACGCGCAAATCATATGGTTTTTCACAGGTTTCGAGCAAGTCCAGCAAAGGGTGGGCCGGATGTCCGAGTGGAACTGCAAGAGCACGGCCTATCCTTAGGTGACTCCAAATCAAAACCTGTTATTTAAATGGCATGGATGCAGTGCTGCGCGGGTGCACTTGAACGGGTGTTCTTACCATTTGGCTGGCATGGATGCAGTGTTGCGCGGGTGCACTTGAACGGGTGTTCTTACCATTTGGCTGGCATGGATGCAGTGCTGCGCGGGTGCACTTGAACGGGTGTTCTTACCATTTGGCTGGCATGGATGCAGTGCACTTGAACGGGTTTTCTTACCATTTGGCTGGCATGGATGCAGTGCTGCGCGGGTGCACTTGAACGGGTGTTCTTACCATTTGGCTGGCATGGATGCAGTGCACTTGAACGGGTCTTCTTACCATTTGGCTGGCATGGATGCAGTGCTGCGCGGGTGCACTTGAATGGGTGTTCTTACCATTTGGCTGGCATGGATGCAGTGCTGCGCGGGTGCACTTGAACGGGTGTTCTTACCATTTGGCAGTGCTGCGCGGGTGCACTTGAGCGGGCGTGCCTATCGTGAGTGTGAATTTCGATATAATTCCCGCGTTTTACGTGGTAGTGGCCGGACATGCACGAAACCTGTGAAAAGCCATATGATTTGCGCGTTTTTGCGGCCATTACAGGGGGGAAAGAACCAAACAAAACGCGCGTTTACAGGACGACCGAGCCAAAAACAAATGTTACCTCACCAGATCTGTGTAGTTGGATCTGGTTGGTTCACTCGCAACATGTAAGGCATCCCCCGTAGGCAAGATGTGTGAGTCATACTTCCTTTTGGCATTGGGCTTGGGATCTGAGTAATGCCCAAGTCTTGCAGTGGGCTTATACTGCTTGGTTTAGGAAGTAGTCTAATCCACCGGAATGTTTACCCAACCCACCCAATACAATGTGATTACACCAGCACAGGGCACTAGCTCGTGGAATGCATAGGCACTGGCAGCTGTCGATCGATATGCATAAGGTAAGGCCTTCAACTGAAAATTCCCTATGGACTGGGTGCAACGGATACCTCAAAAAACAGAGGGGCGTCTTCTATGTTTTTTTCCGGACCCCCTATTGAAGCCCCCGGTGGAATTTTATCCCTTGATTTCCAGAGCTGAGCACGGAGGGTACCTGTCATGACCTTCAAGAGCCGCATAAAAAGGGCGAGCGAATCCACCAACACGATGTTGGGGGAGCGAGCGAAAGCCATGAAGGTCCTGGCTGACTGAGGCCGTGGCGTCACTAGCCACAGCTTCGAAAGGTGTTCCTGGATTTTGCGCTCCTTTCCTGGAGTCTTGGAGATTGATATGGCAACCAGAGTAGCCATCTGGTTGAAAAGCCTTGGAGTTCACATCACGTACCAAATATCCATGTTCCAGATGGCAAGCCAGTTGGAATGGATCATATCAAGGGATGTGAAACACATTGATTGATATTGCCTCATGGCCAGGTGTTTCGTGCATGGTTGGCTTTCCCTAAATGAAACTTTGTGTGTGAAGCTGCTCTCCGGCAATCTTGCATGCAACGGGAAATCATGAGCTTTCAGGGCAAATAATGGAGCATGACCAATCAACCGGTGATGACTCTTCGACTAGCCGGGGGGTATGCAGAGCGTTTGTTCTTTCCCTGTCTCGGAGGATCTCATTGATCCCTTCCACTCACATGGCACCTGACAGGGGGTCTTGGGAGGAAATTGATCTTCTGGTATCCTCCCACAGTTGCTATATTGGTTGGAGGGCACATCTATTTGAGATGGTCCTTGTGGAATCCAGGTGTACCTTTTTTGGGTCCAAGAGGAAGCCAATCTAAGGAGATCATGGATGGAAGAACGAGCCCAGCAACGCGCCTCACATTGCCCGGCTCATCGACAGCTTGTTCCACCTTGCAGCCAGATCCAAAGCCTCAGAGCTGTAGCCGATCGCAGCAAGAAAAAAGCGAGAAGGCCGCCTTCATGCAACAATCACCATGTGGAGCCACTAACTATTGAAGGATGGTCATCCCAACGATGATAACCATCAGAACGAGTCCCGATTATGACCTTGCAAAGTCCAATGATTTCTGACCATCCGAGGGTCACTTTGAGATTTGAGGGTAACACTAGCATCTCTTGAAGAAAGACACATCTTCCAAGTCCAAGGCTGTCATCTTCCGCATCCAGGGTTGTTAAACGCACTTTTTACAACTAACGTCAGGTGTAGTTCAACATGAATCCACTGATCAGGAAAGTTGTGTTCTGAAGCACCATTTGTGGGTTCAATCGTTTCTGCTTGTCTTTCTCTGTTTTTCTTTCAAAGCCTGTTTTTCTTTTGTTTAATCCATCACTTTCGCAGCATCGTTGTGAACAATTTCCACATCAGGTGACATATTCTAAATAAATTTCAGACGCACATCATGTTGCTCTTTGCTAAACGGTATTGACATAGTTTAGAATCTCCCGGAAGTCACCAAAAGAGGTCACCCAGGACGATGGTGTCTTTCATTGGGCTCGCGTTTTGTCGGCTGGTGAATTATAACTGCGTGCGCAGAATGATAGTTTTTTTTTGTTTTTGCTTTGGACATAATCAATCATCTCCATGACTTCGGGTTTGGGAATTACGCTCGAACTCAGCTGGAACTATGAGTTAACCATGCTGAAATATACAAACGTTGCGCGCTTTTCGGCGCCAAGGCTTCCAGGTCCAAAGTGCTTCATGGGCCGTGACAGAACGAGGTGGTTTGGGGCCCGCTACGACGAATGAGCTATTTCATCTCAACTCTTTGTTGTTTGGGGTCTCCCCCAAGTCCATTTTTTTGTGTTGCGGTAGACTGAATATGACGCACAATCCGAAGGTAGTGCTCTTGGAGTACCCCAGATGGCCAAGTTATTTTGTGGTGCTGAATCTTGATGGTTTACATGGTCCCCAGGAATCCCAGCTTCCCGAATCTGTAATCCTTCACCATGTTACTCTCGTCGGAAGGGTTATTTCATTGGTTACCCAAACAATGGGTGGTTTGCAGAATACATATATAGATATATATATATATATATATGCCTGGAGCACCCTTCGTTACATAAATTTCTGCCCTTAGCCCAAACGTATTGCAAAACCAGGGGTCGTCACCAAAATATGGTAAACGTACACTTTTTCCTGCTTCGAGCGTTTTTCCCAAAACCGGGCCGGTCGGTCCTCCAAGATGATCGGTCGCTGAATATTCAAAAGGAGCAAGCAGAAATAAAAGTGCAAAACGAGCGCAAATATCCGCAAAACGAGCGCAAATATCCGCAAACGAGTGTTTTTTGTTTTTTTTTAAACGCAACAATCCCGCCTTCCTCTGGATGGAAGAAGGAGATGTGGTCGAGCGTTTTTCGGGGGGCGAGCGTTTTTTGGGGGGTCGAGCAGAAATCGGTAATTCGAGCGTTTTTTCTCGTACCTAAAAAAAAGGGCACGTTGGGTGCCTCAGGTGTACATACATATATATATATATATGTACATATATAATTATGTAGAGAACTTGAATCACAGTGTTTATAAGTCGAAAGATGATCTCTTTCTGGCACACACGAGGTTTTGGTGCCGTCCAAGCCGGTTGCCATTTCTGTTCGATGGGGAGCCGTTCGTTTTTACGACCTGTCAACCGGTCTTTTAGCCCCACTTCCTACCTTTGGTGGATCCGTTTGAAAAACCAAGGTCCTTGCAGGAGGTGCATGATGTGAGCAGCAAGCCGCAATGAGGCCGCATGTGGGCCACTTCATGTGCAGCCTAACTGCATCACTGGAGGCAGCATTTTGAGAGTTGATTCTGCGCCATTCATCCTCTTCCCAAGGTGTTCTGTCCTTGAAACAATTGCAAGCTGGGACTGTCTTATTTGAACGGCCCGGTATTCTTTGCAGTTTCACTCCTCTGCTGTCATCAAACGGCCGAAGTGGTAGAGGAGCAAGTAGTCTCCACAAATTATGAAGAGCTCTGAGGGTCAAATCCAGGGCAAGCGCAGGATACGCCTAGGATTAGCCTTAAAGTTCGGATGAAGATGCCATGGCAGCCCCCCACAGACCTTCCCCCCACTCCTCTGATATCGGTGAAAGGCCGTAGGCTCACCGACTTGAACTCGACACTGAGGCCGTCCACCGAGTTGCCTCCCCAGGCCAAAGCCTTCGGGCCGATTCGGCCCTGGCCGTCTTGGCGGTCCAAACGGGACTTCTGGGGAGTGGTTGAGGGGAAGCCGGGACCCTGTGCAAGCCTTTGGGGAGCTGCAAATGCGTGTCATCAAATGACCCCTCTACTTTTGGTTGGCAACTCTGGTCATCATCACCTTGATAGGGTGCTAAGGCGGCCATTGCAAGCTTTCCTTCTTCAAACAAAGTCATCTCCCTGCCCCACAGATGGAGTTGTCCCAAGTTATGGTTGACGGCTGCCCTTTGCCTCCAGTTCCACGGGGCTGTACGAGTTACGGACTGATCCGAGTTGCTTCCGGCATCGCTTCTTTTCACAGGCCATGCTTAGATCAAGCTGTTGCCGGAGTTGGGATCTGTTTGGTGTCCGGTCCTGCGATTTTGCTTCGTCCTCCAACTCAGTTCAGGGATTGCGTCCAGACATGGTACACAGCTCCGCGCGTTTGGAGCTTTGTCGCGAGTAGCGGCACCAAGTTCCATGGACTTCGTGTCCCGCTCATGCCTTTGGTCGGTCTTTGGTTTTGACCTTTTTTACGTCGGTAAAGCTGCTTAGCCGTTTGGCTTGTTTCTTTTGTCCTTTTTGTGGAAAACCTTGTAATCTTGGTCTGATGTTCAGTCAAACAACTTCAGTCGCTGGATATTGTTGACCAGGGTCTCCAAGACCATTTGTCCCCCATTATAGAGTAGACTGAATATGGAACAGAATCTGAACATGTTGTTGTTTGTGTAATTACCCCTACCGTGGTTTTTAATTCGTCACTTTCAGGCAAGTCACGATTTCCCAAACGAAACTGGCACAATGCGGGCGTAAGTCTTCCTTCTTCCTGCTGGTCGAGCCCAGTTCTGTCCGGGTTTTTGGGCAAGGGTGGGGCCACATCATTTTAACCAGCCCTTGACCCCCTTCGAAGGACTACCCAAAACGAAGGTTGCTTGACCCATGCCGGAAGATCGCCAACAAGTTGTTGAACAATAGTGGGTTTACATTTGCAAACCATTTTCGGGCTTCTTCAAGGACAACCAAGAAAGGAGGTGATTTGAAAGAGTGTGGCCTAACCCTGGTACAGAATTTGTGTCTTAAGACCCTGCCCATTCGAAGGTTCCCCAGTTTTGAAGACTTTTTAATCTTTTAAACACCTTTGATTTTACCCATTTTGGAATGTCCTTTCCCTTTTAAACTTCGTGATTTCGGTTTTTCCCCATTTTAGAGCGATTTTATGAGACCCCACCTCTCCGAGCTCCTTGCCAGGTGAATGCGCCGGCGCCGTTGGTACAAGTGGGGGACGAGTGCGAGGGCCCAGGGGAAGTCGGTGGCTCGGAACTTCCGTGGTGTCTCCTCGGAAACGAAGCCGTTCTTGGGGTATTTGCTATGTTGATGCGAAGGGTTTTACTTTTTGGGGCTTGTCACGGGAAAGTACAAATGGAGAACACATTTGATGGGTTCCCCAATTTTGCAGACAGATACATGTGCGAAGGTGAGGAAACATTATTCGTTGTGGTGTACTCCAGAGTTGCTTCAACAGTGTGGGGACTGTTTGTTGTTGTACCCCTGTGACATCCCGCTACGTTCCCGTTATCCCTCTTACACTCAAGTCGCCTTTAGTCAGTGGTTTGGATTGGCTTGAGGATTTGAACCCCTGGTTCTTGTAGAGGGTAAATGGGAAACCAGCCCCAACTGTTTCAGGGAAGCTGGGCTTTTCCTTCTGACAAGGTTCCCGATATTTCTTTCTGAAACCTCGGCCCACAAGGGCTTGGATGAGTTAGGGGCGTTTCTCTAAGTTCCTTCTGGATGATATCAGCGAGGAAACCACCTGGAGACATTTGTCCCCAATTTTGAGAAACACACACACACATGCCCTGCAAATTTGGCGGGGGTTCAAACAGGGCTCCAATGTTTCCTGAAATGAGGATCCTTTCAGTCCATTCCGAAGGGGCTTCTTTGGGAAGCTCGCGTCGGGCGGAGGTGCCAAGTGGTGGGCCGGAAGGGCGCCATCTTGCGGGAGACCGAGGACCTGCAGAGCGCCCTGGCCGGGTTGCCCACGCCGGGCCTAGGGAAACCACTGGAAACCAGCGGATCCCGATCGCCGGTCCCCCAGTTTAGGCAAGCCTTCAGTTGGTTCTTATTGTTACCTACACAGATGGGCTCACTGGGTTGGGTATGTGTCATCCGGAACCCACAGATGGTGAAACCAACTGTTTCCATTTGAAGCGCAGCCAAGGAAAGCATGGCCATTGAAGGTTTTGATGTTTCTTTGGTGTCTCTTGAAAGCTCTTGTTTCTTGCGACAAGCTGCTGTGCTGCTGCCCCCACGGGATCTGGGTGGTCGGATCCGGGGCTTGTTTCTGATGACCCTGGTGGTCTCTCTTCGCATCGCTGTGAACATGGGTCCCGATTTTCAGGTAAAGGGAGCAGACATTTGTTGTGACTTCTGGGTCAGTCAAAGGGTTGAACCACACAAGTCACAATTGTTCTGAGTTTGCTGGGGGGGGGGAGTAGCATTGGTTGCTTTGCACACCTCAAGCTGAGACCCTTAGATTGTTTTCCCCGGAACAGACACCTGCAACAATTTCCACGTTTTAATGCCTGGGTTGCGCCCCATGGAACTCACCCTGCTTCCCTCTTGAATCCGACACTGGCAGATTTAACCAAACGTTGTGATTAATCCTGGGTTCCCATATTTAGATTACCCTCCAAGGTAGACTTGAGTTTATTTGCCTTCCCCCCAAGCAGGTTGCAGTCTAGTTTGCCACCCCAAAATGAAGCTCACCCTGTCCCCTAACCTTCTAAGGAGGCGCTTAAATCCCTAACCAGCGACCCTGGGCTAGTTGGTTTTGGTTGAACCCCTTTTCAGTAAAAGGACGCCAGCCAGAAGTGAATTACAGGTAAGGGAATTCGTTTTCAAGGGTGGTTCCCTTGTTTGCCTATATAGGTAACTGCAATCACCGAGTTTGGTCAATCTTTTGGGAACAGGGCACCACCCGGAGGACAAGCAGAAACTTCAGGAACCAAATAAAGTGTCATTAAACAGAGTTCCCTTCTGAGTTCCAGATCCCTTGTCCCTCGGACACAGGTGGCCACAGTGGTGCCGGGCGGCCACGCCGCACGCTTAGGCCGAAACGCCCACCTGGCCATGCCAAGTCGCGCTTTGCCATGCCTACAACAGGTCGATGTTCGATTCAATTCTGGGGGGCAAAAAGGAGGGAGCCCTGAAAATGGCCAGGAGCCTTCAGCAAATGTCAGCAAATGGCAGTCATATGAATCCAAGTTCTATGAATCCTGGGAAAAAATGGGAAGGGGCAGTTCTAGAATCCGACACTAAACAATCCCAGGTCTATGAACCCGAAGAACCAAGCTTGAGACAACTCTAGGTCGGCGACCGGCTGCCATTGAGTGCTTCTGGTGCGGTAAGTTGGGTTTTCGGCTTGAGCGGTAAACAACAGGTCCGGGCTGTCGTGTTCCCAACAGCGAGCCCGTTGGGGATACCTGGGCTTATCCAGGCATCCACTCCTCGCGCTTGATCTGAGTTCCCTTTCGGTTCCAGTTTGACTGTGCGCTTTGCGGGGGCCGGAGACTTTTCAGGCGGCATTCAGGAAATCGATCAGCCCGGCAACCGGATTTTGTAACATTCCTGCGGCGGTTGGCTGGCTGAAAAGCACATTCATTGGGGCTTGCCTTTGGCCCCCTTGTGGGAAATCGAGGGCCGAATTTCCAAAATCGAGGGGACCCCTGAAAAGAGCGATCCTTTGATTTCCCGAAGTCAAAGGCCAGCTTCTCCCGCGCATCCACTCTGACCGTTTCCTCGAGGTTCGGATCGTGCAGGCCAGAGCCCACAGGATCCGAGGGAGAGTTGCCCGTGCTCGAATCTAAGGTGAGGTGCGGTCAAACCTCCCTGGGCCCATTTTTAGTGGGTGGGTCTACTACCTGGTTTCATACGGGTTTGTAGGGAGGCCTATATGAATGTCTATAACCGTCTCAGTAGAACCAACAGTAAATGGGTTTTGGGCTCTGTTGGTGTGATGTTCGGCCAAACCTAATGGTTAGTTTGGGAGGGAAATGGGGGACGGGCCAATTTCAACCACAACAGCCAGGGGACGCAACCCCAATCTTGCCACGCGCTTTGCGCGACCTGTTTTAACCGACGACTCGTGTCAAAGAATGCTGCAAAGAGAAGGCCACCTCTTAGTTGGGTGTTTTTTTAGGGCTGAGCCCGGTGTTTACCCTTGCCTCCTCGGGCGGAATTTGTAGGCTGCAATGCAGTGCCCTGCATGCTATTTTTGACGCCGCTTCAGATTGACCCGGCTCCAAGTCTCCGAAGAGATATCTCATCCCTGGCAATCGACAATTGAGGTGTCATTTTATTCGTTCAATCTTGTAATAAACATACTGCTTGTGTATCACGTTCACCATTTGTATTAAATAATCATCAATTAACAAAACACATCTTTCAAGAATAACTTAACTATTTCCCACCCCGCGGTAAACATGGATGATACCTTTGGCAGGACTTCATTTGGACACATCTTTGATTCTTCGCCTTTTCTCTCACGGGAGAACTGGGTTGGCAGTTCGACCACTTTCTTGCAAGTATATCATAAGAGCCTAAACAATTGGAATGGGGGGTGGGTACTTCCAAAAGTACTTGTTCAACGGAAACCACCAGTCAATTGATCAACTCTTGATTTGGTTGGAAGTCCAGTGACCCCACGAGAAAAGCAAAAAGGAGGGTCAAATGGAAAGGGGCGCACCAAGGATCAGGTTTTGAAGCTCAACCTCAGGCTAAATGGGAGCCAAAGTGAATTTGGACAACCAACAGTTCTAGAGGTAGCAAGGGACATGGAGGACACAGGTCTGCAATGGCCTCGACTTGCCAGGTGGCTCCTGCGCAGAGCCGCCGGGCATTGGTGGAGGCAAAGGTTTTTGGGTGTGTGCCAAATTGGGGGTGGGGGGGGAAGCCCCCAAAATGGTTGGGTGTCCGTTTGGTCTCCATATAAAGCAATCCAACAAATGTTCACACCCAAAAAAATATCAAACCCCTCTTTGGTGTTCCTGCAATTTCAATTTTGAACCGCCAGAAGCTCAATTTTTGCAGGGGCCGGATTCCGTTTGGCCCGGCTTTTGGTCTGTCTTTCAGGATTCGTCGTGTTGAGAAGGATCCAGTTTCTCTGCCGTATGCCCCTCCTTATTACACCCTAAGCCTCTTTTCCTATGGTAAATACCTCCTTTTTTTCGCCAGGGGTTGGCATCATACCCTGAACAAATGGGGTACTTGCAGCGGGCGCTGCACTTTCAGTGGCCCGACTCTCGCAGCTGAAGCGCCTGGGGATGAGCGAGCTGCCCTAAGTGGATCCCAGGCAGCCAACCTGAGTGAACGCTCCAGCGACTGGTCTTGGAAACCGCAGGCGAAGTGGGTAGTGGACCAACCAAAAATCGGTTGAAAGGAACCTGAGGGTGCTAGATAGAGGCTCTGGAAAGCCGGCTTCATTTGGCCGTGACCTTCAAGTCTTATCTGGGATAAGGCCAGTGGACATGAATCGCCACCAACATAATGTCCACCATAGCGTCCCTAGTCAAAAATCACAACCATCTGGCTGTGGGTCAAAACCAATGGTAGCATTTTGGGGCAGGTGCACCACCCATTTTAGAGCCTATTTTAGTGGTTGGATTGGGATGTTCACTGGGGGTACGGGATTTTGACCCATGGCCATTTGAGCAAAAGCACACATTTTGATCTCGGCATTTTTGCACCCGCAAAGCGCGAACGTTGGCTCGCAGGTCATCGACTCGCCGGAGGCGTGGTTAGTGGAAACGGGAGCTATGTCTTTTGAGGGTTGCTTTCAAGTAGACCTTTTTTTTGTTGGGGGGGGGCGTAAAGGGAACATTTCAGGGACACTGGTATATGTGGGGTTTGCTTCAAACGGAAACTAAAGGCAGAACATCCATTTCGGGGGTTCCGCTTCAAGACACACCCTTGTGGGACATGTGGAATTTGGGTGGCCACTGATGCTTGCTCGAGGGTGGAACATAGGATCTGATGATCTTGACGCCTTTGAACGGCTGAAGCGAGCCTTACGGGCTTGAGCGAGCATAGGAGTGCGTACAAACAACTTGTCACCAGTAGGACATTTGGCCTAGACGCATCCCATCTTTCAGAATAACCATCTTGGCACAAGGTGGATTGTCCAAAATTCGTCAATTCACCCCTGATGACCAAAGGAGTGTTTTGCTCAATGGGTGAGAACGCCCGCCCCCCCAAACCAGCTTCCACAACCATGAGTCAGTAACTCCACTCTCGGAGAAGCAAGTCATTTGCCTTCAATCCGGACCCACTTGGGACCCTCCTCTGGGTCTTCCCAAAAGAGATTCCTCAGCTGTAGGTCTTTTGGTTTTTCCATTGACGTGGAACCCAAACATCGCCCGTAGAGGAATCTGCTGGGAATCAGACCCCTTGTTTGAGCTCCATGTTTGCAGGGAGTATTTCCCTTGGCCGTGAATTTTAAGAGTTGGAACCAGGTGGCAAAGAGTCCGGGACCCATTCAACTTCACACCCATTTCTTCCTTTCGGTCTTGAAAATCCAGCAAACAGTGGGTGTTTCTACGAATAAGGGGCCAGTTTCTTCAGGTTGGTGTCCTTTTTCCGTTTAAAACCAAACCAAAAGGGATCGTCACCCAAGTTTCAAAGGGAGAACAACACTTGGATCCCTTTTGGGAGACCCTCCAAACTAGTTGAATAAGTTTTGACCCAAGTTTCTATTTCGAGAGACACCCAAGTCGTCACCTTTTCCAAGCTCGGATCGATCGTCAGTGACTTCGCTGGATTTCAGGCGGAGGGTGTGGAGGTCTCGGGTGCCTGCCCCGGCCTCAAGGCTGCGGCGTCGCTGGCGTTGGAAAGCTTCATGAGCCGTATGGGGAGTCTTCTTTTGGGGGACCCAGCGTATATATATATATATATATATAATATGTATACATAAATATACATAATATGTATATTATATCTTCCTTTTGGTTCTCCTTGAACACCACCAAGAAAGAGGTAGCCTCAAAAAAGACATACCCTTCTCAAATCGAGGGAGCAGTCGCGACAAGGTTTTCGTGGTAGGGTAGCCCATTGAAGAACCGAGTTCAATGCGCGGATGCCTAACCCTAGATGTTCATCGCTCAGTCTTGAGCAGGCGTTGAAGCTGTCATGGGGTCACAGAAACAAAAGGCAATCACAACAATGAACACATGTTCATGCGTCAATGTATGTAGATGTGTATATATATATACATATATGTAATATTGTAACATAATATATGATGTTGTAACATATTGTTATGCTTGGTAAATGACAGGGACACATTTTTATCAGTGATCTCCCTGTTCTACATAACTTGTCGAACCTGAGTTTAGGATTGAGTGACGTGAAATGGTCGCAAGACAGGCCTGGCCTGAACAATCCTTTGTGTTGAGCCGCAGTATATTTGGGCGGCTTGGCTAGCCCGAAAATGGCTTCGGTGTTCCTTCGGTCGTTCCGAAGACAAGGGGTTCCAAAACGAGGGCACACGGTTGAGGACACCATGTTTGGTTCCATGTTGCAAAGGGGTTCAAAAGAGAAGGGCTTCCACGAAATGGGGTTCCAAATCTCCTTTCGACATGGCTCCATGGACAGAACTTTTAGGTGCGGCTGTCGGCAGCGTGGGGTGGCTGAGCGCCGGAGGCCCAGATTCTACTGGAGCGATGTTTCTTGACTGCTATTGGGTTGGATCTTTAGACTTCAACTATTTGGGAAATAAAGGGGTTTTCCACTAAACCCCAAAAAAGTGTGTGTGTGTGTGTTTTTAATAATAACTTTTCCATCCGTCAACAGCAACCAAGGTTTAGGGCAAACTTTTTTTCGTGAAGACGGCTGGCAACCAGCCCTAACCTCCAGACCGTTGATTAATCCCAACCAGCAATTGGAGGGAAAGCTGACATAACTTCCGTTGCGTTTCAGAATGTTTGTTTGCTTGGCCCTGTTTACTTTTAAGGGGAACCTGTCACTACTGGAGGTAGTTTCTCTGTTTTCAGGGGACTCATGCAAATGGAGGAGACATGGGGGTATGTTTTTGTTGCAGGGCACTCTTTGGGGGTGATTTTAAAAGGAAGCCAAAAGCAAACCACTTCTTTGGGGGGCCCCCCTGTCATGTTCTTCAATCATTCCGTGCGTCGCCGGGCTGGGCTGTGTTAGCTTTAAGTGTGGTTTTCGAGGCGATTCCACCCACAGCACTTGCTTCTTTGACCTGGGCGTGAACGACTCCTTGGTTTGCTAACAGCCGACGAATTCCTGCCAGGCGGTAGCCAAATGGGAATTGAGGCACCCAGGTATCGCGTACAAACCTTCATATAGCCTTTCTATTTTTGTATATATAGTATATGTATATATGTACATACATATGTATATATATATATATATGTATTGGCTTCTGGTATTTGGGACATTAGCAACCCTAGACTGTCACCCGAGCACCCGAGGTGTCCACCAAGGATGGCAAGGCTTTGGTGCGGCCGCGGGAGAAGGAGCCGACCCCAAGCCCGGAGGCGGAGCCAAAGGCAGAGGCTGCGCCCAGCGCGCCCAGCACGCCCAGCGCGCCCAGCGCGAGCGCGGGGGTCTCAGACTGGGTGAGAAGTTGTGCATTCGCCGTGTTCAAGTTGAAAAGAGAAGCAATCACATTTGGGACTCCCCTTTGAGACATGTCCGAAGGTTCCTTTTGAACCTGTGCTTGGTCCCATGGGTGCGAGTTTGTACGCGCCTTTTGGTCTGCAGAATTTTACGTCCTCTGTCCAACAATCCTGGAAGTTTCCCCAAAACGAAAGTCTTCAGAACCCGCCTCTCAGCTTAAATGATTGTGAGCCGACACCCATATTGGAGCAACCTGCTTTTCGCGGGAAATACCTCCTTGTGTAGCCAGTTGACATCAAGTTTGGGCGTCGATTTGCAATCTGGGCACTTGTAGTCAGTGGCTCATTGGCATTGCTGCGAAATCTGGGTCGCGGAAGGCTGTGGATACGCTTCCAGAGTTTCAGAAGTCGGAAGTGAGAACCTCCACCGAGAGCAAGAGGGAGCCCGCCAAACCGCGTGCAAAAATGAAGCAGACGCTTCAAGGGAGCACCTCAATAGACATCAAAGCAACGACAAGTGCCCAAAGCTCGACTAAAACAAGCAGGGCTGGGTGAACACTCAGGAAAGGATCATCTCAGATCCGGAGAATGAAGCAAAAACGATACTCTGAGAAACATGGCTTGCGCGGGAGGTTAAAAATGGAGTGGGGGGAAGGTCTTGCCATTTTTTTCGGTGGTTCAGAGACCTGGTGCGTTTGGAACTGAATCTGGGGCCAATCCTCAGTGGGCTTGTCTCCAAATGGGCTCCAAAAGCCCCCATGGGCCATTTTAGTAGAACTTTTTGGGGCTCGATCTCGTTCGCGCATGTGTGTAGGAAGCGGTTCTACTACCTGGTTTAACTCGGGTTATAGAAAGGCACCTGTAAACCTTTCCAACCATAGGCTTCGGGTGCTGCTCAAAGGGGGCCAAATTGGCAGTGTCCCCAGATCCAGGATCTTCGGGCACTGAGCTGAGCAGGATCTTGGGCCAGCACGCCTCCAAAATGAAAGATTCCTCTGGGCTGTGTCTCCGTGCCTCCATGACCCTGCAGAGGGGGTAATTGCAGGGTGACCGCCCGATTTTGCAGAGCCCCGTTTGCAACAGCGGGGGATCTGAAAACGGACAGCCCAAAGGGTAACAATCTGTCTGTGGTCAACACCAATGGGATCCCATTTTGGGGTAGCTGAATTCACCACCCATTTTACTCTATTTTAGTGGTTGGATTAGGATGTTCACTGGGGGTGCGATTCGGGTTTTGACCCATGGCCTCACGAACGGGCGGCGGCATGGCTCCCTTTCGAGGCCGACGCGGCGGCGGGAAGGCCTCACGAGGTGGCCAGGCGAGGCTGCGGACTCCGGGCGGGGTTGGACCCGGCCCGGTTGGGCCGTGCTGGGGTGTTTTTGTTTTGAGGATGCGCCTTTTCTGTGTTTTTTTCAGGGAAGCCAACAGGAAATTCACCATTTTGGGAGGTCTCAGAAATGACAGGAGTGCAATTTTGGGGGGTCCCTTCTTTGCAGGGCTGAAAGAACACCATGGGGCCGGGTCCCTTAGGTGTGGAGTCACTGGATTTGGCCCAGAGTTCTGAGACCTGGACACCGCTGACCATCCCGAAACTTCCTCACGGCGCTCCATCACAAAGAATGATGGTGTCCCTTTTGGTTTCCCTTTCAACCCAAACAAGGGTCCCCTCAAAAACAGATGCAAATACTTACAAATGCTTGCGTGTGCCCCTGAAACTTTGGTGCACCGGCCGGCGACCTTTCCCAAATGGACCGGATGTGATGGTTCCATTCACAGCTCGTTTGACCCACTGGTGAACCTATTCGCGAACCTACTGGTGAAGGACAGAGACCTGTTTCTTGTGCGGAGCTGCATTCGAATCCACACACATTCGCACAGGATACTAGTGGGTCTCCCATCTATGCCGTCAAGGCAAGCAGCCACAGCACAGTCTCGATCTCGACATGTGTTTCGATTCCAATTTCGGGTACTCCCAAGACTCCCAAGACTGCAGACCCTGCAGCCAAATCTGGTTGGCTTTGGCTTACCATCCTCAACAACAGGGAGAGCCTTTTCCATTTGATGAGTTCACAGCATATGATCCAAGGCTGTGAGTCATGGCAAGTGGAGGTGGTTGTCCCTCCATCAGAGGCATCCGAACACGGGCTCAGCAGCGTTCGCCCTAACAAAATGGCGACTGACAAGGATTCATGAAGTTTAGCCCCAGTTGCCATTATAGGGGAATCCATCCATGGAAAACCCCAGAAGTTTTGCAGATTCGGATAGGCGAGACGAAGCGCCCGCCCCAGAAGTGGAGCCAGCAGGCGAAGGTGGGGGGCCAGGGGTCTCATTTGGTGGGTTGAACTAGATGTTCCTTGGGTTCAAATTGCAAATGCCAGGTCCAACTAGATGTTTCCATCTCTGTTGAGTGCTGTTGATTTTCCGTCCTTTGTGGTGCCGGGCAACGGGGCAACATAAATTGGAGCTCTGTTTGGCCCAGTTGCTGGCGACCTTGAGAGTTTTTAGGTGGGCTTCCCTTCAAGAATGCCAGCCAAACAAAAAGGGGCAATCCCCGGTTTTAGGTCACCGGGCACGTGAGCAGGGAAATGAACAAATTGGGAAGCGGGATAGCGATACGAACTATGCATGGACAACACTCGGCCATTGACTAAGTTCAGCCAAGTTTTGTTTGTTGGGTGTGGTAGTACTACGTGGGAGTGCTACCCGTTATGCTTTGCGGGTCACGGTTGCTGGAAATTGCGTTTGGCCATTCAGTTTTTTCGGGGCGAGCCCCCATTGTGCAACGGGTGTCGGCCTTTTGAAGTCCGCATCTCCAGCATCGCCAGCATCATGTGATACCAGCCTAGTGAAATACCGCCAAGCTTGTCCAAATGATGCTTGCGATGCTGAGGATGCTGCCCTTTACCTTGCTTTGGAATCAGCACACTTCGAAGAACCTTGAACACCAACTTGCAGCACTGCTTTTCCGCAACTTCCGACCCTCTCTACCGTTCCCCTGGTGGGAATCAGGGGTCCGTTGTGTCTTGCAAGGCCATCCAAGCTACCCTCAAAAACCGCCCCGGAAGACGTGTTGGTGCCTGTACCTGGCTCCAATTCCCAGAGCTTTGCCGGTAGAGCGGTGTTGACTGCAGAATGCTTGTTTCAAAAACCAAACTACTTGAGGACCATGAGTGTGTACTTCTTTGGCCCTGATCTCTGCGCTTCTCCTCGTTTCTATTTTGCCCTGTCGACCAAACTGTCACTGCTAGGATGCATGCCGGAGCCGTTTGGCCGAAGTTTAATACTATCCCTTTGTGACATGTGGCACACGGATTCTGTCCAGGAAATCAGTCTTACATGGTTTTCGGTTTGATGGGATATGCAGCCACTGAATAGCCACTGTATGAAGGGTCCCATCAAAACTCCGTGGGGCTATCGGTTTGATGGTGGAAACCACAATAGACCTAGCATCATCAAATTGATCACCCATCATCCGCCCTGGCCAACACTATTCAGAGTTCCCTGAGGTGAACAATTAGGGGCCCGTTTTGGTATTCTCTTAAAAAGGCGGCACGTAACGGCAGAACCGGGGTTTGAAAAGGGGCCACCCCCCTTGGTTTTCAGCCAGCGCAGGTGAGCCCACCAAAGATGTGGCCGAGACCATGGCTCTGCAAGTGGGGGCCCCAGCGATTTGCGTCGCGCTGGCTTCGGCCCATGTGGCCAAGGGAGGTGCTCAGGGTGCGTCATTTTTAAGGTCGGACCCCCCTTTTGGTTTCCCTTGAAACCAACCCCACAAAGGGCCTCAAAAAAAGACACACCCATCTAGAGGTCCAAATCCTGGTTACCTGCTAGAGTCCACGGCAACGTGCACAGTAAAGCGATTGCAATTGCAGGCGATCGCCCGAGAAAAGGGAGCCATTTGGGGCTCTGTAGAACGAACCCCGATGCTGTTTGTTCGGCTTGGATCCCGACCCAACCCGATTACGCGGGGCCTTTAACATCCTTTGCAAGAATTTGGTCCTCCGGGCGTAATATTTTCAGCTTTGTCTTAAAATTGGGAACCCCAACGGCCCCCGCCCAAAAAAACATATTTTCTTTTGGCTTCCCCAAGCAAACCCAACATTACCCATTAAACAACACATACACAGACATGTATACATCTGTCACATTGGAGTGCCCTTGTGGGCCTTCCGTGGAACCATCCTCCTTGCCAAACATAGGTGCGGAAAGCTAAATCCACCCGTTGATTCACCGCTTTTGAGCTCCGGTCGCATTTCTTTGCCTCAGGAGACGACACAGGACCGCACTGACCGAAAGGGAGGGGCGGATACCTGTTTCCCGCTGGGCAAAAGCCCGCACCGCTTGGAAAGTATTCAATCCAGTGGATCCCAGGCACGCCACTATTGCAGGCAACCGGCCATTTTTCCATTAACTTTTGACAAGGTGTTTCCCTGCAATACCTACATAGGGGCTTGGGATCACTGGGCATGGTGTTTCATCCATCCCAAATGGTGCGTTTTGTGGATTTCGCCCACGCGGTCAAAATGGTGGAACTTGGAAAGGTTCCCAAACTTCACCCGATCGATGCTCATGATCCGACCCTTTGGGAGAACCCTGAACACCTAACGCCACCGTTTTCGCGACACCGAAAAAGAAACATATTCGGAGCCTTTGGGCTGTCCGGGTTTTGGGCGCGCGTCGCCAGGGGTCGGGGTTTGGTCCTGCGTTGCGGCATCTGTGCATCCATGGACGCTTGACGCCCTGCAGCCTCGGTTCAATGCGTAGACTGCGCAACTTCGCCCTTGGGGCATGGTCCATAATTTTGTGATGTTACTGCTGAAATCTGAGTGAGCATGTTGGGGGTTCTCAAAACTGCTTTCGGGTTCCCCTGAAACCACCATCTAGAGCCCAACAGGATTCCGGGGAGGTCGCGGGGCAAATCCTTCGAAACACGAAAGAATGGGTCTCGGAACCCTTTTGAGGCCCAAAAAGTTCCAAGAGTTTTTTTGGGTGGGGGGTGGGCAGGTTTTTCCCTCGGATGAGGGCTCCAGTCGAGAGCGCATTTGCTCGCTCGCGGAGGATGCAAATCCTGATCTGCCAGTGCCCAAGACGGGCCGAGGGGCTGAGGGGCGATCTGTTTTTTTTTTTTCTCTCTCTCTCTCTCTCTCTCTCTCTCTCCCCTACCCCCTACTGAAAATACCAGTTTTTTTCAAGGTATATTTGGGAAAACCTTTTTTTCCCGTGGTAAATACCTCCTTTTTTAGTAGAGGGTCGACATGATACCCTGAAAAAAGCGGGTATACCGAGTACCCTTTTAGATCCCCGGTTTGAGGGTTGCTCCGAACCTCAAAATGACCACACAAGGAAAGACATGTTTTTTTGCTATTGGGTCCTCCCCGTCGCTCCGAACCTGTAAATGATCAGACCGTGTTTGGGTAAAAATCATGGTTTCACAAGTGAGCTGGTCAGCTGTGAAGCTCGTGTGTTGACATGTGCGGCTGGCACCTACTCAGCCGCCAGGGGTTCCTTCGCGAAGAGCAAAAACACCCAAAACGGGTGGTCTCTGGGACATTTCGTGGAGGCATGGGGTGACCTCTGTGACTCACAAAGAAAGCGACGAGCCCTTCTCGCAGGTCCTGGGACTTGAGTATGGGCCCTCCATTAAAATCCCACATGGGCCACTCCAAAATTTGAAAGGCAGCCCTTGGCCACTGAAACAGGGGTCCAGCTATGTCGGAAATCATGGACAGATGGTTCTCTAGGCCCTCCAACTCCCCATAGTTGCCGGTGTGGTAAGTTTCTCAGGGGTCAACTGTACATCAACCCACTGAGAAACGCCCAGACCGTTCAGGCCCAAAGAGGCAGATGCCAGCCCCGGCCAAGGCTCGGTCGATCGAGCCCGGGTCATTGGAATTGGTTGAGGGGTCTACTCCAAAGACGTTGTTTTGTTGGGCTATAATGTCAACCTTTTTAAAAGAAGGCCTTATTTGCCACGGAAAAGCTGGTTTGTCAACATATATTTTTGTGAGGGGCTCCGGCAAGCCTTGGTTGAACGTTACCCCCCCAAATGAGTTGATCCCACTTGGCGGGTTGAGGTAGCCTGAGTCACGGTAATTCACCTTCAGAGTATGTGTGTCTTTCTTGAGGGTAATGTGTTTGGGGTTTGAAGGGAAACCAATACAACACTAATTTTGTGACGTGCGCCACCTCAAACAAACAGACCCGTGGTGGTGTGTTTCTTCAGGGAGGAATCCAGAGGTGACATCCAAACCGGGCTCATAGGGATTTCTTTAAAGTTGTAACCTCACTTTTGAACCAACTAACACTGGCATAGAACAGGATAGGACATTGACTGAGAATCCCATTGATGAGTTTATTTTGAATTGCATCCCAAGTCCGAATCATCTTGTTCAGTCTCCCAAGTTCATTGCCAGGCGTCTTCTTTCTTCCTCAAGGCCCAAAGAGTTATTCCACTGTCTTTTCTGGCCAGTCGGCTCCGGTCAGAACTAAATGAAAAGACCAAAGATATTCCCAGTGACCCTAAATTCCATCCCAAGACCCTTAGATCTATGGAAATCTCACCTTTCCTAAGGCAGGGGTCCTTATACGTCCCCCTCTTGGGTCTGAGCATGGGTGTTGGACTCTCCAAAGTGAATTTCCGTTTGGTGGGTGTTTCTCAAAACATTGGTTTCCTTTTGGTCTTCCTTTCAAGTTGGATGGAGTTCCCTATTTAGGGTTTGGATGGAGGAATGACAAACAACTAGCAAGGGACCCACGAATTATGAAGGTCTACTCAGTCGTCTAATGGTGGGCTGGGAATCTGTGTACTTGGCTGCTCACCTACGGAACTAGGTTATCACCATGTCAACAGATCGTTCCACTTCTATCCCTGATGATTGCCTACTTAGGGCCCTTCCAACCCTAGGGAAAAAAAGCAGGTTGCCTTGTACTGGATTTCCTGTCCACCAACATGGAACCCACCAGAAGAATCCTTTTCAGGCAAAGCAGTGTTCCAGGACCCTTCAGTCATGTTAGTCTTGCTGGTGCGATAGGCAGGGAATGAGGGAATGACCCCGAAAAAAACAATCCAACCGGTGGTTTCCTTTAAGTGGACCCCAGCTTCTTTTCATATTCTGCATACTCTTCATTACCATGATTATTTTTCTACACGCCGGGATTCGCAGGGTTCATGCCCACATTCCCACATTCCCAACCTCTCGCACGGATCGCAAGCGGATGCGACGGGTTCCAGTGGACTCCAGGCGCCGTCACGGTGAGCACGGAGGCCTGGACGGCGCTGCGCCAGGAGAGGCGCGCCAGCGGGCCCGGGGGGGCTCCTTAAAAGATTCAGTTTGCTCATTTGAAACATGTTGCTTTTTCCAGCAAGATAAAGGGAAACCAGCATTTACAAGTTGCAATGTTCAGGTGTATCATTTAAGGATCCCTCCCACCAATTAACCTGGAACCTGACGTTCGGGACCCGGGTCCCCTTAAAAGGAAGATCATTTCTTCCAGGACCCCCAAAAAGGTCGGGTTCCAGAATTGGTGTGAAGGTACTTGCACCTTTTGGACCGAAAGTTCTGGGACCTTCATTTTAGTTGGAAGGGATGGGTTCTGATGCGTGTCTTTTTTGGAGTTGGTACCCTTGCGTGGATTTGCAAAAAGGAACTCGATCCCACCATTCTGGGCTCCACCTCGCTTCCCACGTCCCCAGTTGGTGAACTTGAAACCTGACCAATCCACTCGGGTGTAGCTTCGACCTGGGGTGTCTTTCTTGATCTTGGACAAACCTGGCTCTCTCTTGCAGATACCTCCAACTAGCCAGATGACCAAACTCCCATCCGCTTCTCGATGGGTACCCTCTTTACAAACACGTCACCCGCCAGAGGTTGACTTTGTGACGAAAATGGTCCAGACCAAGCCCTGAGCAGGTTCCGCAAGGCGACTTGTTTAGAGGGAAAGCAAAAAGGAGAAGGACAACTGGAACCAAAAGGAAAACCACCATTTTGGGGGTCCCCTCAAAACAGAACACGCCGAAAAGGTTTCTAATGAACGGGTTCCGATGGCTTGCGAAGGATAATCACGCATGTAGCATCTGAAAGGAACCCACTTGTGATCGAACAACTCAGGGCATCCAGATGCAGTGACCTCGCAAAGTGTATCATTTTGCGACGTCGCCAGTACTGCAATGTTGAATATTTTGTTGACATGATTTGGATCCCCAAGAATTTGGGGGTCTCTTTACCCTTTGAACACACCCTTCTATGAAAGGAAGACTACCATTTGAACACAAAAACACATTCACACACCATTCATAGAACACCCCCTGAGAAAAAAAAAAAAAAACGCAACAGCGACCCCTTTTAAGATGACCAAAGCAGAAGCTTGGCACATTCTCCACCCGTGCCGGCGCGCTCGCGCAGGGGTCAGCGGGAGCGGCACATCAAGGCGCTACACGCCCAGGCGACGGCTGAGTTGGCCCCCTCCAGTGGTGTCCGCTTTTTTGGAGGGTGGGGTGAGGTGGGGTGGGGTGAGGTGGGGTGGGGTGAGGTGGGGTGGGGTGAGGTGGGGTGGGGTGGGCCCCTTTAAAGTCAACACCACTGGAAGGCTTCCCGAGTTGGGGATGGTCAGGCTGAAGGAGTTTGATTCAGTCGCACCCTCGCAAAATCACAACTTTTTGCTTGGTGGGTTGCCAGCCGAACATGGAATTGACCTCCCAAAGGGTCCGTTTTGCCAAGTCCGCTAGGTATTGAGGTAGGGTTCTTCTCCCCAGCAAGTTTCCGTTTCATTGATTCCTTTTGTTGGCATTGTTCACATGTTCTGTCCTTGTCCTTGGGTTTCCGCAATGGTGTTTGATGGTTTTTCATGTTGCAACCAACAAATGAATCCAAAGGACGCCAAACCCTTGTCAGACCCCCTTTTTGAACTCGTCCTTTTCCTCCCAACCGGTTCCCGGAGTTTTTTCCACTATCCAGAAATCTGGGATCGGGCCCAACAGCACCCGACTTTTTGGTGTATATGAGGCATCTCCAGTTTGTCAAGAGATGACGCTCCCCTCTACCACACCTGCCAGAGATTGGCTTTTGTGTCTAATCTGAGTGCCCATGAACCTCCCCCTACTCCAAGTGCCATTTTTTGGAGGGGATGATGTCAACCATTTTGAAGCCCGCCCTGTCAGAGTTGTTCACCAGGCCTCTACGGCGACCCAAGGGGGAAATTGGAGTGAGTCGTGAGCCGCTATGCATGTGCGTATACATATATACATATGCACATACATATACATATACACATGCATAGACATACAAGTGTGCAGACCTTGCACGTATTTGGGTCCATATATATATATATATATATATGTATATTGCGTGCGCATATTTGTGCGTTACACATAGATGTCCTTGGGTTTTGATGCTTTGGAGCTGTGGGGAGGTGAGCTCCGCACAGACGCAGCTGCAGCATCAGGAGGAGGTGTGGTGGGGGGAGTGGGAAGCGGTTTGGGCAACATTGCAGTGGGTTTGGTTTGGTTTGCGAGTGGTAAGGGACTTAGCTCAAACCAACCAAACCTTGGGTAACATTGCAGTGGTTAAGGACTCAACTCACCTTTTTGCCCCTTTGCTTTCCTCGACCTATGACGCAACCTCAATCTTCCGTCTCATCTCTGTGATCGAGAGCTACGGCATCAGCCCTCAGATCACGTGTGCTGGACGCAAGGGTTCCATTTGCTGCGAGTTCTTTGTGGACTTTGACAGTGACAAGCTGGCTCAGCATGTTCCTGTGTGAGTGGCTTGGGCGCCCTGGCCGACGACTTCGACTTCGTCCATGGCGCCCAAATGGCTTTAACTTGGCTTGGCCAATCAATGTAGGGCCAGTCTGTAATTCGGGAAGCAACCCATCTACCACAAAGGGGCACCATTCTTGGGGGCTGGTCTGGACGAATACGTTGAGAAGCTGAATGGGTGTGTGCTTCTTGAGAGCGCTTTCTTTGTTCTAGTTCTAGTTTAATGTTGGCAATGGATGCTGGTACGGCTAAAAACATGAAACCCCAAACAAAAGCCATTTAGAAAGTACAGTTGATATTGTTTATGGTTTCATTGTGCTTCAATTCAAATCTGTGTTGGTTAATCATCATGGAAATATGGTTCAAGTTAGCGCAGCCACAAGGAACCCCGCCGGTTTTGTGGTCCCCTATTTTAACACGTACCCATATGTACTTTGTTCATGGATAGTATCATCTGAAGGTGCCAAAAGGACTCCCACCCCCCACAAATGAGTGTGTGTGTGTGTGTGTGTTTAGTCTTTTCTGACCGTCACCCATTTGATCAGGTAACCCCTTTGGTGGTTTGGACTGGTGGTTTGGGATTTGAACCCCAACCTTCAATGGGGAAGGTACCCCTATCGTCCGAGCCACCAAACCACCAATTCGGGGCCATGTGATTTGAGGGTTGTTTGAAATATCTCATGGATGGGACCTTTTCGAGGGATACCCTTTCGGTAGCCAGAGGGTAGAAATTTGGTCCATTGGATCTCCTGGGCCCATCGGGGAGACACCCATTCACGTCAATGGGCCATGCGGCTCGCTCCCTGCCCCCTTACCACCTAAAAGAAGCGTTTCGCATGCGTAATATTTCTCTGCCACTTTCCCCTTTCAAATCACCATTGGGTCTGCTGTTTCATTTTTTTGGGGGGGGCGTACTCCTTTGTGGTTGGTTTTAAGAGAACAACAAGCAGGAGGCCAACCATTTTGGGGAGTCACAACCTTTGGCGACACCGTGTTGCTTTGCATCTTGTCCCTCTTCTTGTAGGTTTGTGAGTTGGAAGCCCGAGCGCGGAAATGTCATTTTCCGAAGCTGTACATTGAACATCCAGAGGGGTCTTTGGGCTTCGTCTTGGGCACTGATTGTTGTGGACGTCGGATTTCAAGTTGCCACTTTGGGTGATACCAAGGGTGTCCCCCAAGTCTTATGAATGACCCATTTAGGTATCTCAGTGCTTCGAGTGAATGACCACCATAACGTTGGACCGTGTTTACTGTGGGCCCCCCCCCAGAACAGTCAATAAAGATTTGGCAGGGAGCTTTAGTTTGCCATTGCTTGCTTTAGTATTGCCAACACTTTTTGTTGGATCGCCGCTGCTTTGTGTAGTATTGCCAGAACCTAGTTTAATATTGCCTAGTCTAAATATGCCAGGGCTTGCTCTCAGATTCCCAGTGCTTAGTTTAGTATGTACTTTTTCCAGATTTGTCCCACCCCAAAAAAGCTTGGCATTCAAGAAGACCCCCAAACAGTCATATTAAACAGGATCACTGGCTCCCGTGGGCACTCCCCCACCCCCCCTTTGTGCGACCTTGTTTTTGGTTTTTGTTTAAACAACGTAAACACGCTATCTTAAATGCAATGGTTTGTCGACCACTTGCAAAATTGATTTCCTAGCTCTAAGGCCTTCCCCTTGAGCTGGTAAGAGCTTGGTTCGGTGAAGCACCCTTTAGAGGTAAAAGGCTAAGGCTTTGATTTTGGAGCTTCAGTAACCCCCACCAAAAAAGTTGGACATTAAAGCGATCCCCAAAACATCACATTAGGCAGAATCAGGGTCTCTTGTGGGCAACCCCCTTTGTGTGACTGCTTGCCCTAACTTGTTTGCAAAGAAATTGTCCGTCAATTTGATGGTTGGGGGACCACTTCAAACAAGGGGTTCCTAATGTTTGCCTGGATTTTTTTGCCCGGTTTCTTGTTGGCCGACTTCTTTGACCTGTGTTGTTGCCCGGACGCTGTTTTTGTTTAGTTTCCGGCAACAAACTTGACAGAATCATGGTACCGAAACATGGGGGGGTCGTGCTTAAGCCGAGGAAACTTGACATTCAGGCTACCAATATTGAAGCAGGTGCGACATTGCTGGGTAACCAGATTTTACATGATGCCTTCCCCTAGTTATGTACAGTGGCGAAACGCCTGGAAGCACTGGGTATCACAAGGATTCCGCAGCCCATTGCGGTGAGGTGAAGGCGAAGCTAAGGGAGCTTCGGCAGCAAGCGCTGGAGGCAGAGGATCACGTTCACAAATGGCTTGATTCACTGTTCTTGGTATGTGTTTTAGTCTTTGAGTTCTGTTCATTTTGAAAGTGGGTGGTTGCGACAGAAGCAACGTGTTTTAAACACCAAGGTTGACGCTTTACCACAAGGTTTTCGAAAGGGTTTTGGTTGAGTGCGCGTGGAAACAAAAAATGAAACACACAATTTGGGGGCAACAAGGAAACCTCCACATTTGTGGATTGCGCCCTCACCAAAACGGCTTTGTCTCAAAATTCGGGGACAATTGTGGTTAGTTTCAGCTTCTCCCGTTGAAACGAAACCAAAGTGGGTTCCCGAAAAACAGTCACGCCCAAATGTGACCAATTGAACCCACTTGGGTTTAGTCATCTGAGTTGAGGCCGAAGCCTCCGTCTCGTGAAGCAGTTCGGGAGAGAGTCGTTTATAGCGATTACGGACTCATTGCTGGTGAGGTGAAGCTCGCCCGCGTAGCTCACGTTTGCCTGGGTACGTCGAGTCCAACAAAGGGCTTAACAGTACGGTCAGCGAGAAAGGGACCTTTGTCCCAGAAATCACAGAAAGGATCTTTCGAGGGATAGCCGTATGGAACGATGCTGCTCAGCAGCGTGTTGAGAGGGAATTCGTCAAGATGGCGACGGTCCTGAAGCAGCTGCGCTGGCTTCTGGCTGAACTCCGGGAGTGCACACGGCGACACCGCATGGAACCTCCTTGCACAGGGGGTATACCCACATAGCAGAAATTGTGCCATGTACTTTCTTAGTGTAAACACATCAGGTTTCACAAGCATGGACGGCAGTCGGAAGATTACTAGGATGGACATTGGGTATTTGTAGAGGAGCCTCCAAAAAGCAGACATGGAAGTGCACAGACGATGATTTTCCTTGGACTTTATCTCAGATTTAAAGGTGGCCTTTAGAAGCTAGATGAGCGCTGTTGAATCTAAGATAACTTAGAAACACAGATTCAAGTCTACTTCCACTTAGAGATTGGTTGGTTAGTTGGTTGGTTGGTTGGATGGCTGGCTGGCTGGCTGGTTGACTGGTTGGTTGGTCGGTTGGTCGGTCTTCTTGCATCTTTTGGGGTGCCAAAGCGGTGGCGGTGAAACAGCACCTTTGCTTGCCAGTTTGATGTGAGCTTGCTTTGGATGCGGAGGGGAGATCGCCCTGAAAACATCTTAGCATCGCTGGGTTTGCCCCTTTCAATGAAGCCCCCAAAAGGAAATGTTTGAAGCCCCTGGGTGCGAGTCTTTGACAATCCCCTTGGGTGGCAAGGTATATGCTCCCATCTCTTGGGTTCAAAGGAACCGCATGCGGCTTTTTTAGCAGCCACATCCCAGCCTCTTGCTTCATTCTCCTTCACAACCAGTGGATTGCGTTTCCGTTTTTCCGATTTTTTTCCGGATGGGGGAACCCCTTTAAAACCAACTACCAAAATTTATCCTTTTTTCCCATGGACATTGCCTGGGGGTCTGGGTTGCTTTAAAACATACGTCCGACCTCTGGCTTCAGTGGTAAGCTTTAGTGGTAAGCACTGCAAAGTCATCCGCAAAGTAGTGGGTGAAAGGGAAACATATGGCTGTGGGTCAAAACCAATGGTACCATTTTGGGGTAGGTGCACCACCCATTCTAGTCTACTTTAGTGGAGATTGGGATGTTCACTGGGGGTACGGGATTTTGCTTGGATGCACTAAAAGTGATTCACTTTTAGCCGGGGAGCAGAAAGCAACCGAGGGCCATATTAATTTTCTGACTTGGATAACCCCAAGAAACACTTCGACCAAATGACGCCCTCCGAAGGCGAGGCAGAGAGGCCAGGAGTTCCTGGAAACCCTACGCATGGCCACCGAGGCGCGATTCGAAACGCACGACTTGTTTTGTGTTGTTTGTTTGCGTTTGTTTGCTTGCCTGTTTGTTTTGTTTCTTTGTTTCTTTGTTTCTCTGTTTCGTGTTTGTTTTGTTTGTTGGGTTTTTCGTTTTTTCTAATAATAATAATAGAAAAAAAAGCAACGATTTATTTGTTTGTTTACTTTGTTTGTTTGCTTTGTTTGTTTGCTTTGTTTGTTTGCTTTGTTTGTTTGTTTGTTTGTTGGTTGGTCGGCTTTGTTTCTTGATTCGTGTTTGTTGTATTCCCCCTTTTATGTTGTTGCTTGTTTGTTTTTTTGCTATTTGTTGTTTGTCTGTTTGTTTGTTTGTTTGTTTGTTTGTTTGTTTGTTTGTTTGTTTGCTTGTTGGTTGGTTTGGTTTGGTTTGGTTTGGTTTGGTTTGGTTTGGTTTGGTTTGTTTTGTGTTGTTCCTTGTATTTATTTATTTATTTACTTACTTACATACTTACTCGTGTCTTATTTTCCGCGGCGGTTGGGCGTGTCGGCACCGGCGGCCCAGAGTGCATCCCGATGTCTTCGGTTGCCCAGTTGGGTTTTTACATGTCAAAACCGGGGCAACCCCAACCGCGGTGAGTTTTCCGCGGTGGGTTTTCCGTGTGTTTCCCCCGTAAACCAACCAAACAAGGGGTATCCTCAAAAGCACACACAAACACAAGCACACGGCAGTTATTCAGCCGCGCTCTTTGCTCATTTTGCTTTGTGGATTTCCCACTAGGATCGGCGGCAGATATTTTTCCTGGGTGCCCCAAATGTAGGCCAAGAGTTGTTCAGTTTTTTCCCGTTTTGGAACCTTCTCCAAAGCCGTTTGAAATTTTAGGCTGGACAAAATCTGAAACCGACTGTGATGATAATATTTTCTGTGCACCAGATGGGCCAAGTAAGATGGGAGGACCTGCATGCTCAACGTTTAGCTAAATGCCTAGTTCCCCTCAAGGGAGTTGATTATTTGGGGACCTCCAACTCGGTGCTTGAAAAGACACCAGCAGCAAGTTGGGGTGTGGCACGGCCAGATTACCCCACACCGGCAGCCCCGCTCCGAAGCGAACACCGGCAGAGTTTTTTTGCCGGAGAAACCGGCAAGCGCAGGAGATACGCATGATCTCTGGCGAGGCGGGTCCCGAGCCGTTCTCTTTGGGACGTAGCTGGTACTTGGTTTCATCAGGCTTACCCTTTTCACTGCTGGAAGTGGACAAGGGGCTTTTGCAACAAGATGATACTCTTGTAAACCCCTCCTGTCCACTTCCGTTGCTGGAAAGAGGGTATAGTACAGGGTGTAATTATAAATCTTTACAATCATGTTGGTAGAGCCAAAAGCCGAATGGTCTGGCAATAGCCGCCAGTTGGCTTTGAATGGTTTCCACCACTACTCGAAGTATTGTTACTTTGTCCAGGGGACTTCAGCAAATGGAGGGCTCCCCTTGTCCCTTGGGTCAACAAGAGAAGCAACTTGGTCAAAACATCCGCACCCTTTTCAAAGGTTCAGACTTGCGTATCCTCAAGGTGCACGTGCAAGAGTCTTGCGTTCGAAGGAATATAGGGAGCTCTGTTGTAAATGAGGATTGGAGCAGTTTGGGCGATCTGAATCGGCCCAGCATGATCTTTTCGGCAAGTCCCCTGCAGATTACCCAAAAAGCAAACCCAAGAGGAGGTTCCTTTAAACATGAGGGTGTTCGGAGATTCCATGTCAACCTGGAGCTGAGTAGTTGATTTTTTCCAAGCCGCGGCAAGGTGATCGATTTGTGGAAGAACCACTCAGTTTGTAGAACGAGCAAGAAGCTTCTTGATATTTGCTTCGACAAGTGCCACGCGTTGTTTTTTTTTTGGTTTGGGAAGGTTGTTGCAGGCTGATTCTGGCAAAGAGAAGCGTTGCATTGGACAAAGCTCACTCCCCCGCGAATCGAGACCTCTGGGTTTTCCTATTTCGGCTCATCTCAACGCCCCACCAAGGTAAACTCAAGCTACCTGGACCGTCAAACCACCCGAACAATGGGATATATATATATATATATTGCAACCCACATTTACGGGGCTATTTGCAATGAGTTATGGGTAATTTGAGGGTCCAGGAACTGCTTTATATTTCTTCTGTCAATTCAGCCCAGTGCTTCCAGTTATAGGCAATCAGGGTTCCTTACCTCTAGGCTTTATGTTCTCCTCTCCATTTCCATACCTCATGTAACCCTAATTAGTGGTTTGGATTGGTGGTTTGGGGATGTGAACCCCTGGATCTTGTAGAGGCTAGATGGGAAACCACCCCCAAACCTCCAAACCACCAATCCAAGCCACCAATTCGGGGGAGGCTACCTGCTTGTATTTTCCGGGTCCGGCTGAAGTGGGGTTGTGCAGGCAGCGCAGCAAGGCCTGCCGCTTGCGTCGAGCCGACGTGTCGTGCGGTTCCGACAGTCCCAAACTACGTGGCCTGCTCTTGGAATGTAGTTCAGTTCGAAGGGATCAGTGCACTTATTATTCTCATATATATATATATATGTATCAGTGGACCTACCAACTCCTTCTATCATTCCTCTAAAATCCTACTCCAAGAACACACGCAGCGTGTATCAATACATATCCCGGTACATGATGTAATGCCCCATCATTTGAGCAGAGTTCAAGACAAGCCCTTCGTCCAAGGACAGCCCCATTTTGAACCGCCAGCGACAGGCACTCCAAACATGACTTTGCTTCAAGCAGGCGGGAGTAAAGATCCATATGTTTGGACACAAAACCATGGGTTTGAAACGGGAATCTGGAGGCGTACTTTTTAAAAAGTGCCCATTGGGACAAATGACCCCCTTGGCTAGATGCGCATACCCCCATGCCCAAAAAGAAGTCTCGCCATAAAGTTAGACAGGGAGCCAAGGAACCGATTCGTCTGACAAATCAAAAGAGTGCGCAAACGGCTTTGAACTGTGATAGATGTTAGAAAAAACATTAATGTTTTTTGGCCTTTCTGGAGCTTCATCGTGCGCTATCTAAGCAATGTGCAAGAATACTGGGATGTTGTTTTTTGCTGGCGCCCTGAGTAGCTTGAGGGGCATCCTTTTTAATGGCTTCCATGGGGCTTAGCCTCTGTCGTTTAAGGCAGCTTTGTTCCAAACACCGGTGCCGGACAAATTGGCAGGTCAAGGCGGCGTATCTAGCGAGACTCGCTTGGCTGTTGAGAGCAAGTGCTTGGGCTTGATCGAAGGAGCAGGCGAGGAGCCATCCGCGCCGCCGATCGCGCCCGAGCCAGAGCCCGCGACTGAGCCCGGACGCCCGGCCGAAGATCTGTTGCGACTGGCGGGCAGTTTTGGGCGTCGGTTCTTGGCCAAACAGGACATTTTTCGGAGTCCAGTCGTTCGCCGGGTATGCTCAGTCCTGTCGACGCATGTCTGCTACGGCACAACGACAAGGAGTTTTGACCGGGGCATACCTCAAGGGTTGTTGGCTGGTTTCGGGTAACTGCAGGGGTTCTTGCATAAGGGTTTGTGCACGAAGCTGAACCACTCTGGGCAAGCATGCCAGTTTTTGTAGAGAATGCCTCTGCAAAAAGGAGGCACATATTCTGCCTTCCGTGCGGCGGTTCAAACGAGTTGCATCTTCAACCTGTCGTGTGCACCGATGTCCCGTCAAGTCCAAACCAACATGTTTCCCCCAAACCCACTGGACGAATTACATTCCTTCGCCAAACCTGAAACAGGGGTTTCAGGAGACGGAATCTCCATCACGGATATCTTTCTGAGAGCACTGTAATTTGCGCTGAACCGCGCCACCTACACCAAGTCGGATCAAAAGAATCAAACCATAGGGCGCCAATTTCCAAGATGCTGAACCGCTACCCCAAAGGACGCAGAGACATGCTGGGAATATACCCACTGAGCCACTGGGTAGATACCTCTTCCCTTGGGTGCCAAGTAGTTCGGGGGAAAAATCTTAAATCGCCGGGACTCCGTTGTTGGATGCACGTGGATGGACAAAATCACCCCCCTGGAGGCTGATGCAGGAACAAACATAACAAACCAAGGAACATTTGGCACGGACCTCGAGCCACGCTTTAGCCGCTCGGTCTGTGTGGGGTTTGGCATTGCGCGTTTGGGTGCTTGGCATCATCAGCAAGCCGAAGCCCAAGCACAAACCAAGTTGCAAAGACCTGGGAACTCCGTGACTCTTGTTTTAAACGATGTGGTCATATACCAAGGTTTAAGGGGTATCAGCCAAACACAAGCCAAATTGAAACAAAATAGGATCTCAGGAGTTTCTGGCACACCTTCGAAGAGCAGTTCAGGGGAACGAAGCCATGAACTCATATCCTGTCACATGAAGTCAACTTTGCACGGAGGCAGACCACGGCACGAAAGGGGTGGGGAAGGAACATCAAGCCCCTGTGACCGGTTTCTTTGGTTACGGGGTTAACATGAAAGAGCAGTGAGAGGTGTTCATCATTCGGTCAGATCCCACCTTTGAGGTGGGAGGTTGGATCCCCTGTGGATCGGCACATCCTGCAGTTTGGGGTCTCCAGCCGTCCCCTTAGGCTCGAAGCTTTTTTTTTACATAGTGGTGGTTGCCATTCACCCCACTAAAAGTTCAACTGTTGGGAATCTGAGCCCAGAGTTTGTACAAACCGCCCAAGCATACTTTCCAAAGGGAGCCCACAAGAGGCAGAAAGGGGAGCCGAGCTTCTCGCATTGGGAGCCCGGTCACAACGGTTGACAGGGACTGACCTTCTGGGGAATTGATTGTAATAAATTAAATGGGTATATGTCTTCTTGGGGTACCCAAATCTAGAATGTCGGGTTGAAGCTTGGCCCCCGCCCGAAAGAGAAACCGAAAGAAGGTTGTGCGAACAAATTCGCTTGGGCCAACCGCGGGCTCCACAAACTCGGCGGGCTCGACCAAATCGGAAGCGCCCACCAGGCACCCGCAGCCACAAGTGGCGTCAGGGGTGGACGAAGGCGCCGGAGGGAGTTGCATCTTTTCGGGGGTAGAAAAGCCGCGCTCTCACTCAATTCCATGCCTTGGGGGCACTCCTTGTTTCTGGCTTTGTAAGTTGCCCGGACTCCGTTGAAGAGGGCTGGGTCCGTTTCAGAGGGGCTTTGAAATCTACTTGTGGGACCTGGCAGGACAGCCCTTCAAACCATTTAGATGGCAATTCCCCAATAGCGTCCAATCCATTACCCAAATGTCCGCGCATCGGATCTTGCTGAGATTGTCTCGGTCCCGTTGGTATCTGGGTGCTGTGTTGATTTTGTGGAGCCCATTGCCTGTTTTCTATGGGTTGGCTGTGGGCTGTTGGTTGGCTGCGGCTGGCTGTGTGCTGTCGGCTGTTGGTGCTGGCTGTTGGTTGTTGCTTGTTGGCTGTTGCTTGTTGGCTGTTGCTTGTTGGCTGTTGCTTGTTGGCTGTTGCTTGTTGGCTGTTGGTTTTTGGTTGGCCTGCTGGTTGTGCTGGCTGTTTGTTGTTGGTTCGTTGCAGTTGGCTGTTGGTGGTCGTTTGCTGGTGGTCGATAGTTGGTTGGGTTGAGTTGGGTTGGGTTGGGTTGGGTTGGGTTGGGTTGGGTTGGGTTGGGTTGGGTTGGTTGGTTGGTTGGTTGGTTGGTTGGTTGGCGAGCTTGGTGTGCTTGTTTGGTTGGTTGTTTTGGTTTGGTTTCTTTGCGTTGTTTGGTGTGTTTGTTCATTTGTAGTTCTTGTAGACTAGTTGGTCGGTTGCTTGGTTGTTTTGCTGTTAGCTGTTTGCTGTTGCTACCAGCAGACAAACAACCAAACCAACAACCAGCCGCCAACAGCAAACAACCAACTAAGAAGCAACCGACCAACTAACCAAACAATCAGCAAACAACAGCCAACCCAAAAATAATAACTAACCAACAGCCGGCAACCTACAACCATCGCAGCAAAAAAGTTGACCCACAACCAACCAGCAGCCAGCCAGTTGAAGGACCGGAGAACCCCTTCATGCGTAGCTTTCATGCTCAGTTCAGCGAGGCCGAGTGGAGGGCGAGAGCGACTGAGGGACTGAGTGAGTGAGTGATAGTTATCAAGGCAACATGGAAGCCGACCCTATGCAGAAATTCCTCGAGCCTCGCCATTTTCGTGCAAGTCAAGGAGTGTAGTTGGAGAATATACGGGGGGCTTGTTTAAGGCACGGTTTTCTTTTGGAGGAAATAAGCAAGTCAGTTTACTTCAAAGGGTCAGAAGGAGACTTCACCCCCCCCAACCTAAACCACCAATGCAAACCGCACCTTTCCAGGTCTTGCTGATTTAGTCTGAGGTCTCCTCCAAAAATATGAGATGGACACAGAACCTCTTTAGCCGCGTAACCCTGGGCCGGGCTAAGTGCTCGGGTCAACGGCTCGCCCAGATGGTCTCATCGAGTGGCGGCGCCTGCTGAGCGAGCGGGAGACCACCGCCCGGGAGCTCGCGGCCACGCTGCAGCAGGTGGAGGAGCCGACCGAGTCGGGAAGGTGGAAATTTAAGAGATGGCTGTGGGTCAAAAATGCGTACCCAAAATGGAACTCTGATAAATGGAACCAAAGACTAGAACCTGCGGTCCCCTGGTGGGTTTATTTTGACCCATACGGCGTGAATTTAACATGGGGCCCTTTGGTGGACTTCACAATTCCGTGGGGATTCTTGTCCACCAACCACTTGGGGGTTCCGACTCTTAAGATTCGTAGCCTGTTGTGGGTGTGTGCTTTCTCGAGGGAAGCCGTTCCCGGCTGGTTGCTGCCATGTTGAGGGTCCCTATTCTGAGACAAACCCCATATTTGGCTCAGTGGATCCCCAAGGCAGATAGTAGGGAACCAGCCATTCTCTTTCTTGTTCTTGAAGGGTCGCTCCTTTGGTTACCTACTACATTGGTGAATGGCATCACTGAGTCTTCTCTTCACCTATTTTATATTTGAAGAGGCGGAAGCGGTTGCCACCCCAAACAGGGGTACCGGGTACCCTTCAAAATTCACACCATTTGGTTCTGTTCCTTTTGAGGGTACATATCCTTTTTGAGGTGGTTTGATAGGTGATCCCAAGATGGGTTTCGGGTTTCCTTTTTGGTGTCCCTTTACTGGATCAACATTTATTATTTCTTATAAGGACAAATGCCGACATCGGTTCAGCCTCCAACATGGACCAAGTCTCAATTCGGGCCAGCCAGAGCTTGTGCTGTGGCTCTCCTTCCCAAACAACATGGCGGTTCTAGTCTTCTTTGCCGTTGGTTCCATTGGGGCAGTCGCCAAAACCCACTTGTCTCAACCTTTCGGAGCAAACTAAACTAAAGGCAGAGAAGAAGAGGCGATCCCACGCGTTTTGCCAGTAGGTCACGCTGCACCTTTCAATTTGTTTAAAGGGTGGGACACCCCTTGCTTACCTACTACACTGTAGAATAGACAAGATGGTGTTGTCTATTCAGAGTTTGGGTGCTAATATGCTTATAAATGGGCTCACTGGGTATGCTCAAACCTTGACTTATGGCTTCCCAGTTGCACCACTTACCCATTGAGCCTCGGCTTACAGGTACGTGGAAAGTCGATTCCCGGCGTTTCTCCTTTCTCCTTTCGCGGCTTCGGATGCTTCGCTCCGGGCGCAGCGCAGGAGATGGAGCGGGAGGTGGAGGACCGGCGCATCGAGCTGGACATCGCCCAGCGGCGCCGGGACCGCGAGCCGGGGGGCCCCAGAGCTGCACCGATCGTGGCAGAAGGAACCTATAAGCAGCTGAAAAGGGAGTTTCGTGGGGTTGTTCCATGTGGGTGTGGGTGTTTGTTTTTGGGGGTACCCTGTTTTGAGGTTGGTTTAAAAGGGTTTAAAGAGAAGGCAGAAGGAAAACCACATATTTTGGAGGGGGTACCACTTTTTTGACACATGTCAATCCACGGTGTTGTGGGAATTGGGCTGCCACTTCTGTAAGGAGGGTAGCGGTTTTCTGGTATCGCAGAAGTGGAACTTGGAACCAACCCTTTCCTTCCCACAATCATAGAAGGCTCCTATCTGATGGATTACCCAGCAACAGATCCCGAGGCTAAATTCCATTTTGGAGAGGCACAGCCTCGCTAAATGTCCCACAAAAACCCAGACTCATCAATTGTCCCCATGTCTTGAAATCTGAAATGTTGCCTCATATGGGTATGGGTCAAAAATTAAACCACCAGGGGACCACAGGTTTTAGTCCTTGGTTCCATTTACCAGGGTTCCATTTTGGGTACCCATTTTGTGAGCCACAGCCATATGGTCTCCACCTTCACCGATCTCGCCGGTGAGAAAAGCACGCTGGTCATGTTTATCTGCAACCACTGTCCCTTTGTGCTGGCCATACTCGACAAGATCATTCGCGATGCCCATGACATGAAGGCACACGGGATCGGCGTTGTCGCGATCTGTTCCAACGACCACGTTTCCCACCCTGCGGACAGTTTCGAAAACATGCAGCTGCTGGCCGAAAAACATGAATTCCCCTTCCCCTACCTGCATGATGCGGATCAAATTGTTGCCAGAAACTATGACGCGGTCTGTACACCGGATTTCTTCGGCTTCAACAAGGATCTGGGACTGCAGTATCGCGGCCGTCTTGACGCGACGCGGATGGGCACGTCTCCTTCAGACTTGCGCCGCGACCTCTTCGAGGCCATGAAACAGATCGCCGAAACCGGTCAGGGTCCTGATCACCAGGTCCCGTCAATCGGTTGCTCCATCAAGTGGAAATAGGAGATCAGCAAGATGCAGATCCACCAACTCAATCACGTCAACCTGCGCACAACCCGGCTTGAGACCATGATCTCCTGGTATCAGGATGTTCTCGGTCTCACTCTGGGACCGCGGCCGGATTTTCCCTTCCCCGGCGCCTGGCTATACGCAGGTGATACGGCGTTCGTGCATTTGGTTGGTATCGACGGCGACCAGGGCACTGGCTCAGAAGTTGAACTCAAGCTCGAGCATTTCGCCTTTTCGGCCACCGGCGCAGAAGAATTCGAGAACCGATTGCGCGAACGCGGCGAAAAGTACCAGAAGTCAGAAGTGCCGCAAATCAACCTTGTCGCGGTCAACGTCTGGGATCCGGATGGCAATCACATTCACGTTGATTTTCGTATGGACGGGTAACTTCGCCTGAAATTGCCATTGCCGCGATGCTGTCATGCGCTAGCTTCATGACTGGTTCCCTATTGGTTGATATTCCAGTTTCGAGGCCAGACATGATCCGCATACCCATCCTGGCTGCCGCAATGGCAATCGCCGCCACACCCGCGCTTGCCGAGCCGCATCGCTATGAGCTCGACCCGACCCACACCACGATCGCCTTTCTGGTGGATCACCTTGGCTATGCGGATACGCTTGGGGCGTTCCTCGAATTCGAGGGGGGTTTTACCTATGACATGGACACCAGGGAACTTTCCAACGTCGAGATCACGGTAAAGACCGCGAGCGTGGAAAGCTTCAATGAAGCCAGGGACAACCATGTGCGCAGCAAGGATTTTCTGGACGTTGAAGCCTTTCCGGTGATGACCTTCAGAGCCGACGGCGGTGCGCCTGCAAACGAGACGACCGGAACTGTTGAGGGCAATCTGACATTGCTTGGTCAAACACATCCGCTGACGCTCGACGTCACGCTCAACAAGGCTGAAAAATATCCCTTCGGGCACGGAAGGTTCACGCTCGGGATCAGCGCGCGCGGCACCGTTCAGCGCAGCGCCTACGGCATGGCCTATGCCGTCGACAACGGTTTTGTCGGCGACGAAGTCCAGCTGATCATCGAAACGGAGGCGATGCGGATCGAGGAGTGACCTGCCTCAGATCGCCTTGTCCATCAGCGGCTGAAGTGCCGGGTGGATGTTCGGGCTTTCCTCCCGGATGAATTTCAGAAGCGCTCTTTCGTTTTCGTGAAGCACGCCGTCACGGCCGATCCGCTCCACCAGCCAGGAGGCCTCGTCTTCGGTCACGACTTCATTTGCGGCGATTTCCGCCTCCATCGCAGCTCCCCTTGCCGCCAGTGGGTTGGGAGCATCAGCATAGGCTTCGCGAATGCCGCTGACACCGCCACTGATCATCTTTCTGAAGAACCCGCCGAGACCTCTTTCATAGCCTCCGGGTTGCCTCAACCAGTCCTCACGCGCAAGCGCGTCTTCCCGCGCAGGCGGCGTGAAGCCGGACATGGCCATCAGATGATTGGCAATCGCCTTGGAAAAGAGTTCCGACCAGGCAGGTGTGTTTTCCGCTTCGACCGTGGCATCGTTCAGGTCAAACAGGATTTCAGCTTCCGTCCTGGAGATGGCGATACCGCCGCACCCGGCTCCCGCATAAAGCACGCGGCGCAAGATCTCCACTTCGCCATCGGAAATGACACCCGGTTTCAGATCAGCCCCTGACCGCGTCGCACCTTTGCCCGAGATGACCGAGTCCGCAACGGCCTGCAGGGCAAACTTCTCCAGACTTTCCGGCGCTTCGCGGGCTTTTTCAAGAACGTGCAGGACGGTATCCAGTTCAGTTCGGCTGCAGACATGGCCGTCCGCCGTGATCTGGCCGGTCAGCCAGGCCGCGTTGTCTTCCGAAACGTACCCTCGCGGCAGCGCCTGATGCACAAGAATGTCACCGATCGCCTCAGGAAAAAGCTCATACCAGGTGTCTGCATATGTCAGATCGGCATCGTTCAACCTGAAGAGGGCTGCTCCCTCCTCAAGTGAAACGGCCATGTCGCCGTAGATAAACCGGCGGAGCGTGATGACATCGGCTTCACTCACCTGCCCTTCCGCTATCCTTGCGGTGGCAAACGCATTCAAATCGGGCTTGGCCATGGTATCCCCCTGAAAATTCATGCCGAGAGTATCGCCGGAATTTCTTGAGATTCCCGTAACGTCACATGTTTCCGCAAACAAAAAAGGGAACCGCAAAGCGGCTCCCTTTAGTTTCCCGCACCCGGGGGCATGTTAGTGCGGGAAGATAAACCAGGCTGGCTGTTTCCTGCGCTCAGCCGCGGTGTTTCTTGCCTTTTTTGCCTTTCTTTCCGCCTTTGAAATCGGCTTTGGTGATGACACCATCCTTGTTCCGGTCGGCACGTTTCATCAAATTGTCCAGACGCTTGTTGGCTTCTTCCTGGGTGATACCAAGGCTGCCATCGGCATCGGCACGCTGGAACATGTCGACAATCCGGCCATCATTGACGGCAAGCCACAGCGGACCGAAATCCTCAAGAGCGAAAGAACCGCTGCCGTTGGTGTCGGCCAGTGCAAACAGTTCCGCACGCCGTGTATCGAAGTCCTCTCGCGTCACGGAACCGCTACCGTCGGTGTCGAACAGACCCATGAACATCCGGGCGGGTCCGCCTCGGCCATGATGCTTGCCACCGTGCCCTCTGCGTTCGCCGCGCTCCGCACGTTGCTGGCGCTCACCATCATTCTCGGCGCCCTGGCCTCGCTGGCCGCGAACCCTTTCCACGGTACCGTTGCCATCACGGTCCAGCCGATTGAACATCCGGTTGGCAACAAGGTCGATTTCCGCCTGTGTCACGGTTCCGTCGCCGTCTGTATCCATGAATTGGAACGCGCGAACCATGCGGTCGCTGGAGCGTTCCATGAACTGGGCCTTGAATTCCTCGAGGCTGATTTCACCATTGCCGTCAGTGTCTGCAGCCGCAAATTCCTGACCGCGAATGTCCTCGATCTCGGCCTCGGTGATCACGCCATCCTTGTCGGTGTCAAAGCGTTCGAACAAACGTTCGGCGCGCTGCCCGTGACCGCCACGGCCGTGACCCCAGCCCCGACGCTCGCCTTTATGCGCCATCTGCTGGTCCTGGGTCTGGTGAATCTTTTGCCCCCCGTCCCCGCTCGCAGTTCCGCTTTGAGCGAAGGCGGGCAGGCCGGCAGTAAGCGCGGTTCCCGCGACGCTCGCAGCCAAAGCGGCAATTGCAATCTTCTTGAACGGTTTCATTCCAACAACTCCTTGGTTCGTTGATGAGCACAAGGTAGGTGGCAATTGTCGCAGGAATACCCGTCGAATGGGCCATAAGTGTCGCGATCTGTCCCGCTGGGCGCGGGCGACACACTTTGTTACAAGTTCAATTCGAAACATCGACCGCCTGTTATTATTTTCGCCTTAGAAACAAGAGCATTGCTGCCGTACCGGTTCCGATTGCGGAATTCAGCAAGGCAGCATAATGAGTCCGGAAAACGGGAGAAACATGTGAGCGACCCGAGCCCGCACATTCTGGTGGTGGACGATCACCGCGATATTCGAGAAACCCTCGCGCGCTATCTAATCAAGAACGGCCTGCGCGCAACGGCAGCTGAAAACGCCGCGCATGCGCGCAAGGCCCTGAAAGCGGCGTCGATCGATCTTGTCGTGCTCGATATCATGATGCCGGGCGAAGACGGGTTGTCGCTCTGCCGTCATCTCGTGGAAACGGGATCAATGCCGGTCATCCTTCTGACTGCCATGGCAGACGACACCGACAGGGTGATCGGCCTCGAGATCGGCGCCGACGACTACGTGACGAAACCGTTCAACCCGCGGGAACTGCTGGCCAGAATTCGCGCCGTGCTGCGCAGAACCGCACTCGTTCCCAAGGAACGCGATCCCATCGAACAGGAACGGCTGCAATTCGACGACTGGTCACTCAACGTGTCGCGCCGCGAACTGACGGACCCGGATGGTAACGCCATTGCCCTTTCGAGCGGGGAGTACCAGTTGCTGTGCGCCTTCCTGAAACGTCCGAAAATGGTTCTGAACCGGGATCAGCTTCTCGACCTGACCACGGGAAGAACGCCCGCCGTCTTTGACAGGTCCATCGACAACCAGGTTTCGCGCCTGCGCCGCAAGATCGAGGTCGATCCCAAGGACCCAAAGATGATCAAGACCGTGTGGGGCGGCGGTTACATGTTTACTGCCGATGTGAAAGACCGAATTGAATGACGGCTGTTGATCATATGCGCAGGATCTTCGGGTATTTGTGGCCAAGGTCACTTGCATCCCAGCTGATCGTTCTGCTGTTGGCCGCCATTTTCTTCGCCCAGGCCTTGAGCATCTGGATCTTTCACGACGAACGCCGCATCGCTCTCGTTGCGGCCGCGCGCGATAACCTGCTCGCACGCGCGGTATCCATTGCCGAGTTGCTCGAAGATACGCCGCTGCCGCTTCAGAGCCGTATCCTGGACGCCAGCAGCAGCCGTTTCGCCGTCTTCTGGCTCGGAGAAACACCGCTTGCCCGCGACCCCGGACAATCCAGGTTCGAACAACGTCTTCAGGGGATCCTGTCAAAGCGGCTGCAGCACGACCAGACTGTTCACGTCAATATACATGCAGACGAAAAACGCGGCCCCAAGGTTCGGCGCACCAAGGACAACGATGGCGATGGCTCCTACAGCTGGCGCTATGTTCCGAAGAACGAGCGCCCACCTAACCTGCGCAAGATAATGAACAAGCCGGAGGACTTGTCGCTGTCCATCCGGATGACCGACGGACGCTGGCTGAATGTTGCGACAAGCTACCGCCCACCGCCGGGTGCCTACATTCCGCTGCTCGTCCAACTCGGGCTCACCGCGGTCCTGACCGTTCTTATCATCGGATTTGCCGTGCGAAGGGTCACGCGCCCATTGAAAACCCTGTCTGTGTCCGCGGAGAAGTTCGGCCGCGGCGAAGAACAGGAACCGCTGCAATTGAGCGGACCAAGGGAAGTTCAGGCGCTGACGTCTTCCTTCAACAACATGCAGGACCGCCTCACCCGGTTCGTGAAGGATCGCACGCGCATGCTCGCGGCGATCAGCCACGACCTGCGCACGCCGATCACGTCGCTCAGGATCAGGGCGGAATTCATCGACGATGAAGAAAACCGCGAAAAGATGATCGAAACGCTCGACGAGATGGCGACCATGACCGAGGCAACGCTCCGTTTCGCCAGGGATGAAGCACATGCGGAAGGGGCTGAAGAAACCGATCTGGGCGCAATGCTGGAAGGTCTTGCAGGTGACCAGAAGGATCTCGGACACGACTGCGGTTTGAACCTTGAAAAGGATGTCACGCTCACCTGCCGTCCGATCGCACTCAAGCGCGCCTTGCGCAACCTGATTGAAAACGGCATCCGATATGGCGGCGGTGTCTCGATTTTTGCGGCA